AGGTAGACTTGGCTTGATCAACTGGCACGTAGATATGCGAGTTGAAGTCAGTCGGCAGCATGTTCACGGCGACTTCGCCATCAGAAGATGGACGATTTACAACCGGACTGTCAAATAGCTGAGCGAATTGTTTGCCAGCCTCCGTTCCCTTCAGCTCTAGCTCCAAACTGCGACGTAGGCGCTCCCAAAATTCGGAAACATCGCTCGAAAACTCGTGGAGATTGCGCAAAGTACTGGTCACGCCGTCCGTATCGACAAAGCTCGCGGAGAGTGTCTGGCGGCGAAGCTGCCACAGAAGCCTTTGAAGAGCATCACATAGAGGCTTCGGCCTAGCATCGGCATTGGTGAGATGTTCAAGTACGTCAACACTTTGGATGATCTTGCAAAACGGAGCAATGTGCAGCCACGAGGCAAGCCCGGCTACCTCTGGGCTATGATTGATGATCGAGTCGCCCAGAGGTCGGTAACCGGTCAGCGCCATGCTGTCCCAAGTCGGCTCGGAATCACTGGGATGCCACCAGAGGGACTTGGTGGGGTCGTTCACTACACGAATGTACGCGTCAAACGAGAGCGTATCGTCATTCAGGAGAGCACGATGTTGACCCCGCCGGCGCGAATGAATTTGGTCCCATGGGCCGTGGAAATATGTCCACCCCCAGTCCAGGTTGTGAGCGTTAAATTGATGGCACGAAGACTGCATCCACCCAGTGCGTGGCTCTTGTGGGTTGTATACAATGACACCAACCTGTGCAGACACACGCCAAGAGTCCGAGGTTCCATTATCAGATTGGGTGTCCGTGGCCGCAGCATATTGAGACTTGTAGTTCTCAAACCAGGCCGACGCGTCGTCCATGGCTGTAGTCTTTATTTGAATCTCCGGGGCGCTATCATCCAGTGAGGCATCGGCTGGGCCTCGACGGACCGTAAATTCCGTTTCAGGGAGCTTCCCCTCTGGAGCGGGCATTGTGGTAGAGCACTCGAGGTAGACGCTCAATGCATTGACATTGTTCCCCCGAGGATAGAACTTGATTCGCCACCAATAACCCCCAACAAATGCCGGTGGAGAGCGAATGATTTTATCACGGTTCGGGTTTTCGGGAGTGCCCCGAACACCTTTGAACGTCCACGTGAGGCGGGCCTTTTCGGTAGGGATGTATTCTGGATCTCCCAAATCCCGAAAGAAGTTGGATTCCCAATATTTGTCTGTCACGGGGTCAGTAAACACTGTATGGTCTTGCAAGGTGGGCACGCACGATCACTGGCACTATAATCCGAATCACCGCTGACAATCTCTTTTATCTCGTCCTCATCTGGGACGGTTGTGTCCTCCTCGTACTCTGCCCAATAGGCATGTTCCAGCTCTTCCGAGGGCGGTGTTGGCGCAGCTTGAGGAGTTGAACGTGATGATTCGGGGGATTGGGTTGCTGACTCGGTCTCTGTATTCGTTCTCACCGTATCCTCCACTTCAGTCTCTGGGACTGACAAATTGGGTAAAGGGTCCATTGCCTTCGAAAACGAATAGTTCCAACGAATGTGTTTGAGCAAATATATAAAGCGTATACTGTATAAAGACTGATAAGAGCTTATCGGATAAGAAGGTTGTGGAGATACCCTGTGGGGAGAAGCGATAGAGGAACGAGAGAAACGAATGAACAGATTAGAAAATAGAGAACAAGGGAAGAAAGGAGGAAAAGAAGGGAAGAAGAACAGAAGAAAAAGTCCGAAAGTAAAAAGGAAAAGAGGAAAACAGAAAAAGAAAGGAAAACCCAAAAAAGAAGATAAAAAAAAAAAGGAAGAGTCCGGGGGAAGTTGCCGAGTGGGTCCATTTTGTATAGACTCGGCCTTTACATTATGCCCAGGTGTATTATGTATTTATATACCTACATACCTAATGTAGGTAGGTATGGTATAGATTAGTATATATGTATGCATATATACCTACTTATGTAGTCTCAACATATACAGAGGTCCATATTGTACATATTCCTATATTATACATGACAAAGTCGGTGTGCCGATCCCCACTCAGGGGAGAATATCCTTAAAAGGCCGATTTTTGGAACATTCGGTGGCGACTCTTATCGAATTTCCATCGAATTTCCCCCCTTTCGCCACTGGGCCTCCCAATGGGTTGGGGCACGCCACCTCGGAAAACTCTTTTGTCCTCAGGGGCATATAGCCATATCGGATCAACGTACCTCCAGGGCTATACCTGCACAGAAGTACACCGGATTGTAAAATGTAGGCCAATCCTAATCAATGTTGAAACAATTCCAGATCAAAGACCCTTGGTTGCCCAGAACGGACCACTTTTAACGGGGAGTGACACTGATTGGCTCTTTGAAAAAGAAACCATTTCTAGACCGCGGGTTCCCGCATTGCTTGGCAATAAGTCCCGCAGACTCGAGAGAGAAAAAGTGAAATCAATTTTTTGGTTGGGCACGGGCAAATGAAGCAGCCACAATCATAGGGAATACTGCCGTGGCCTCAGCATAGACCTAAAAGCAGAAATATGAAAGTTAGCTCGGCCCTAAAGAAATAGAACAATAGATCAAACTCACCTTGACAGACTTGGCATCCGCCTTGATCTTTCCCCAGCTCACCGCTTCATCCGGCCGCGCACCCGCATCACTGCCATCGAACTCCTGCGCGGTATTCACATACACGGCGTGCTCGGCTCCGTTCCGCATCAGACATGCATTAGCGATGTGGTGCTTGACCACCCCACCTCCCAAGATGATCATACCGGCGCGTGTCGCCCGAACAGCCATGGTGTTGATACGGCGCACATCATCCACAATATCCACCCGGAGCCGTTGCGGAGAAGACTTGAAGGTATGGAAGTAAAGCATATCACCCAGTGATCCATCCGTCAGGGCGGGACAGAATACGGGGATTCCATTCCGGGCCGCCCAGTACAGAACTGAATCCTCGTGGTCGATCTCACGACCCAATCGTTCGGTGATGCGGCTTGGCGTCCAGTGAAGCTCATCTTCCTCGTTTCCAGTCTCCCGAGCCTTAATTTTTGCAGCCTCCTGCTCCTCCAGCATCTTGTCCAAAATGGGCACCACCCAGTCCTCGAAAGAACAGTAGTTATTGTTGGGCACCAGAAGGTTGCCAATGCGGTTGAGACCCTTTGCACGAAGTCCAGCACCGGGAGTCGAGAACGATCCAAGATATGTAGGGGCCAAGCATTTGATCAAATCCTCCTCCACACCTCCAGCAGTGGTCACGATGGCGGAAACATGCTTGTGTTTCACCAAATAACGTAGGGTGTCCCGAAGACCGGATGAAATCAAGTTCGATGTATAGCCGAGGAAGATGGTGGTTTTGTTCCCTGTCTCGGGATCACGGAAGGCACGCTAAGAAATTGTCAGACTCGAAGGATTCATAGATTGCAATAATGTTCAGACGTACCATTTCATTGATGATTTGAGCAGCCTCAGCGACTGCACTGCCTTGAAAACCGGTATGGGCCAAGTTGTCCACCATCTCTGCGACAGTGATATCTCGTCCTTGAAACTTATCGAAATCCACTCCGCTCACCACGTGAGATCCCTCTGGGACCGGTTGCGAGCTCTGGAGGACGGACTCGGTCACCGAGGAGGGGATTACTGAAGGCTGCTGAGCGCTCATATTTGTGATGAGATTAAGGAAAGAAAAGAAAAGAGAAAAAGGTAGATAGTTGTAGAGAGAGTAAATAAATCCGTACAAAGTGATTTATAGAGCTGAGACAAGAAACAAGTCGAGCCAAAAAAGAAGGTCAGTTTGGAGTAGAAGAGACCTCGGGAGGGGCAAGTTGATCTTTTTTTTATTTTTTTTATTTTCTTTTTGGCGGGGGAACTGCATCAGTCTGGGCCTTGATGCCTGAATGCCTGAGTGCCTTGACACCATATTGCCTCAGGCATAAATCCCTTCATAGTGCTACCATTTCACACTTGGAGACTCTCCAAGATATGTTTGAATGAAGAATCTCTTATAACATTTATATTTTATATCTACCGTTTCTATAACTCTACTGATTTTGTCTATACTGCAATAAGGTACTATAGTACTTGCCCAGGTCCTTCTATACCAAGAACATTCAATGTGAATAGAGTTTAGGAGGCACATCCCCACCACACTAGCATTCAACCGGGTTAGTGCCGAGCCCCTTGAAGTCTCACGAACTCATATTCTGAACAAATTCCTAACATATTCCAGTATTCCCGATATATTCCTCTTCCTTTATTCGTTCCTCTTTGGTACTCTTGTGTTGCATAACATCCGGCGCAAGGAGCTCGCATGATTTCGCCGATCTTGTAACGTGCTAGTGTTTCTTGTTTTCCACGTTAAATCCTTTTATCTCGACGAATCTGTCAGTCTTGTCAACCTGAACTGTCCATTTGCTATGGTCTAACCAGATCAAATCTAGCAATCGCAGAGCAGAAAAAGGAAACGAACATACTCAGGTGATCTTGGATCTTGGATCTTTCCCTCCCAACTTGAAACAGACTGCGCCTTACCCGATCGGGTATCCGTGCTCTTCAATTCTTCGGTCCGTGCATTGCTTGTCACGTGCAGACCCTCCCGAGTGCCCGTTCTCCATCTTTGGGTATGTGACGGATTCTGCATTCCAACCGCCTTGGGCTGAATTGCACTGTACATTGAACGTGCTGGAGCGCTAACCAGTCTGTAGCTTCGTGATAGCATGACGCGATAATGTCCTCCCGATTTCCCCCATCGTCCGGGTTCAATTCCCGTGACCGTTCTCCGCATCGATTTGGAGACCGTCGCCCCCGGTCGGTCCTCGTGGTCCTGACGACGGACCTGCACCATTTGGGAGAGATCCACCGCGTGGTCCTCGGGCCCTTGTTGATTCCCCTCGTGGTGGCCATTTTGGTGGTCGTGGTAGGGGTTATGGCCGTGGCGACTTCCGTGACCGTGACCGTGACCCACGAGACCGTGATCGAGATCGCGACTTTCGAGATAACCGCGATGGCCCGCCGTTTCGCCGCGATATGGACAGGGACTGGGTTCGCCGCGACCGCGATTTTGACCCCCGAGACAACCGGATTGGCTTTGGCCGAGGCCGCTCAAGATCACCGACGCGCGACTTTCGAGACATAAGGGAGCCCCCGGGCCGCGATTTTGACCTGGTTCGGATGCGGCGCAACTCGAGAGATAGTATCATATCCGCATCTTCGGGCGGCCCGGAAGGTCCACCTCCAAATGGTGGCCATATGCACCGAGGAGGCATGCGAGGGCGTGGTCGCGGAGATTGGGAAGGAGGCCGCGGTCGTGGTCGTCCACCTTTCCTCGATGATCGCGATCTTTTCCGTCGCCGCAGTCGCTCCCGCGAACCGTGGCGTGGACGTGACCGGATGGTGGATCGCGATAGAGATCGAGACATGGACCGGGATCGTGCATTAGATCGCGATCGGATGATGGATCGAGATCGTGACCGTGACCTTCCACGTCCGAGAGATCGAGATCGAGAATTAGATCGCGACTTGGATCGTCGAGATCGCTTTGACCGTCGCGATGATTGGGATAACCGACGACCTGATCGCGAGGACCGTGATCGCCCAGTGGACTTTTGGAAACGGGACCGCCCCCCAAGCCGTGCAGATAGCCGCGCAGCCAGTGGCTCAACCACTTCCTCACATCCTCCTACAGCACCCGGCCCTGGAGCTGGACCAGCCCTAGCAGATCGCCTGTCTGATCATCCCCAAGTGGATCATGGTCGGAAACCTTCAATTATCCCCAGCACTGCGGTTCAGGAACCTACGCGAGATTCCGAGCGAAGCGACCCTGTTGCTGTTCGACCTAGCGGTACTCGACCTGATTCTGTTCGCCCCGATGTCGTGCGCCCTGATGCTGCTCGGCCGGATGCTCCCCGACTGGGTGCTCCCCGGCATGATGCTGCCCGGCCGGATGCTGCTCGCCCTGATGCTGCCCGGCCTGATGCTGCCCGGCCTGATGCTGCTCGCCCTGATGCTGCTCGCCCTGATGCTGCTCGCCCTGATGCTGCTCGCCCTGATGCTGCTCGTCCTGATGCTGTTCGCCCCGATGCTGTTCGCCCCGATGCTGTTCGCCCCGATGCTGTTCGCCCCGATGCTGTTCGCCCCGATGCTGTTCGCCCCGATGCTGTTCGCCCCGATGCTGTTCGCCCCGATGCTGTTCGCCCCGATGCTGTTCGCCCCGATGCTGTTCGCCCCGATGCTCGACCGGATGCTCCTCGACTAGATGCTGTTCGCCCTGATGCTATGAAGAACGCTGGACCTATTATTCGGAACTCACCACCTCCAGCGGCCCCCCAGGTGCCCGCCTTTGGCTCGGTGACTGCCCCAATTACGAACGTCTCCACAAGTAAAGATACTTCAGACCAACGCACGGCGCGAAATTCTACTTTCCCCGCAGAGGGAGACCGCTATGAAGTCCTACAACGACAACCGGCCCAACCTCCTACAGGGCCCAAGGCAGAAAGGACCGAGATCACGCAACCTTTTGAGCCTCGCAGCCGTCCCGATGGACCCCGGGAGGCTGGCAAGCAGCAAGTTGCGCCTCATCGGCTCTCTAAACCATCTATCCATTTCCCTGATGTATCACCGCCCACCGCTCCAGCTGCCATGACCCGGCCAGATTCGGGAGTAGGGCCCAACGAAGGATTTGGGGGCGGGAGGTCGAACTCACTCACCTCTTCCCCCACTTTTGCACGGGTTCCGCCGCCTGCCCCGCGCGCATTATCCCGTGAGCCCTCTATATCGCCTCGAATGCAACCGTCCGGCATTCCAACCGGCCCTCGAGCTTTGCAATGGAAGGCTTCCTCCCCGCGTGGCCGCAAAGGCAGCAAGCAATGGGTGCGACCTGGCTACGGCCGAACACCTTCAATTCCTAATGCACTGCCGAAACAAGAGCCTGTTGATGAGGGCGAAGGTGTTTCCCCTGCCAATGAAACCACGCAGCCCCTCTTACACCATGAGACAGACGAGCCTGAGAGTGGCGAGATTCTCCCCCATGAACCTGCGAGAGAACCCTCGCCAGTTTCCCCGTCATTGCACCTCCTACCCCGTCGTAGTTTATCGGCCGTCGACGTTCAAACGAGCGATGTCAATGAACCCTCTGAGCAGGGCGGCACGGATAAACCCGCCTTGATACCAGACTTTGAAGGTTCAAGTGACGAGGAAGACGGGGAAAACATTGTTTTCACCCAGGAGTATCTTGATGAAAGAAAGCGAATCTTTGAAAAGGATATGGAGTCCCTCCGAGCAGAACTGCCACCGTCGCCTTTGGAAGATCCCGCCATTGTCGCTCTTTTGATTAAAATTCAGTTACTTGGAATGGTAGCCAACGAACAGACTCTTGAACACCCCCCCGAACCACTCGCCGAACGAGTGTTAGAACGACCAGTGGATCCTTTGCCTTCAGTAGAGGATGAAGAGCCAGCCGATCATCCCAGCACTGAACGAGTGGTCTCCTTTGCTTCGACACTACCCGAGCGCGAGCCAGAGCCGATTTCAGAAACCATCATCCCCCGTTGGTACCTCCTGGTGAGGTTACTGTCCAAAACCTTCCATTCTTGCGCTCAGGCCCTCCAACCCCCATTTCAGAAATGGATGTATATCACGAGAACATTGCGACCCAAAATCGTCTCAGAGACACGTTCAGCACAGAACTTTCAAAGGTGCAAGCAGAAGATTTCAGGAAGAACGCAGTCCTTAGGGATGAGTATGTGTCTCACTACAAGCTCTGGCGCATGGCCATTTGGGAGCTTGATCGTATGAAGGAGAAGAAGTCCGTGACCCCTGGTCCAGCCTCTCCCCCAGTGTCAACGGTTGCAACTACCCCGGCGCCCATGCCGGAAGGCCGCGAAGGCCGTCGGTACAAAGGAAATAGCGAGCTCGATTTTCTCAATGCTTTGAAAGCCTCCGAAATCTCCGCCCAAGAAGAGCTTGAACGTCGACGAATCAAGATGGCTACTGCTCGGCCAGATTTGGGCCGTGAAGCGGTCATTCCCAATATGCTCGAACCGCGGGAGGTAAAGGCTCGCATCTACAAAGATGTGAACAACACCATTGAGTGCAATAGGGCTCTGGACGTTTTCGGCTTCGTTCCGCCCCCTAATGACTTCACCCCGGAGGAGCATGTAATCTTTACAGACGCCTTCATGGCCCATCCGAAACGGTGGGGCAAGATTGCCGAATATTTGCCCGGTCGGAATTTCCAGCAGTGTATCGTACACTACTATCTCACCAAGGAAGAGATTAAGTACAAGGCCAAGCTCAACAAACGCTGGAGTAAGCGGGGCAAGGGAACTCGAAAGGGTCCACGACCGAAGTCCAACGCCCTCATCGCAGACTTGGGTGTCGTGAAACCTGACTTTGTTGGCGAGGACGAGCCACCCGCTGTCACAGACACCGGTCGTCCACGGCGTGCGGCGGCACCCACCTTTGGCGATTCCACCGAGGCAGAGAGCGCGCCAGTTGGCCGTCGGGGCCAACTTGGCAAGGACGGCGAGCCGGTGGAAAGATCGTCGACTCGGCGTGGCGGACGGGGCGGAGGTACTCGCGGTGGACGGCGCGTGAAGACCACTACTCAACCGGATTCAAAGGCACAGGCGACAGTTCCACAGGAAAATCTGCCTCCGATTGTACCGCCAGCACCACTTCATCCTGGAAGCGAGATGGAGTTGGTCTCAGATCACGTCTTGGAAGGGTATGAGGCCCGGGAACGAGAGCGTTCCGAAAAAGAATCCGTGCCACCAATTCCGCGAGGCAGGGTGGGACGAGGGCGGCCGAAAGAAGGAGTTTATGTCTTCGAGTCTACTGAGGTTGAACAGCCTCTGGCAACCAAACAGCTTGAGACGGGGTATGGCTCCTTGCAGCCAACGAGTTACTGGTCTGTACCGGAGCAGCGCGATTTCCCGGCCCTGCTGGGACACTTTGGTCGTGATTTCGAGGGTATCTCGGCCTGGATGAAGACCAAGACAACGGTGATGGTACGTATTGGGTCCTTTCATCCCAACTTTCCTTTTCGTATTGAGTCCTTTCATCCCAAGTTTCCTTTTCGTTTTTTCTTTCTCAGTTTCCTATGTTTCTGTTTGTCAACTAGCCGGCTAACGTGTATGGTGCAGGTCAAAAACTTCTATCAACGCCGCCTTGACTCGGGCCAGAAAGACTTTGAGTTGATTCTAACAGATGCCGAGGAGAAGAAGGCTCGCGGTGAGGCCACAGGGCCGCTTCCTATTCCAAGTGCTGCGCCAAAGAGACGATACGAGGCAACTCCGTCTTCTATTATCCCTCGCCCACTTGCCCCTCATGGGGATCCTATGGTCGAGGCTGATGAAATACGATTCCCTAAAGGCAAGCCTGTTGGCCTCTCCCCGCAGCCCATGTCCCTACATGGACGACCTCCGTCCGACAAGGACCGGAATGTCGGTCGCTACCAGCCACTCGCACAAGCTTCTGCTGCTTCACCAGTGCCTTCTACCGCAACTCTAATTGAAGAGTCGACTCGGGCAATTCGCGCGCAAGGAGGACCATCCCACCGCATTCAGGGCCCACGCCTTGGGTATTTTACAGAGGATAGACGAGACTCTTCGGTATTGCCCCATGCCACTTCTCGTGCGCAAGAACTCCCGATATCCTCGCGCCATCCTGGCTCTATGCCGCTGGATATGGCACGGATGGAACCTTTATCTGCACAGGCCTATATGCCTGCTCAGCAGCCAACTTCTCTCCTTTCATCGACCCATTCGCGTCACGCCAGCTTGACACAACCCCCCGGCTCGCCAATCCAGCAGCTTAGACCAGAACTGGACATCTCGTCTGTTCACCGCGATCCCTTTGCTCAAAGACCCTATTACTCGCTCGCAGGTCAACCCATGGGTCTAGCCCAGTCACCTCGCCCTGGGTTGTCGCCAGTGAAGGATGTTCCTCGTCCGAGTGCTACTCCGGCTCCCGATGCAACTCGCCAGGTGCCTGCCAAACGGTCTAACATCATGAGCATCCTCAATGATGAACCTGAAGAGCCTCAGCCGCGCAAACGATTCGCCAGCGAGCAGGCTTCATCTGCCCCTGGTGTAACCCCAGGCATAAACCCAAGGCCCGCATACCAGGCCAGCGGGCCCTCTCGCCATGAAGACAGTATTATGTCAGGTATGCCGCAAAAGCCTTCTGGTTACACCCAGCAAAGCCAATATCAGCCACCGTCGCGCGGCTACTCGGAGTATCCTGGCTATAGTGGCTCGGCCACATCGGCGAATAATGACTGGATGGCACGGTTCGATCCACGGGCGCAACAAACTCCACCACAGCCTCCAGCCCAATCGCTGCCACCACAGCAGCAGCAAAGCGGCCGTCAGGGTTCCTATTCATCTTACGCGGCGCCCCCGAGCCAATCTTCCTTGACGAATCTTCCTGCGCCATCCCCAGCGCCGACTCCCCCGCCAACAAATGCCTCTCAACGATCGGCTTATCCCAACGTTTTCTCCCAGGGTTCCTCTGCTCAACCGCCCATGGCCTCTGGCTCCCGAGATATGGCCTCGCAACCGGCTTCCTATCGACCCGGGTCACCTGGCCCACGGTCTGGTATGCCGTATGCATCGCGACAGGATCCACCAACGCCAGCGCAGTCTTCGGCCAGCCTGTATGGCATGCATTCGCGCCAGTCAGCAACCCCGAATCCAGTCCAGCCACACAGCTATCAACAACATGTGCAAACCATGGTCAGTGGGTCGCATCAGCCGCAATCCCACCGCTCGACACCTGTCAACTTGGCCGGTGGTTCTTCGCAGTACGGGCATAACACCCCTCCTCCCCAGTCCCAGGCTGGCCGGTCAATGGCATCGCTGGCGAGCCTCGGTCGTTCATACACCCCCCCCGTCGGCTCTACATCCCTCTATGAGCGGAGGCACCATGGGAAGCTATGGTCCCCCTCAGTCATCCGCGCCTGGATCGATACCGCCGCTTCACCAACGACCTCCAGGATCGCTTGGTGACAGTGTCTCCACCCCGACACATCACCGTGTCTACAGCCATGGGTCGGCTCAAGGCGGGCTACCGCCGCCTTCGCAACCTCCTCGCTAGGGTCGCACGTTTGATTTAAATGAACTTCATGTGGAGTGTAAGACCGTACTGGGTTTGGTTGTACATTAATGTGTCTTTCTTTTTCTTTTTCTCTTGTTTAGCGTCCTGGCGCCTTTGCCAGTGAGGATATTCATTTAATCATGGTTTATATGTATAACTAGATGAATGATTTTATGTGTCAAACCGTACATGTAATGAATCTGTACAAGTTTGTAGTATTAACTTAGTATCTACAATGTTAAGTGAAAACTAGCCCTCATCAGATACCTAAGTGCGTGTTCAAGGCATATGAGGCTCAAGTCGGACTTGCCTAAAGTAGCATGGCCCCGGGGGCTGAGCCCAAGGCTGAGCCTTCATCTCTCTTCCTCTTCTTCATCTTTCTCTGATTCTCCCTCGCGAATAACTTCAAGATCTCATGGAACCTACCAGTAGAAACGAAATTGCCTTCATTTCAGGTCCGATCGATACTGGACCTGATGAATCCTATTTTCACACTCACTATGTATCCCGAATCAACCATGCAATCGAGCACAATCACCGCTTTGTTATTGGTCCGATCCCAACTGGCGTGGACGCAGATGCGCTCACCTATCTCTTGGCATATCCCGTGTCACCTAGCCGAGTCACCATCTTTATGACCCAAACCGAGAACGGGATATGGGGGGCGCACTTCCGCTCGTTCGGAGTCAACGTGCAGGTGGTGGAAGGCCAAATGAGTCGTGATCGAGACGCGGCTCTAACCAGTGCCAGTACGTACGATATTCTACGGGTACGTACAAAGAAGGAGGCAAAGGCATTTTATGGCGACATGTGGCGCGACGGATATGTCACGAATACGGAGCGCAATTGGAAGCGACGTCGGGGAATCGCAGAGGATGAGATTATCGGAGAGGAGACGATCAATCGATGTATGACAACTCCCGCTCGACAGGGTCTGTTGACACGAGTCCATAAGATGTTGCGAAGTATATAATATGAAAAATGAAAAATGGATATACAGCGGAAGAATTGAAGTTTCATTCCGCGGGGAACAAGAGAAAGTGCGGAATGAACATTCCGCTTATGCGCGGTGGAGAAAGATCTTCGAACTGGGGACTTGTGGACTTGGGACCTATGAGAGAGCTGCCTTTACTGATTCTGGGACCGGTGGCCAATGAACATGTCATGGATGTAACAGCTTTCTTTATGCGAGTCTCTAAACTCGGAAATATGCCGTAGCCGAAATGCAGGTGATGCAAGGCTATAAGAGATGCATTCTCCCACCGAATGTCTGCAATTCCTTGTTTTACCCTATATCATGGCCATCCAAACACTCGCAGTCGCCGTGATCACGGTGGTTTATTTCATCATTCGATACTTCAATCGCACTGATATCCCTAAGATTAAAGGCCTCCCGGAGATTCCTGGTATACCCATATTGGCAATCTATTGCAGCTGGGAGATCAACATGCCACAGTCACGGGGAAATGGGCAAAGAAATTTGGCCCAGTTTTCCAAGTGCGCATGGGAAACAAGGTAAATAATTAACTAGGTAAATATCTTTTGAATCGGACATTGATAATCTAATGCCCTTTTAGCGCATCGTGTTCGCCAACAGCTTTGACGCCGTCCGTCAATTGTGGATTAAGGACTCGTCGGCTTTGATCTCCCGCCCAACTTTCCACACTTTCCACAGCGTCGTCTCCAGTTCACAGGGCTTCACGATCGGAACTTCCCCGTGGGATGATTCCTGTAAGAAACGCCGCAAGGCAGCTGCCACTGCGCTGAATCGACCGGCCGTGCAATCGTATATGCCCATCATCGATCTTGAATCCAATTCCAGCATCAAAGAACTGTACCGGGACAGCCAGAACGGCAAACGTGACGTGAATCCCACTGCATACTTCCAGCGATACGCTCTCAACACCAGTTTGACTCTGAACTATGGATTCCGCATCGAGGGCAATGTGGATGATACGCTGCTGCATGAGATTGTGGATGTGGAGCGTGGTGTGTCCAACTTCCGCAGTACTTCGAACAACTGGCAGGACTACATTCCCCTATTACGCATTTTCCCCAAAGATGAACAACGAGGCCGCCGACTTCCGGGGTCGCCGTGATAAATATCTGACCTACTTGCTCGATATGCTCAAGGATCGAATCGCCAAGGGAACCGATAAGCCTTGCATCACTGGTAATATCTTGAAGGATCCCGAGGCTAAGCTGAATGATGGTGAGTTACAAAATCTTGTTAAAAATCTTTGTGAATGTCGGTGTTGAGTACTCATCTATCGTCTAGCCGAGGTGAAATCGATCTGTTTGACTATGGTGTCGGCTGGTCTTGACACCGTTCCGGGGAACTTGATTATGGGAATTGCCTACCTGGCATCCGAAGACGGCCAAAGAATTCAGAAAAAGGCCTATGATGCAATCATGGAGGTATACCCGGATGGCGATGCTTGGGAGAAATGTTTGGTGGAGGAGAAGGTCCCTTATGTGACGGCATTGGTCAAGGAGGTCTTGCGGTTCTGGACGGTCATTCCTATTTGTCTGCCACGCGAGAGCACCAAGGATATCCAGTGGAATGGAGCTACAATCCCTGCCGGGACGACCTTCTTCATGGTATGTTGCGCCTTGCTTCTGTCCCTTTCGGGACTTTGCTAACAGGGTCTGATAGAATGCTTGGGCTGCCGATTACGATGAAGATCACTTTAAGGATGCCGATAAATTCATCCCGGAGCGTTATTTGGAGGCCAGTGAGGGTGCAGGCACTCCACACTATGCATATGGAGCGGGATCACGTATGTGTGCAGGCTCACATCTCGCCAATCGCGAGCTGTTCACTGCTTTTATCCGCCTCATCACTGCTTTCAACATGCACACGGCGAAGGAGACGGCCGACCGACCAATTCTGAATGCAATTGAGTGCAATTTGATTCCGACAGCCTTGACAACCGAGCCGAAGCCATTCAAGGTTGGCTTTAGTGCACGCGACCCTAAGAAGCTTGAGCAGTGGATTGCTGAGAGCGATGAACGCACCAAAGATCTATAAGAGGAAGCTTTATCTGATACGATTCCCCTATGTTTCCGAGGCCATTTATGTATCTACTTGAATATATGTGAAATAAAGGCAATGAAGTATAGATATAGACCTGAGACCTACATGTATGTAATCGACGTCTCCCGGCACATCTTTAGGAACCGAATAGAAATTTGAGTGATGAGTGATAAGAGAATATTGCAGAGAACATAGATCTACTAAGATCTGCTAATTCTTAGACTCCTTTCCCTGAATTATTGCCAATTTCCCCAGTTGTCTCTCTCCTCTATGACTCCCGGCCTTGTCACACCGACGGAATCTCCCCGCATTTTCCTCGACCTCACCCTTTTCTTCCTCTTCACCCTCTCCCCATCCACTTGAAATGAACCTTTGATCGCAATCAATTGCATCCCGAAGTCATTTTGGATGATGAATAATCCACAGATGTACCCTGTTCTCGAGACATGGGATAACCCACCCTCGGTGGACAATACGAATGATCGCCCCCGAAAGAAACGCCGCAAATACATCGCCAAAGCCTGGTCAGTTTGGAAAGTTCATATTTTATTCGAGATTGAGGGCTAACGAAATCATGAAGCAATGGATGTAAACGTCGCAAAATAAAATGCAATGGCCAGTCACCTTGTCAGCGTTGCGGACGCCAGCATATTGAGTGCATTTACGTTGAGGATTCTCGAGACAGTCCCCACGAGCAAGAGTAATGCCCACCCCAGCTCGGTACGTTTGAACACGACTAACCTTACTATTTAAAGCAACTTCAAGCTGCTTTTTGACCAAATGAGGGCCATGCAGGACCAGATTACTCAGTTGTCTGCTAGTATCCGGTCAATAGCCAGCAGCGAACATTCTCCTGGAGGGGTTTCCGCCACCGGCACCTACGGGCAGTTTCCTACCCAACGTCCAATCAGGCGCCTGTCAACAGCTAGAGAGACGTCATTCCAAGGTCCGACGACATCGGCCTTTAGTTTCGACCTTGCGAAGTCCAGCCTGCAGCAGCGCGGGATCGTGGAACGTGCCGAGGCTGGCGACGAGGGCGATATGACTCAAGAACCATCACCGCTGGCATCGCCATCGGCTGCAAATGAGGGACTTGAGACCCGTCAGACCCTCGATCCCCTTTGGATTCTCCCCAAAGCCGAGGCGCTTCGCCTTTGCCAAGTCTACGAGGAGGAAATGGGCGTCATGTACCCGGTTCTGGAGCTTTCGGAGCTTTTGGACCAGGTTGACCTTCTCTACGGCCAGAATGACCGCGTGATTGAACCGACTGGTCAGCCCGATGGACACAATGGACTGTCTCGCGAAGATGTCCATATTCTACGTGTAGTGTTTGCCTGTGCGTTGACCGCCGAAGCCAGTGGCCGGAGTGAACAGGCCATTGCGCTCTTTGACAGCGTACGAGAAGTTCAAGACAATTGTGTCTGGGGTCCGCCTGAAATCAAGAACATCATATTTTTGACTCTCGTGGTTTGTCATGCCCCAATCAACCATGGACGCTCGCACATGCTAATTGTACCGGTAGTCAATATTCTATTTTCAAATGGACGAGGAAATTCTGGCGTGGCGCACCGTTGGTATTGTGGAGCGCATGTGCCTCGAGAAAGGTCTTCATCGACGGGAAACTCTGAATCAACCGGCCATCATCGCCGCGGGTAAGGATCGCGTTCTGCGGCTCTTCTGGTCTATTTATATTTTGGATATGCGGTGGAGCTTTGGGACTGGCATGCCGTTTGCCCTGGAAGATACAGATATTGACCCTTGGCTGCCTGAGCCCGCCGAGAAAACGCCATATCTACGTGTAATGATCCGGTACAGCCGAATCGCAGCGAAGGTATGGAAGTTTATATCAGCATTTAACAACACGAACGAAATCAAGAAAGAGGAAATGAACTATTTGGATTGGCAGGTGTTGCGTTGGGCGCATGCTATTCCAGACCCGTTGCGGCTCGATCATCCGAGTTCTGCGGAGTCTGAGAATGCCACCGAAGGCTCACGGAGCCTGCGCAGACTGCGTGCCCTACTTTATCTTCGTGCTAATCAGTTACGCATGCTCATTCACCGTCCCGTCCTTCATACTTCAGCAAATGTTATGCGGTATCCGGCCGAGTCAGAGACAGCGGTGGAAATTGCGAAAGATACAATTCGCTTCATTACCCGCTTGAACGATACATCCGATATCTACCAATTGCAGCAGGTGGCATTCAATTGGTTCCTTGTCTCGGCCCTTGCAGCTTTATTCCTGGCAGTAGCACAGGCTCCATCACAGTTCAGCGGGTCGTGTAAGGAGGAATTTTACTGGGCCTTGGAATTGGTCAAAGGAGTCTCAGCCCAGTCTTATATCTCCCGTCGACTATGGAAGTCTATTCGAAGTCTCCGTAAGCTGGGTCCTCAATTGGGCCTGGGGGTTCAGAAAAAATGTGTCGCTGAAAGTGAGCATTTGAATGTCCACGATTCTCCCGCGTTGCCCCAACCTGCCACCGTCGACAGTCAAACACCACAAGACGGGGAACAAATGACACAGGAGTTGATGGAATGGTTCGAAGCCGTGGGAAATCTGGAGGATCAAATCATGGGAATGGGAACGGGCCCTGCACCAGATGAGGGACCTTATCAGCAGATGCCCGACAGGGGCTTTGTATTTGATTACGGTGAAGAATTGTCCAGTGTGATGAAGGACTTCTTCTGATTATGTACAGTATGACACCACCTGCGGCTGTCTCCGGTGATGTTCTGTTTCCGGTATCACGATGCCACGTGAATTGTGTTGGTATATTGAGGATGTGCCAGTCTTCTGAGAGGAAAAACAAGAAAGATGGATTATACAAGGTGTGAATTTATTCCTGTGTTTTATACCTTGCCAACGTCGACATTGATCTAGTAGATATATTTGAATTCCAGTTCTCCATCACCCGTCTGGACTCGTCGAGTCTCTTCCTTTTCACCGCTGATAATTTGCTCCTTCACCTTGTTCTCCCGGCGCAAGTAGAGACCATATGCAGTTACCGTGATCTGCGCCACCGCAAGGGACCCTAAGGAGAAGGAGTTACCCAACACATAAGGCGATGTGCGATAGACCTGGCCGGCAACAATACCAGCACAGTTGCCGATTGTCTGCTGGAGGCCAATTGCGAGAGCACGGCGGTATTGTGGGGCGATATTCACGTTCAACCAGGCGACGTTGAGACCAACAGACGTATAGGTAGTGATACCGATGAGGAAAGTGGCAAAGTAGAGGACAGCGGTATTCTCGACTGTGAGCAGTATGATGTAACCGACAATACCGAAGATATTGGCTGTGAAGATGTACTGTGAAAGGTTAGCGTGGAAGGATGGGAGACTGTAAGGGCTAAACCCACCGATGCAAATTTGGAGTATCGGTCTGAGCACCACGCAATTGCGATGAAGACCGTGGCAGCCCAGACATAGACGGGGACAGTCAAGACGTTGCTCATCAGAGAGTCATAGCCCATTCCACCCAAGATAGTGGGCAAGAAAGTGCTGAACCCATACAAGAGAATGTCCTGACAGAACTGGATGACACTGCTGAACATCAACTTGGGATCTCTGATTGCAATGAGCATTTCGTCCCAGCTGAACTCTTCACTTCCCATGTACTTGCGACGCTGCTCGTTGCGTACCCGCATCATCCATTTCTCCTCTTCAGTGAGGAAGTAGGCCTCGGCCGGGTTGTTTGGCAACCCGAACCAGATGAGAACGGCACAGAGGATGCTGAACAGGCCTTCGATGATGTAGACCCATCTGAAACGTTGTAAGTAACGATGAATTTACTTCAGTGGGATAGAGACATGCGTACCTCCATCCGGCTTTGCCACCAATCCCGTCCATCTGCAAGAGCCCGTAGGCCAAAAGACCACCCACAGCACCTGAGATGGCAGCGCAACTCATCAAGTAGGAGACACGCTTTGCTTGCTCCTCTCGTCGATAGACCATGGTCAGGTAGAGATTGAGACAAGGGAACAAGCCAGCTTCGCAAGCACCCAAGATAAGACGAGTCGCGTAGAGAGAGCCTACCGACTCGATAAATCCAGTGAAGATGGTGGTCAGGGACCAAATGATACAGAGCCCCGTCAGGATGTTGCGAGGGGTCAACTTCTTCATCATGACCGCCCACGGTGCTTCGAAAAGAACATATGTGACATAGAAGATGGAGACAGCGGTCGAAAACTCATCTGGTGAAGCGTTGATATCTTCAGGCATGTTTGCAACCTTGACATTGCCTGATATTTTGTGAGCTTATGCTCTTTCGAAGGAGATTCAACAGAACTCACCGATACTCGATCTGTCCAGGAAACATGTAAGATAGGTCAACATGATGATGGGCACAAAGGCAGCATCCAGCTTGACGAGTAGTTTTGCCTCTTTCTTCGGATCCAACACCACATCCAAAGACTCGCCGGCCATGGCATAGTTTGCTTCTTCGGTATCCTCTTTTTTCAGGGAATCCTTGAGCTCCAAGGGGTTATTGTGAACGGCATCGTGCGACATGGCTGCTATGCGGTTGCAGCAAAATGGAGATTGGATTGAAGGGGACCAATTGATTTATTTTAAATGAATGCGACGATAACACAGATCATCGTGAAATCGATTCCTATGGTCTCCTATCTTCCACACGATACAAGCCAAGTGGTGTGTGGGGGTCTATCGGGCCGATGACGGTGATAAGAGAGACAAAGGCGAGAAGTTGAAGAGGGGGGAAAGGGTCAACATGGGCCAATAATATGGGGGAATAAAGGAGATATCCACCACTACAAGCCAATCCGACGATTCAAACAGATCCTAACTCGAACAGGCAAGTCGATAGACCATGTTTATGGCCTATTAGCTGATCTCTGGGGGTTTCCCCAAGCTTTTTCCCCAGACCATCGGTATGTGGATCCCGAAAGTTGATAACCGAGGGTATTCTCATTGGAGATATGTTGTATCAATATGATATATCAATATCAAGGTCATCTGGTATTCTAAAAGTAAGGTCAAACATGGACAATATCATCGCTCAGGAGGCCCGACTCCGTTGTCGCTATAATCAACTCACCAATACCGCGGGGATTGCACCGGGATATTTACAAGCGAATCTTTTGGTACTTCCTTCAAAATATGCTGCAGATTTCCATGATTTGTGTTTGCGCAATCCAGTTCCTTGTCCTCTACTAGGAATTACCGTCCCTGGGGACCCAAGTGCCGTTCGACCGGCAGAGTGTATTCGCTCCGAAGATTTTGATATTCGGACGGACTTCCCCACGTATCGAGTATATTCAGCCGGGAAGTGTATTGAAAGTCGTCGTGACTTGTCCGATGTATGGAATAAGGATCATGTGGGCTTTTTGATCGGATGCTCGTTCTCATTTGAGGATGCCTTAACGGCGGCAGGGTTGCCCCCGCGTCACCAAAAGACTGGCACGGTAGTTGCAATGTACCGATCGAACATTCCATTACTACCCGCTGGGATATTCACTGGTGGCCACTGTATTGTATCCATGCGACCGTATCGTCCGGAGCATATCGAGAGAGTGAGGAGAGATCACTCGGGCCTATCTGTCGACGCATGGAGAGCCTGTCGCTTGGGGCTGGGATGGAGCAAAACAACTGGGAATTCTTGATGTGGCAAAGCCGGACTTTGGAGAAGCGCAAATATTCGAGGAGGGCGAAGTTCCTGTGTTTTGGGTCAGTTCTACACACGTAGGTAATCGCGATGCTTTGATCTGACTTCATCCCAGGCCTGTGGAGTCACACCTCAAATTGCCGTCGAAGCAGCGAGTAATAAAATTGAAGGCCTGGTCTTTGCCCATGAGCCCGGCCACATGCTAGTCACAGATTGGACAGCAGAAGATTTGCAGAAACTCAAGCCTGGAATCATTTAGCAGAAAAGGAAGTCAACATGAATGCACATTCTGAGATTATCAACCTGATCGTACTTCTCAGGTCTATTCTCCTGTGACCCTACGAGGAAATCCCGGGCTAATCGGCTGTGGGCAACAGCCATGTTGAGTGATGGCATTTTTCTTTTTCCAGGATTGTTTGAGTGCACAGGAATTGCTCGGATTGGGTGAATGGAACGTGTTTCATGTTTTCTCAGCGCTGCTATAGTATGGTTCGAAAGGAGAGCCCTCAAATCACAGATCACCCGTCTCTTCATCAAACACCTTCTTTCCCTTGTACCAGGTTTGGCACACCCGAGCCTCTAACAGGGATTCTGGGGCCCAGATCATATCCAGGACAACGAAATTGGCGCTCAATCCTGGACGCAGTCTCCCGGTCCACGAATCTGAGAAGGATGCATATGCAGCCCCCGCAGTAGCTGCTGAGACAGCGGTCGCGAGGGAGACAGCGAATTCGGGGTTGACAGTCTCTTGCATAGAGGGATGGATAGCTGATCGGCGAGTAGTAGCAACATAAAGATTGAGCAGTGCCTGATGTTCGGCAGTCGGGGCGTCGGTGCCAAAGGCCAAATGGACACCGGCATCAACAAAATCTTGGTAAGCGAAAGCCCGCTTGCAACGCTGAAGGCCAAGCATGTCTGGCCACGCCCCAAAGGTTGCTGGGTCTAGATGAACAGGCTGGACCGAGGCCACTATTCCGAGCTGGCCCAGCCTTCTCGCGTCTTCGGGGGTCGTTATCTCTAAATGTTCAATGCGGTGACGACAGGATGGCAGGTGCTTGATTTGGGATAAACAGTCTATAGCCTGCTGCACTGTTCGATCCCCAATTGCGTGAATGGCGCACTGCAGGCCGGCATCAGTAGCACGGCGAATAGCTGCTGCAAGGGCATCATCAGGCCAGATGGGATCGACGAGGTTGGGAAGTCCGCCATATGGTTGGTGTAGTCCCGCTGTACACCCATCCACTGTACCGTCACAGAGTAACTTGATGCCATTGATACAAAACTCCGGGGAGGTGTTGCGGTTGAAAGTTTGATGAATCTCGATGGCGCGATCAATATGACGGCAGATATCGGCATCGCATTTTGAGTAGGGCACTAACCAGTGTGCTGCAACATGCATCGGAAGCTTCCCACGTTGGCTTCTGTAGATATTCAACGCCGCCCACTCACTCTCTCCCATGGCCATGTCAACGATTCCAGTATACCCAGCACGTTGATGCGCACGGATTGCAGCATCAATTGCGGCCACCTTCTTCTCCATCGGGGTGACCCGGTCCAAAAATGGCCAGACGATGTCGAACTGCGCTGCCTCTTCAAGTAGACCAGACGGGGTACCACTGTCGTAGCGATGAATCTTTCCGCCAGGAGGATCGGGTTTCGAGTCAGCCTCTAGCTCTTGGAGAGCTGCGTTGTTGCACCACGTTGAGTGGAGGTCCAATGCCTCGATGTAGATAGGTCGCGGATCTAGGTCGTCTAAGACAGTAGCAAAAGCGTTGCCATCCGTAACCGACTGGACCCAGCCTCGACATAGAATGCGTGGATCCGATGGATGAATTGCTGCATAGGAAGTGATGGAATTTCGGATATCTGCGAGATTCTTACAAGACAGAAGGTCGAGTTTCTGCAGGGACATACCGAAATTGAGGATGTGCACATGGCCATCAATGAACCCTGGGAGGACAATTCGATTCTGCAAGTCCACTGTCGATGCTGTGGCTTTTATCTGAATAACGCTTTTGTCATTGTCCCAGCCGACATGCGCGATATGGTCATCCTCAACTACCAGCGTAGAGGCAAAGGCACCCCATAGACCGGGATAGAGAATGCGGCCATTAGTAAAGATTGTTGTAACCATGGTATGATTGTGGGGAGTGAAGGAAAGGTAAGGGCTTCTTGGAGGTGAGGTGTTAAAAGTTGAAGTTGCACCAGAGGGGCAGCTGATGTGGGCAAACGTACATGAGATCAGCCGCGAAGATGTATAACCTGCGAATGCCTGATTTCGCATATTTGCCTGAATTATTGAACTGACTTATTTTAGACAAGGTATCCCAGAAAGAAAATACCCTAAAAGATATAAATATTTCCGCACACGAACTACACAAATGCCTACCTTCGAGGAAGAGGTCCAAAACCCGGTAAATGAAGCCACTATATATACAAATCTCCATATTCATCCTGAAACTTCGCTTTCTAGCACGAATGTCGAACAAGTAGTACATCTATTCGCGCAATAATACCGTTATGACAGCCAGGTCCTGGTATTAGAGTATCCCCTGTCTAAATTAGGAGGTGTTCATGGACTCAACAACGAAAGGAAAAAAAGCTTGAAGGTAACTGAAATTCTTGATGCATTAATAGCAGTGCTTTTATTCAGTGTATGCCTTTGTTTCTTTTGACAGATATTCCTTTGACCATGGAGCCTTCCTTACTAGCCTTTATGCCTTTGTTCTCTTTGTCCTATGAAGCTATATAGACGCAGCTTCATGGCAGTTAGATAGTTTTACCATCATCAATTACACTTATTCAGATCACACATTATATTTCTTCTACTGTAGATCTGTATACTTTCTATTACAGATTCCATCAATTCTTCCTGACAAGATATACTCATATTTTCTGGTGGTATATAAATGTGTCTATTAGAAGTCCTTGATCATACAGGTCCCTATGGCTGTGGCCATTTTTGGATTCTTGACCTCAACAGATGTTTCACTGCTCAGAGTCTCGGAGAATTTTCTGGTTGCATTCATCCATTGAAGAAAAGCATTACTCCTCATTCCAAAGAATGGCGGAAATATGTCAATTACTTTCGACCAGGGTATGCTAGGATTCCAGGTCCTTGCAAAGGATGTCAAGATGGAAACAGTGGTTGGCAAGGTCCTTATTGAACCAATATACGCTCATCTCTCGTATAGTAGAAATATACTAGTGGATTAGGCTGGTGTTGTCATTGTTAAACCTCCCCAGTTATAGGAATTCCCGAGGTCGGCGTTCGGCATTGTCTCCGATGGCGTTCCAAGGTTGGATACGTCAATTTGTCAGCCGGTGGATTACTCGTGGACCCCCCCAATATATATATAAATGCATTTCTGTGTCTCTGAATCTATGAATTTCGGAATAGATCTATCATTAATCTTTAGACAATAGACAATGAGATCTACTTCGTTTCGTTCCCCGCCAATTCACCAGGCCGAGGGTCTGCCCTATTTTACCCCCGCCAACAATGCCGGAGCAGCTGTAAACCCACAGGATCCCAGCACCCCGACACTGTTCCGGCCTTTACGAATTCGAGATGTCACACTCAAGAATCGGGTAATCGTGGCACCTATGTGTACGTACTCCACCGAATCAGACCCAACCTCTCCGGCCGTAGGTGCGCTCACAGATTTTCACATCGCGCACCTCGGTCATTTGGCCACAAAGGGTGTCGGTCTGGTTTTCATCGAAGCCACAGCAGTTCTGCCCAATGGACGCATTTCGCCCAATGATTCCGGCCTTTGGCAGGACGGAACCGACTCCGAACAGTTCAAAGGACTCCGCCGCGTGGTGAATTTCGCTCATAGTCAAGGGGCCAAAATCGGCATTCAGCTTGCTCACGCCGGCCGGAAGGCTAGCACAGTGGCACCCTGGCTCGCATCCCAAGCAAAGCAACGCGGCATCAAAGCTGATGAAAGTGTTGGTGGCTGGCCATCGGATGTGGTTGGCCCCTCTGGTGGGGAAGAGCAAATCTGGGCACCTGGTGATCAATTCTGGCCGCCGCGCGAGCTCGAAACGGGCGAGGTTGAAGAAATTGTTCGGGCATTTGCACGAAGCGCAGCGCTTGCTGCACAGGCTGGAGTGGATGTAATTGAGATCCATGGTGCCCACGGATACTTGCTTCATCAATTCCTCAGCCCCGTTACCAATCGACGAACCGACAAATATGGGGGCAGCTTTGAGAACCGCACTCGGTTCTTGTGCGAGGTGGCTGCTGCAATTCGTGCCGTCGTGCCCAGTGGAATGCCCTTGTTTCTTCGTATCAGCGCAACGGACTGGCTCGAGAATCAAACGGTCGCAGCAGAAACCGGAAGCTGGGACGTGTCATCCTCAATTCAACTTGCCAAATTGTTACCAGACCTGGGGATTGACTTTCTGGATGTTAGCTCAGGCGGTAATCACAAAGGCCAACGTATTGAGCCTCATACGAACTATCAGATTGACCTCGCTGGCCAAATCCGTCAAGAAATTCATGCCGCCAACCACACGACACTGGTTGGAGCTGTTGGCTTTATTACCGAGGCCCACTCCGCGCGCGATATTGTTCAGGGCGCAGAAGAAGAGGCACGGGCGACCGAAGCAATTCTGTCCGGTCCAAAGCCTCGGGCTGATGCTGTATTAATGGCCCGTCAATTTCTGCGTGAGCCGGAATGGGTGCTAGCGGCGGCCAAGAAACTGGATGTGAAGGTATCTCTCCCGTGGCAGTTTACTCGGGGTTTACTGTAAAGTGGACACACAAATCATTCATAAATTAATGTTCCTTGCATGATTGCAACCTCCTTGAATTTATCCGAGTATCAGTGCCGACTGTAGTACTCTGTACAACGTAGCTACCTAGGTATAGACGCCCAAGACTGAGAAAAGGGGAAGATCTTCGAAGATCATTTCCATACTGGAATTTCCTGTCAGCTTTCATGCAGACTTGCGTTTCAACCTTCTAAACGAGGGCCATCGTCCGAGCCTTGTTCGCCCAGGTGACTTGTCGTATACGCAATGGGCGAATGGTGAACTTGTTATCAACCACGACTCCCGCCCTCCCCGCGCCGTCCAGTTTACAAGCCAATAATTCATCAACGTGCAACGCCAAGCACCGGGCCAAGACTCGGGAGCCGACGTTACAATGCATTTGGAGATGAATTAGTGCTGAGCATTGTCCAGCATTGTTTATGCCGGGACTTTTTGGCTCGAGTCGGATAAGGCTGAAATATAAAATCTACAGTTCCAACCCGGAGATGAGGATAACTACATTCCTCACTGGAGCCTTGATTACTCAACGCATTCCAGCTGGAATTCACAGGTCAATCGGAAAAATTTCGACATTTACCAAAAGAGAACTACAATGGGCATCTCTCGCGCGGCCTTGCTTCTGGCCTTCGCCATCCAGCCTTTCCTAGGTGGAGCGTTGCCTGCCCCAGCACCACCTGGGGTCCCGTCGGCCCCTACTGCAACGAGTGAGCTAGAACGTTTGACCGTCGCTGCACAAGGATCGCAGGATGGATATAGCCGTGAGGAATTTCCGCACTGGATTACAGTCAGCGGGTGAGTAGATGTGTTCATGACTCTGAAGTATTGGCGGCTCACATTGTGACAGAGATTGCAACACACGCGAAACAGTCCTCAAGCGGGATGGAACCGACGTGGAGCAAAGCTCTAGCTGCAGTGCTACTAGTGGATCCTGGCTTTCTCCGTATGATGGCGAGACTTGGACAGATGCAAGTGATGTCGACATTGATCACCTCGTCCCGTTATCAAATGCATGGAAGGTGAGCTTGCATCATCTGGCAGGATTGACGGCTGGAGTTATTAACAAATATTGGCAGTCCGGCGCGTCCAGTTGGACCAAAGCAGAGCGGCAAGCGTTCGCCAATGACCTCGAGAATCCCCAACTTCTCGCAGTCACCGACAATGTGAACGCCTCAAAGGGCGACAAAGGCCCAGAAGACTGGAAGCCTCCCCTGGGTACGTCATAAAGTGTGTGTATTGTCTAGTCTACAGATTGCTGACATCCAACTAGCTTCATATTACTGCACCTATGCCAAAATGTGGGTGAAGGTGAAATCGGTCTACGATCTTACCATCACTTCGGATGAGAAGGCTGCTCTTGTTGAGATGCTTGATACTTGCTGAAAGTCAAGTACATGTAGTGGAATGAATAGGTGGAAGATTGGAGAATAGGTCGCAATATAAGCACCTTCAAAGTTGTAAACAACGTGCATTCGCTAGATTTGACAATTAACCGCCTTTGCTAAGCCCACAATCGCACAGTTGCTGTCATTACTAAAAGTTAAATACGACGGCAAGTATTTTGAACAAAAGCAAAGCATCGCTAGAGATTACAGCTGTCCGCGAACTGAAAAGGAAAGATCAAGGTTGAGTAATGAGGCATCATCTGGGCGCTGCCACTTCAGCACTGAAGATGGTTTAGGAAGGAAGTCTTCGGTGCGCGTCTGCATTTTGATGGGACGGCTCGGTCGGTTTTCGCAGCCGAACCGATCGGGCTATTCTACACTGGCCTAAAGTACAACCTCGCTCAAAAGGCGTTGCAAACCGTGGAGGGTCCCTCGGCAAAGACCAAGTGTGACAGCGTATGCACTCCGGACAATCTGGAAATCTGGCGATAAATGACAATATAGTTCATCCAATCCATGATGCACGGAAGTCGGGTTTGATCAATCCTGCTGGGGCTGTCTCTTTGTGTCGATTAGCTGAATCAAAAGAACTGGAGTCAGAGACACCACTGCAATGATACCGCACATAACACCAGCAGCCCCGCTTAGCCCGAGGTTGGCATACATATCAGGGAAGTAAAATGGACCGCACTAAAGAGGTATCCCAGTCAGCATGCACCTTGAACCAAAGTTGGAACTTTTGTCGGATACTCACAAATCCATAGATCTGGCGACAGAGGTTGATGAAAACACCGATGCTGGCGGAATGTTCCTTGTGGCTATCGACTGCGAAGGATATGAGGATGGTAGTGAGCACCTGGTTCCCAAAAGCAGCGATAGCCATGCCGATACAAGGTGTAACGTTCCAAGTGGTTGCCTTTTCTAACTGGAAGCCCCAGACTAGCAAGCCGGTGAAGACAGTGCCATACCCAATATATGAAAGCCACAAACGATCCGCAGGGATAGTATGGCCATTTCGGCGCTGTAGGAACCTCAGGAACCAATCTGACATTGGTCCACTAACTTGTTCGCCAATAACCGAGCCGATGATGATGGAGACGAACTGGTAGCCCACTTGCTGGGCATTGAAGTGGAATTTCTCGCCGAAGATTAGTGGCGTCTCCACGATGATAGCGATGTTGGCGTAGGCGAATTCGACGCCATACGCAATTCCTGGAATCAGAATGCGAGGGAAACGCCCGAGGAACAGAGGAGCGATAAAGTTTTGCAGTTCGAAGGGGCGAGGGTCGAGCCGACAGGGAATGAATCGACTCCAGCCATTGCTGGGTTTTGGAGAGACGGAAGCATCCTTCACGTATAGGGTCTCATCACCGAAAAGGACGTATGCAATGAATTGAACGCCGTTCATAATTGCAAATATCCCAAATATCCAGGCTACTCCTAGGTGTTGCACCACAAAGCCATTTATGAATGCACCACCCGGGATTCCGATAGTGATCAGCAAGGTCCACCATCCCAGCTTCCGGGCACGCTCTTCTGGGTAACACAGTTCCGTCACTACACCGCTGCCAATGCCGAGGGGAGGAGAGATGAGCCAGGCTGCAATAGCACGAGTAGCCATCTGCGTGCCAAATGTCTTGCAGAACACGCCTCCGATGTTACACACCATGGTGCCGAGCACCGAGAACATGAAGATGTGGTAACGGCCATAGCGCATCGTAATGGGAATCCAAAAGAATGGGGCAATTCCCAAGATGAGGATCTAAGAAGGATAAAGATGCCTTGTTAGCTTATGGCCGGGTCAAGTGATAGAAAAATACGTACCTGGACAGACGTTAAATAGCTGGCCTGAGGAACCGTGATTTTGTACTCCTCAGCCATTGATTCATATCCAGGAATGATCCCGGCGGCCATGAACACGCATACCATCGAGTGGATGGCTACCATTAGGATTTGGGCATTTCGTTTCCATGCGGGCCAGTTAATTGGTGCCTCCGGTGCTTGCGTGTCCGAAGTTGCAATGGAAACGTCCTCCTGGTGTGCTGAGGCTTCCAATTGATCCTTCCTTATGCTATCATGGGCCATACTGTCCGATCGAACAGCAACTGCCGGGGAAAGGTCCTCGCTCATCCTTTGCAGGAAATTGAGAATCTGTGGCACAGAAGCTGCAAACGAAACGGATGATTGCTTGATAATTCAGGGTAAATGGGGCCCTAGTGACGCAGAAGTGATGATTGAAGAACCAAACCCAATTGACCTTATACGAAGGATCAAGACGAATTGCGCAAATATGTTCGATACCTCGAAAAGCACATGGAAGAGGCCCTTTGAAAGTGGCCCTTTCTAAGGCTTGCGGGGCCCCATGGGGAATAGTTTACGACGGGAATAATTCCGTGCCAAGCTGCAAACACCAGCAATCTCTTACTCTATCCAGAAATATTGATCCCATATCTCTATCCACACACACTACCCACACTTGGCATTTATACGGTTTAGATAAAGCACGCTAGTGAGACTGCCGATTCTACGTTCCGGGACCGAGGTTCGGATTGGAACCCGCATTCGGGATGGATTTCGGGATGGATTCCGTGATCCCCGACAACAGCCAGTGCCCTCCCGGGCGAGGGCGGAAGTCTGCGCTGTGGCAACGCCAAGAGGTGTACCAACCGCACGCGCTTGTGTCAAACAGTTTACTTCTGTTTGAAGAAGTAGTTTACCTGGGCTGATATTCATCGGTTTGAAAACAGCCCGTACTGCGCTAAGCATATGATGTAAAGCCTAACATTGCTGAATAAATGGAAGAGTGACATTTGCCATCGCAGAAGTTCTTCATACCTACCTAGGTAGGTATGTTGTAGATGGATCAGTAATTGTTCTGGATGCCCTGGTGCCTTAGGCATAACACCTCAGTAGTTGTTGGGAGCTTTCTTCTTTCTCTCCCAATACAACTGCTACCTAGGTAGCTTAGAAGAAACATAATCATAAGCAGTGTAGATTTCCTTTAATTGGCTACTATTGACTTGGAAGCTGCAATTTTCGTTGGACGATGACGTCTGCAAGAACAGATTATGCACCCAAACACCAACAGTAGCAAACCTCCCCCAATCCCAGCAGCAAGTCCAATAACCAGTGGCAAATGATCATCTATCCATGCTGCCGCCGATTCACCGTCTGATCGGCTATTTCCATTGCTTCCTCGCCCTCGTCCAGTGCCTGTTCCGGTATCCGACCTACTGCACCCGTCTCCTCCCCTCCATTGACACGTCACAGAGTCGCAACATTCCGTATCCTGCTCGTCACAAGACCCATTCCCACAGTCACATGCCTCCCCAGTCTCGAGAATACCATTGCCACACTGGCCAACACGACCTGTGCCATTTCCATTGCGAGACTCCACCAAGCAGCGCGCGTCAACTTGGCCAGAACCTATCCGTGAGCAGACATTTCCGATAGTGCAGGGAGAGAAACGGGTCATGCCCGGCCCGGATACTGGGTTCATAATATACTGTTCGCCAGCATCACATGTGTTAGAAGACATTGGGCAACACTGAGATGACGATGACTCTGTTCCACATGACTGGGAGTTACAATCGTGGACGGCGCCGAATGTATGAGCTGACTCATGACTTTGTGTGTCAGCCTCGTGTGTGATATAGGGCGTGGAATTCGTAGGGTGGAAAACGTACGCAAATACCTGCCATTCGGATTGTGTTCGAGCTACCACATTGGCACTCGATGCGCTATAGCTAGAGCCAGAATTGCATAGTGCCCCGATCCAGGAAACGCCAACCTGCCCTGCTTCCACCGAGCATCCAGTCAAAAGAGTCCAATATGCATTGTTGTCATTGATTGAGCTCCTCCACGAAGAGAAGGTTTCAAGGCGGGTGTTCAAATCTCCCACCGAACACGGGGTATTCCAGTCTGTCAAAGCCGAGACGCTGGTCGGGCACTCAGCATTGCTCATGGTCAAATTCTGGATGCTGAGTGAGACATTGAAGCTATTCTCAAAGACAACGGATGCGGTATTGACCATATTCAGGATATATCGTTGGGCAGAGTCTGAAGAATTGAAGCTTGCGGTGTAAGTGCAATCAGTCGCAATACCGATGTACGCAGTTCGTCTCGTTTGTGGACATCCATAGGTATTCCCGATGTTATCTGCTAGGTTGTCGCCCCATGCATTCCATTCGAACTGCCGCTTGTTCAGAACATCTCCCGGTGCGGTTGCACAGGTCCAATTCGGTGCCATCCGGTTTCCAGTTGGAAAATCTGACTCGCGTTTGCGGGCTATAATTTCCGCGGGTCCATTCTCCTGTGGCTCCTGCCGAATCCCATACTGCGAGGACAAAACTGTGAACGTACCGTCCAATGAAAGAGCCTCTTTCTCTTGAGTTACAGCAAGCCTGGCCCATCCAACATTTTCCCATTGTCGGCCAGGTGCTTCTTGCATCCATACTGATCCTTTGGTCAAATATAGCCCAGAGCTGATGGCTCCCTCACCCGCGCTTTGTCCATTGGCATCTAAATTGTGGATATAAGCGTGTTCTGGTATGAGGTCGTCGTTGGTTTCGAGAACAAATCTTAATGCCAGCTCAGATTTGTCAATATCTGTGGTGATATCAAAGGTAGATGGCCGGAGGCCGCCATCTAGTCGAGGGAGAATGGAAGGATTGACGAAGCGAAATATGCTTGCTTCAACTGAACGAAACAGTTAGTATACCATCCACATAGCAATGTTCGGAACCCTATTCCATGCTCACATGGTGTAGCTAACGCAGGGATTAGTGGTATGATTAACACAGTGAAGATGGTGAACAGAGTTGATTTCTTCATTCCAGGCGGTATATCTTCTCTTCACGTGTTGACGGTTACTGTAAGACATGAGCGCGTTACTGCAGTCTTATATGTGTAATTATTCTACATATATGTGCCAAACCTCAAGTCCGGCTCATCGTCTCGCTGCGCCCAAATTATGAACATTAATAAAAATAGGCGACATACAACCACGATCGAGAACAATAATTGTCAGCGACAATGGCTAAGCCACCGGAGATAAGACGTTGCCAAGTGTATGCATACGAGTACACTAGAAAACGCCGGCGACATAGGAACTTAACCATCAATCCACCAACCATTAAACGGATCCATGGGCCAAAATACTTGATGGCCGCTCCGATGAAAAAGCATCAAGGTGATTCTGACTCGATAATGTGATGGGAATAGCCCACGGTCAACGGGTGGGTCTCTTGGCCTGTCAGCAACTTGCATCGACACCGATCTCTTAAATCTTGCTGCCTTGATAATAGACTCGACTTACGTAGACTCTATAAATGCCAAGATACGATGAATAGTTCAGACAATAGCACTCGCCGGGCTGTGCTAGGAAAGAGTGGCGGCATTTTCTTTTGGCCCAGTAGACAAGGCTTGGCTTTCTATAAGGCAAATATCCAGGCAGGCGGGAATATACATGTTGTAAATACAACGACTTGAAGTTCTTGTGCAGGATATATAACGACATATAAAAAGATAAGAACACCAGTTGATGAAAAACAGTGCGATTATCGACTTGTGGGGAAACCCTCAATTTATTGGTGCACTTTCGGATAGGTGGGCTGGTGGGAATTAACGACGTTGGAACGAACACAGCGATGGGACCCGGTATTTATTGACGGTCTATGACTTCACCACTATATTAAAAACATGCTTGTCCAGGCCGTCTTCTTGTTCAATTTGTTCGTAACTTGTTGGCCTTCCTATCGATCGTCTTTCAACAGGTATGATACTAATTAGATCATGCGGCAACTTCGTAGAAGATCTGGATTCTGAAGGCCCGCATTCGACTTCACTATCTGTATATCACTCTCACAAAGCCGCACCCGCCCAAGAAAGGTCTGCACAATTTAACGACAATCATAGTAAGAACAACAATTCATCCATGTAATATTGCCTAGCTTCCTTCATATTTCTATTGCCCGCATGCTACTTTCCAGGTGTAGCGGATTCTGTGCTTCGTTCGTTTTGAGGTAACAATCTGCTAATCTTGCGAAGTAGGCATTGACTTCACCTCACGCCCGAGGACTCCTCATTGGAGACTTTTACCATTATGTGGATATGGAGCGTTTCTTGCGATCCACTAGATATGGGTCAATTGGACGACCCATCGTGGCTGTGTTGTTTATGAAGGTAAAGTCATTGGTCCTTACTCCGTACTGAAGCAATAGTCACATTGATGGTTATAATATGACATTTTCTTTTCGTAAGTCTGTCCGTGTGGTAATTCCCATAACAGAACTTACCCTACTTACATAGGTTGCATTTGTACATAGATAAAACCCCTGTAAAGCTGACAGCTAACGCTCGGTTTAAAGGGATAGCATAGTGTGCAGCTAGAACTATGGTGCAAGTTTATCTTACGACGGCAATCTGTGTGGGCATCCCTTACCAAACCACCAAAGGTTCTCCTTTGCCTTGCATCGCATCCGTTAGCCACACTTCCAAGGTTCTTCATCCTGCTTAGGCGGAGCAGGCGTAACATGTTCAAAATGTCATCAGACAGCCACCCTTACGCATCCGTGGTGGTGGCGTTTGTCAATCGCACAAAGTAAGACGTGGTCGCCCAAGACTTTACACTAACTGTATTCGTGGCGGTCCAGAATGTGTCGCATCTCCTCCTAGATAGAGGATGTTATGCCAACAGAATAGATGTTCTCCGCAGAAGCGCAAAGAATGTTCAGATCTACATGCAAGATGAGATAATAGAGGAGAGAGACATAATACGTTGTATTGTGGACAGCGTGAAAGCTGTGAAGAGGAGAAAAGAAGTAAGACTGTAAGAGTCTTCTAATATAGGAAGGTTAGATGGCTATGGGAGATCTCAACACCCCTACGATCATAGGCACTATGATTGTAATAACAAATACCACCTATAAACCTTATATTCCTCCCGAGAAAGTGAAATATCGAGGACGTCGACGGTATATATAAGAGGTCGAGGAATTTGATCAAGTTAATATCGACGGAGGTAGTCCTCAGACTAATTATAAGGATAGAGACAATGCTGGTCTCCGATGAACGCGGGGTTCGATAAGACGTTGATAGTCTCGATGAGATGCTGACCGATAAAGTGCGGATCTCGGGATGAACGTAGGGTTCGATGAGACGTTGGAAGTCTTAGAAGATGAAATATTGGTCGTAAGAAGACGTTGATCTCTATGAGAAGCGGATCTTAATGGGACCGTGGTTCCCACATCCCAAAGGTCGGAAGGAAAGGCTGTCTCGTAAAGACGAGACGGTGAAGATGATGAAAACAGCGATAAAAACGATGAATTCGAAGGTGTAAAGATGCAAGCTAGATGAGATATCTAGATGTAGAGGATCTGTAGAAATTTGCGCATGCAGAGAGATGAGAGAGTTGTATGATGAAAAGCTCTGCTGGAGGGGCAGACAACAAACAAGTAAGGCGGAAGGCAAACAAGCCATCAAGGTTCAGACTATGGCGGTCTGATCTTTCTTGGCCACGCTGAGATGACAATCACCCGGTAGAAATCTCTGCAATACAGAGGCCGCCTGTCGCCCCTTACAGATCTAGCAACTAGCTAGATCTGAAGCTATTCCCACTGCCTAAACAGGTAATTGTCCGGGCTAGGCGGAGGTGACTTGTAAGCTTCGCTGGACTAAGGTCCCGAAATAGCTTTTTGATGTAGAGGGGTGCTGGGCTTAGCACTACCCCCTATTCGTTGAAAATTCACACTGTGCGTGAGTATAAATCCGAGGATATTGACTGACTGTTAGACCAGATCAATACTGAGTCCCCGGGCTTATAACCTGTTAAGATCTATATGCAAGATGAGGTCATAGAGGAGAGAGACACAATACGTTGTATTGTGGACAGCGTGAAAGCTGTGAAGAGGAGAAAGGAAGTAAGACTGTAAGAGTCTTCTAATACAGTAAGGTCAGGTGACTATGGGAGATCTCAACAAAGGAGCCTACCAACCTTCCGTTGGAAGGAGACAAGGATGTCACAACTCCATTTCTCCAGGGCTGCTTGATGGGTGAGATATGATCAGGCGGCTCGCCCGGGATTCTGAGCTTATGTCAGAAAATGACCCCGCCCGGGCGCAGAGCACATATTCTTCCAAGGTAGAAACAGTTCCAGCACTACAAGCCTGGGGAACATCTCCTTTGACCATGAATAGGGTCGCACATGGTACCGAGTTCAAATATTTGTTTCTAGCCACATAGACTACCTAGTTATAGTTGTACCTATTATTCATGGACTGGTGTCTTAAGTATTTTTATGCACCTGCAAAAGTAAACCCGGTTAGCACAGCCGGATTCGCTGTTGGCACAGACTGGACGGCTAGCCCAGTTAGGTAAGGTCTCTTGGCAGTCAGTCTTCAATGCGACCCTGGAGCTGCGATTTTCTATGGTATTCCCACAATAAATGACACAGCCTTCGATCCACCTCAGCCACATGATACTTCCACCATCGATTACTTCAAAAATCGCCTGATCTGTCAATTGTTGGATAGCGTTCTAACTAGTAGTAGCGAGTCAGGTGTCTCCAGGGCTCCTTATAAGTGTCGACCATGGAAATACCATAGTCGGGGCATTCAAGGGCTGTGCTTTTTCCTCAGTGATACTACGGGGTAGTAGGTAGAGACCTTGGAGACTCTTCGGGAACGCCAAGGGTAAAGGGGTTAGCTCTGTGTGGCAATAACGTTTACCCCTGCAAAATACAGTTGGCGTGTGGGGATTTATGTGGGTCGGGCCCACAATTTGACAGGTACCGACCTGGGTACTCCGTACAACAGACATCTGTACATACAATGCTCAAGTATCCTTTAACATAGTAAGTGCCAATAATCCTTGACCCTAGAAACTTTATAGTTATTTATTTCATAGTCTGACATTTTCAGCGGGTTTCTAGCTTTGTTTATATTTATATATGTATAATATTCATGATAATGAGCTCCAAAAGCAACGAAAAATCCACACCCATAGCATTCGAGTGATCCACTATAGGATCCCAATGCCAAGGATGACCTCACAAAGCATAGGAATAGGATTTGGATTCTTTAGCTTCAGTGAGCAGCGATAGTAAATATCGATAAGAACTACAATGTAATTTCTCATACAAACATTCATTCAAGCACTCTTGGCGACGGGAGAGACAGACAGGCTCGGATTTGGACCTACGTATACTCTGAGCCAAGCCCAGAAACACCGGACAGGAGATGCTTGGCACGGTTAACTAGCGAAACGAGACAATCTCGGAGATTTGCACTGCCTCAAAACATTCTCTTGGCTCCTGAACCCCAAAGGTCAAATACCCCCCCTCTTCTTTTGTAAAAGCAAAGGAAACTATCAACTATTACTACATACCTACCTCACAATGACCGTCAATCAGACAAGCATCGAGAAGCGTGGCGAGGAAATCCTCAACATCTTCAACACGGCCTTTGGAGACCTCCTCGCCAACGACCCTGCTGCTTTCCAGGGCAAGTTCCGCAAGATGGCAGCCTCAGCCTTTGCTTTCTATCGTGGATCTGCTTGTCTCTTCTACCACGATGTCGAGCTCGGGGAGCAGAATGGACCTTTCTTGGACGACAAAACCAAGAAAATTTGGATTCACGGTGATTTACATGCAGAGAACTTCGGCAGCTATATGGACTCCCAGGGCAGTTTAATCTTTAACGTCAATGATTTCGACGAGGCCTATGTTGGCCCCTTCACCTGGGACATAATGCGCTTCTCCGCCTCTATCGCTCTTATTGGATACGCCAAAGCTCTCAGCGACCAGCAGATTACGAAGCTCGTGACGGCATACGCCGAAGCGTACCGTGAACGCATCCATACCCTAGCTGCCCACAAAGGCCAAGACGATGCGGCACCGCGCTTCACCCTGGATACCGCTCAAGGCCCATTGCTAGAGGTCCTGCACACTGCTCGCGCACAAACACGGATTGGATTGCTTAACGGGATGACGGAAATCCACGATTCGGAGCGGCGGTTCACTCCCGGTGGTGGCGCAATCCAGCTGGACTCTGCCACACGCGACAAGGTCGTGAAGGCGTACCACCGCTATCTCGAGACACTTCCCAAGTCGTGGCACATCTGTCCTGGCCAGTACCGCATCAAGGATATCGTGGGCCGTCGTGGTGTAGGTATTGGCTCTGCAGGTCTCCCGTCCTACAACCTTCTGCTTGAAGGCACGAGCCAGGCGCTCGAGAACGACGTGGTGATCTACATGAAACAGTCCGCTGCGGCCGCGGTCTCGCGACACGTCGAAAATGCCGCCGCCGCCGCCTATTTCCACCATGAGGGCCACCGGACTGTCATCTCGCAGCGTGCTCTGCAGGCGCACGCCGACTCTCGGCTCGGCTGGACCGAGATCGATGGTGTGGGCCACCTGGTTGCGGAGGTCTCTCCTTACGCCGTGGACCTGGACTGGTCCGAAATCAACGACGTGGAGAAGATGGCCGCAGTGGCTGCTGATCTTGGGCGGGCCACCGCTATGATGCACGCCGCTGGGGATGATGATGAACTTCACTCGGGGCTCGTGCCTTTCTCACCCGAGCAAGCCATTGATGCTTGTATCTCAGCTGATGAGTCCCGCTTTGCAGACTTCCTCATCAAGTTTGCCCATGAGTACAGCGCGCAGACTCGCCGAGACCACCAGATCTTCATCGATCTGTTCCGCAATGGCCGCATTCCTGGCTTACCCACTGACAGTGACTGAGGGGTTGCTCTCTTCTGTCACTCTAGATATATACAATGTATATATCATTCGAAGGCATTGTCCATAATAGATGGACTACTGAAAATTTATAAAACTGTCGAAAGCTGCCCAAATTTGCACAGATTTCCTGCATAACCCGAAGGCAAATGAAAAGCGGGGATCCATTTTTTCGACCGTATTTGGACTACCCGAATCTCCCGCATGGGGTATCACATGGCCGTGTGCAGATGTCGAGAGACCGAGTGCTTTAAGTAGATTTCAGTGTAGAGGTAGTAGAGGCATCAAAAACTGCCAGAATTTCAATCCGTACGACCGCGGCCTAGGATCCGGCAAAACGGGGAATAACACGGAGGTGATAATGTAGCGACGCTGATTCTTGTCAATATACATCTCACTTGGTGAACTAACCTTGTAAAGTTCAACTTCCAATCTAATGATATCTCCCTCCGTGTCAGCTGAGGGGATCAGTGCGGTCGCGCGACCCTTAAGATTGTGGGCTACCGAGGGGACAACGCGATGTCCCGTTTTTAGCCAAGCGCCGAGATAATTTTGGCCTCCAAATTCATTCGTTCTATTCCCGTGGTGTCGGAGACCGAAAAGCCACAACCGTCTTTAACTGAGTCTATTAGCGAGACAGCCAACTGCCCCAAATGTCCCAAGTAGCTTCGATTTCCCCTAGAGAGGAGATGAAAATAAATCATTGACGTGACGACGTGACGAACCATGCAGCAATAAAAGATCTGAGCCAGTACAAACCTTGGAAGGTTCAGGAAGGTTCAGGGAATGTTCAGCTGACGCATTGGGGGGAAAACCGTGCAGGCACATGTCAGGCACATGTCACGTATGACTGGCTACCTAGGTATGCGGTCGATTTACGTGAATTCCTTCCGGAGGATGGTTTTTCTGGGCCTCATGTATGTTTTATGTTTTATCTTTGAGAGTTCAATACCTCTGAGGTAGACCATACATTGTCGTACCAACAGATTTTCGTCAGCCCACTCTAAAGCTGTCGGCAGGATAGCACTCCCGTATAGCAGCATATATTTAGAGCGAGCTAAAGCGGGCAAATGAATTCATTATCAAATACCATATATCAGCGCTAAAACCCTAACCACCAACAATGACCTCCGGACCACGATAGTGATCCGACTGTATGGGATGAATTCTACTTCCTGTCGTCCCCTCTTTTGCTTCTGTATTACTCTTGAGCCGCGTCGCCAACCCAAAATCAACAATTTTGGGCTCATATTCAGGGCGCGTGTCGCGTGATCGAATCAGCCTGAAAATGCAAACGGGTCATATCCCTTTCATCGAGTCAATTTCCACCATTGGAACACATCATGGAGAACCTACGCAGCCAAGAAGAGACTTAAACAGTCGTGGTTATCATCGTTAGCTGCAACGTCCAAAAACCCAACCCTGTCTCTCGGTCTCCGAGACCTGCTCCGTTGTTGTTTTCGCAAAGATCTGCCACTACAAGGGACTAGATACTTCCCCATCCTTTGCCACGCCTACTATGTTCTCAAAGCCCCGAATTACCGAATATCCTGCATGGAACACTTAACTTCTTGCAGAGTCTTCCGAGATAGGCCTAAACCATCCATCGGACTCCCGACGGGCAAAGAGTCGCAATTAATCTAAAAGTTGGTTATCAAGTTTCACACTCACAGCTTCTCCATTAAATTTCCCTGTGCGCATATTAAGAGTCTCTAAACGGCTAGATGAACCTAAAGCAATGCAACCCCCCGGACTTACCCCATGTGTTGATCACCTGGGGCTGGGCCTGCTATGTGAACCATAGGTTTGTTTCGTCATCCGTCCACCCCTGGTTATCAGAGTGTTACAATCGTAGATTGCCGGGTATCTTGGCATTGTGTCTGGTAAACTAAGCGAAGAAAGATCGTTGCCTAAAGCGATGGTTTGCTCCGTTTAACATACTCATTCTCCGTCCAGGTCCGGCATGTCCCATCACCAGGATCTGAAGATGGAGATGTAGTTGAGCCCGGAAGACCGGCGGCGATGGGCCTCTTCTCCATCTCTCAGTATGTTATAAAAGGGACTCTTTGCTCCCAAGTTGAGGATTCTCATTAGCATCTTCCTGAGTTTCATCATCATCTTCTTCGGCTTTATAACATTTCTAACCACAAACATGGGTTTCCTCAAGCTCCTCTCTACGTCCCTTGCGACTCTGGCAGTCGTCAATGCCGGTAAGCTCCTTACCGCCAGTGACGCCGACGCGGTCATTCCTAGCTCCTACATTGTTGTCATGAATGATGGCGTTAGCAACGCGGAGTTCGAAAAGCACCGTGGCTGGGCTGCAAATATCCATGCTCGTAGCACGAGTCTCAAGATTGGCGAGTCTGGACCAGGGAAGCATTTCGACATCAATGGCATGAAAGGCTACAGCGCTACATTCGATGATAGTACCGTCAAAAACATTGCCAGTGACCCAGCAGTATGGCGTTCCATTACGCACGTTGATTCCTCAAGAGCGCGTTGCAATCTAACAGTGGAAATATAGGTCAAGTACATTGAACCGGACATGGTTGTGAACGCGACCGACAACGTGGTTCAGCCCAATGCTCCTTCATGGGGCCTTCCTCGCATCTCTAGCAAGAAGCCCGGTGCTACCGACTATGTGTATGACTCTACTGCTGGTGAGGGCATCGTGGTCTATGGCGTCGACACCGGCATTGACATTAAGCATGCCGACTTTGACGGCCGCGCTGAGTGGGGCACCAACACTGCTGATAGTGATGACACTGACGGCAATGGCCATGGCACCCACACTGCATCTACTGCGGTGGGCAGCAAGTTCGGTGTTGCAAAGAAGGCCACTGTCGTTGCTGTTAAGGTCCTTGGTGCCGATGGTTCTGGAACCAATTCGCAAGTCATCTCCGGCATGGATTGGGCCGTTAAAGACGCAAAGTCCCGCGGCGTCACTGGCAAGTCTGTTATGAACATGTCTCTGGGTGGTACCTTTTCTCAGGCTATGAATGACGCCGCTGCCAATGTCGTTAAGTCCGGTGTCTTCCTCTCTGTTGCTGCCGGCAATGAAGGCGAGGATGCGAAGAACAGCTCGCCTGCTTCCGCCCCGAATGTATGCACTATCGCCGCTTCTACCAGCTCAGATGGAAGTGCTTCCTTCACCAACTTCGGTTCCGTTGGTGAGAACTCCCCCTTCCCATAGTGCGAAGTGTGCTTGGTGGTCCGGGAAGCGTACTAACGGTATTACTACAGTCGACCTTTATGCTCCTGGGGAGGACATCACGGCCGCATACCCTGGTGGTGGCTCAAAGTCCCTGTCTGGAACCTCTATGGCTGCTCCACATGTTGCTGGGGCTGCCGCCTACCTGATGGCTCTCGAGGGCGTGGCCTCTGATAAAGCTTGCGCCCGTATTGTCGAGCTTGCTATCTCGTCTATCTCCAGCGCTCCGTCCGGCACTACTAGCAAGCTTCTGTTTAACGGTATCAACGCCTAATGAATGTCCTCATCGTGTGGCGGATGATTACGGTATGGCGCCGTGAGTAGCCTATGTATATGTTCTTGGGCGAGCTTTGGTACTAAGCCATGTTTGTGCATATTTAACGCTTGTTTGATTATCTGGCTTCGCATACTCTCATTTTAAGTTTGCGGAGATGGTTTATAAGTAGCTAGGTAACTACAAGTTCACGGTCATAACAGACTTTCCGACTCTTGACTATGTAGGCTACTGCTGGCACAGGTGTCAAAGAATGTACGTAGGAGTAGAAAAAGAACTTTTTTTGTAATGCTTATATATTAGGAATTGGAGGAAAGTGTTCCGAGCTAGGTTCTAATTTCATTTATTTCTCTTGATTAGGAAAACTTGTTAAGATCTACAAGCAAGACGAGATCATCAAGGAGAAGAGACACAATACGTTGTATTGTGGACAGCGTGATGTGGACAGCGTGAAAGCTGTGAAGACGGGAAACGGAGTAAGACTGTAAGAGTCTTCTAATACAGGAAAGTCAGGCGACTATAGGAGATCTCAGCCCTGAGATCTCCCTGCAGGGCTGAACGATCATCGCCCACGTCATGACGGTGCCCGATAGACCCTGAAGTCTCACAGCCACCTTTTTTGGCCCCCTATGACGAAGCGAAGTCTCAGGCAAAAGCAGGCTATGCTAGTCAATTTCATATAAATCAGTCACCCCAGTACAATTAAAGATATACACAAATATCATTTCCTTTATCTCCTTCCGTCCGTACCGCGCAAAGATCAAACCCACTATCACCAACCCTTCCACAAACACACCTGAATCAAAATGTGTTTCGGCTCTGGCTTCTTTGATGGGATAAAGCCGAATCCACCTCGTCGAGAAAAATACAAAGACGAGGAGAAGTACCAGCGAGACTATGCCCGGTACGAAAAGAAGTTAGAGAACTACTTGAGCAACGATAACAGACGGAGGAGATTGGCGAATTCCAAAGCTGGAGCTACGGCGGGGGTGACTTTCGCATTGGGCGGCTGATGACTTGGACTGGGCGGTCAGGAATCCTGCCGAGGGCGGTGAGGGAGAGTGCAAACTGTTTGTGAAAGCTCCGATGTTTGCAGTATTTGCAGTATTTACAGTGTTTGCATCTAGCACCCCACAAAGAATCCTGTCTCCGCCAATCTTGTCTTTCTCTTTTTCTTCTTTCTGAAGATCCGGCAACAAACTGCACATATATTTTTCCAGGGAATTTCCTATTTGAATCGCCGCTTCGATGAGGCTCGGGCGGACGAATGGGCTCACTACAAAATGGAACGAACATATCATCATGTCTACAAGCTTGCTGTTCGATAGGGTAGTTAACCTTGTCAATCAATTTCTAGCCAAATAATTACTAGTTGTACATTAGTCGTTGAATCAGTTTCGCCTGGCTGGAACTTTGACCTCATATTTGAGATGTAAGAGTATTTAGTAGGTAAAAGGAGTAAGTTTGGAGACCCGTTACTATTTGCGCATGACTACATAATGGGCGGAAGAAGGAACTATTCACATTCCCATGTACAGTATTGGATGGACAAGAGGAGAAATGAAAAGAGAGGTGAAGCAGGATCTAACAATGCGTGCCTGATGCCTTAAGTGATCACCGCAAGTTCCAAAAATCAGGGCTTGACAAAAGTTAAGAAGTCCAAGGAAAGATCCTGGAAGAAAGTAGCTCCAGTAGCGGCTTCGGGACGGGCTGTCTCTGTGACGTTGCAGTAATCGAAAAAGTCACCCGCCTCATCAATTCTCTTGTCAATCAAAGCAAGGTAATCCGACAAAGGGCAGCTCCTCCCAGGGCCATTTTGACAGCTGACTATAGGATAAACAGCGTCATTGAACAGTACACGGATGTAAGGCCCATTCGTGGCGTTATCGAAATTGCAATCCATCACTTCGAAAGCAACAGTGCCTCGCATAGTGATGAAGTGCGCCACGTTATACAAATGGTCGACCGGTATGTGATCATCGGGAAGAAGTCCCTCGAAATCGAAAATTCCCATGGCAGCGGTCATCTCCACAATTTGCTTGTCGTTCAGAAAAGCCATGATAAGGCTCGGAATTTCGAAGCTCGTGCCGTTGGGTCCAACGCCGACCTGCCCAGGACCTGTCTCTAGAAGAGAGAGGAGACTTTTCAGGAATGGAAGGAAAAGTACCTTAGCAGGGCCAATTGAACCGGGCCCCACGCCGTAAAAATAGCTCAGGTCCTGCGAGTAGGCGTAGTTACGCAGCTCCTCCTCTGTAAAAACATCACACCATGGGCTAAGACGGCCTTCAATCTGACTCTCGTATGCACACATGTAAGGAAAAAATAGTACTTCAGTTTCGTCAAAAGTAAGATTCCCTTTGATTTCGGAGTTGATACGATGTACAACTTCGGGTAGCCACGTAGCATCCCCTATAGATATGTAAGCTGGTGTTCTTAGGGGCACGGTAATGGAAACCAGGGAAGGGGGCTCTTTATGTTAAGAATAGAAGGCATTATTTGCTTGGTGGCACTTACAATTTGTCACGTTGTCGCCTCCACTAGAGATAGATTCAAATGCAGGACAGGAATCCGACGGCCCGAGTGAGTTACCAATAGCAGCAGGAGAACCCGTAGAGTTCACGCTTACTACGGTACCGTAGCTGTCGGCATACTCATAGAGGTAGCCATTGAGGAATGCTCTGGCGGTTTGAACCACTCGTGATTCATTGATTGGAGACTTGTATTGATTGGCCCACACATAGAATGGGTTGCCATCCTGATAAAACCCGGGATCTGTTGAGACTTATTAGTTCAAGGACTTCCGACTTGCAAAACGAGCAATGCCTCACATCTAGACCGCAGTTGGTAGCCAAGGTCACTTGCCTGCCCAAGTGGAGTTTGTCAGCAAATTAATTGTCGTTTTGGGTGCTTGGGTACGTACCTCTTTCCAGCCTGTCATCGACTCTTGTCCTAATTGCAAGGCAGGGTTTGTCAATACTGGCTTCCATTGAGGAATAAAGCTGAGCGATCCTCGAGCCTCAAACCCATCTTGTTGCGCGGCAGCTTGGATCTGACCCCAAAAGATGAACAGTAAGCATTTGGAAGAACAAATACAAAGGGTATATAAAGCACCTTGTGGTAAATTGCAACCCAGGCCTCATATGAGCCAGTATCGGGGAATCTAACGGTTTCAAGTTAACATGATTGCGCCCATGATATATTGTGATAGCCTACATACCTACTCCCATGCCTAACAACATAAGCAGCCTGGCGAACAGTGCATTGGTCTGGGATCCTGCTGTCAATGCCATTCGCATTTGGACCTATGTCGTATATCAGTACTAGGAGACATGTGGAACCATGATAACGAGACTCATGCCTGCAAAATATGGGGTATTAGCCCCTGAATATTGAAGAGGTGTTGAAGAGGTCTTTGATGATGGGAACACGATGTCGTTTGGCGGGGCCAGTGGCTGGCAAATACCTAACGTGGCTATACCTACCAAGGTACACAATACCGAGCTCTTCATCATGTTAATCTTAGATAAGAGTGTGTTTTCATACTACAACGGGGATAATGTGGCCGTTTTTGTTCTTTATAATGATGATAGGGAAGCTTAGAATTTACGGCTTCAGCATGCCGATTGGGTGTACGTCCGTCATACAAGGCCTAGCAATTAGCGTCAATGGTCCCTTGGCTAGCCCACACTATGGACGCCTACAGTTGTCCCACGTGTCACGGATTACTTACAGATAGGTACATGTTCACGGAGTATGTACGTTGTAGCTGGAGAAGTGCGCGCGCCAGCACGGAAGCCAAACAAGAGACATACCCCACTTGCGAACCCACTTTTAGAAGGATTCGAACATTGGCCAATCACGAAATTCGCCGACAGCACAATGCTTGATAAAATTTGTCTATTGACGGGACTGTGAGACAATGATTGCGTGGAAATTGCAATATTATTGCCAGGGTACTTTGTATATTGGTTGGCACGGACAGTTTCGATGAAGTAGGTAGGTGATATGCCCGTCCACGGGTAGCCCACGGGAGAAATCCATGGAACCAGAGGATGTTCCAACCTTGGAAGGTTTGCACTGTCTCAGGTGCCTTGTTTGTGCAACACTTTCACGGTCCACAGTTGAGTTGTGACCATCGAACAGTCATGGACACCGACGGATGGTGCTGCCATCAGTGCCAGAGACAATCCAGGTGTCGTCCCCTAGGGGCTCGAAATCGTCTCTACCACAGGAATGTCCCTCGAAATGCGCGAGCGGTGTACCTGTACGCAGATCGATGCTATAGCGGCACCATTCCTTATCGCTGTTCTCGCCCGCGATCGTAACGACCGCGATGTCCGCATTAAGGAAACTGCTGTTCCAGTGGGTACATGCATCATCATCATCCTCATACTCGCCTCGCCCATACTCATAGCCGAAAGCCTCAACGGGTCCGCAGTACACCTCGCCACCGGGAAAGCCATGAAACGCGAAGTCGAGGTCGCCTGTCATGAACCACCGCCCATCGGGTGCGCGATTCCCCTCTCTCCCACCGGTAAGAGTGTAAGTCGATGTCGTTGGCGCTCGGTACAATTTCCACCGTCCTGGCCTTCACCCATACTCAGTAGGATATCCCTCCGATCGGGATGCAGGGCGATCACGGTTCCCTCCCTAACACTCTCCAGCTCCGTCCTGGCGACTTCCTCGCCTGTCTCGGCCCGCAAAACAACCATATCTGTTCTATCTCCCCCCTGAAACTGATATGTAGGAAGGGAAACCGAGACATATAACCAAGATAATCATTTCCAGGTTATCATTACTCCGGTTACTTAAATACGCCAAGCGACCTCGGGAATCCCCGAAATGACAACATTGTCGCCAAATAATCCATCCAAACAATATCCCAATCATGAAAAGAGTAAATCCCGCCCAACCCGTTTAAACCCCGGTCTCCGCCTGATGCAATCTCACAGTCACGGGATCAGCCGGACAAGAAGTAAGTGAAACACCGTAACGAATCTCCCTCTCAGAGTGCACATCCTCAATCTTATCAAACCTCTGCAATAATCTTACTAGCACATAACTGGACCTCATCAAAGCAAACTGTTGACCAATGCATGTCCTGGGTCCCCCATTGAACGGAATATACTCCCAGGTGACCTTTCGGCCGACCCACCGGTCCGGATTAAAGATTTCAGCATCCTCGCCCCAGATATCCTTTCGACGGTGCAAGACGTAGGTGCTGTACATGACTGTACGGCCCTTGCGGATGTAGATCGGCGAGGTACCGTCTTTCCCGCCGCCGCGGGGGAGGGTAGTGTCCTTCGTCGCGCAACGGCGGTTGAAGGGTACGACCGGGTAGAGACGAAGGGTTTCGTTGAGGAAATGCTGGAGGTACTGGCATGATTTCAAAGACGCAAAGTCCATGCTGCGTGGCTGATCGTAAGTGCCGAATTGATCGAGGATATCGCTTCGGATCCTTGCGAAGATGTGTGGGTGCCGCGCAAGAAGGAGGATCGTCCAGCTCAGTAGAGAAGCCGTTGTGTCACGGCCTGCTAGGAGGACGTTGAGAGATTCATCGCGCAACCTGACGGGGTCTTTTATAGTACTAGTCAGGGCTTCCAGGAAGATATACTGCGATGACACCTTCTCGATGCCCTGGGCTTTCTCTTCCTTCTGCTTCGCCTGCATCAAAGCAGAGTGAACATACTGGTCCACGAAGGCGTGCACAATGTCGATACACTTCCGAAACTCCTGGTTGTAGATAACCCAGTAGAGCCGCTCGAACCGGAGTCGCTCCGCGAGATACCACATGCACCGGTCAAACCCATACAGAAAAGTGTCATCGGAGGCCTGGCTTGCTTCCTTTTGCATAGCAGAAATCTGACTATCACAGCTTTTACCGAAGAGGAACTCTGTGGCCGAGTCGAGGGTAAGACGAAAGAAGATGGCTTGAATATCCACTGCAGAGGACCAGCCGTCAGATCGCATCGGAATGGCACGCAACGCGTTGTGAACATGACGTTCTTCCCTGTCAAGATTGTTCATCCGATCTCGCGTAAACTGAGGCCGTAGCAGTGATCGGGAACGCGACCAACTCTCGCCATCACTAGTAAACTAGGTCCAGTCAGCCGACCTTCCCCCCCCGCAAGAGAAAAGAAAGAATTATACTTCCGACGTGGGGAAAAAGACTCACAATTCCATGTCCAATAAGAGGTTCAGCTACATTACGACGCATCTCACCCAAGCCGAAATCCTTGAACTGAGTCGCCAGCATAGACTGGATATTCTTGGGATCTGCCGTGAACAGGTTCTCCCGACCAGCCTGATACATACGAAAGGTAGAGACGTATCTGTTATGCCGACGGGATAGGAAAGAAATCCGCCTCTCTGCAAGCTGTGGGAGTCTCTTCTCTCTCGCTGCGTCAAGTGTTTCGAAGAGGGTGGAAATACCGAAAGGGTGCTGGCTGGGGTAGAGAGGGGGTTCTCCACAACTTATCTTTCGAGCTTTCTGGGCATGTCGCCAGGTGGAATAGACAGAGGGAACCAGGCACCCTACAATGGCGAGTACCACAAGGGTTGGGACTAAGCAGCTTTTCATGATGAGGTTGTCAAGCGTTGTGATACCAGTAGGCGAGGCGTTGAGATACGCTTGTGACTCGGACATGGCGTGGGAGGTTAAGGAGAATAGGGATAGAGATCAAGTAGAAGGAGTAAAGGATGGTTATTGTCTTATATGGAGATTCTCGAGCATATGAAGGACCCAAGAAGGCTGGCAAAAGTGGAAAGGCCCCTGGTCAATGAATTCAGCATGAGATGCTATCGCAATATTGACATATCACCTAACCCTTGGGTTTATTCAGAAATGCTAAGACAATATATTTCCATAGTGAATCAACTATATCTGACTCTATATTTAGCGTAGATGCATGCAACGGCCCCATGATGTAAGATAAGATGATGGAACGCCTAAATGCCTTGCCACAGCCACTCTTATGTCCCCACGTACACCTGAGCGCTGCATTTTGCCTAAGCTGGTATTTGCTAGCCATCTTGCTTCCTAATTAGCATATCCAACTTTTCTCCCAGAAAGCTGATTATGATTGCTTGAGGCTGAACAGTGCCTCTACGGTGCCAGGTGTCCTTCGCTTGGCAGACAGGATACACTTGATGGATAGGCAATTGCGCTGATGTTATAGGAATCGTATTTCTTTTACGACTGGCTTAGATGTCTTTATGAGCGGGTCCGAGCATGTTGGAATGGCAATGAGTGGGTTCAGATGTAGAATAGATACCGAAGATATTCAGTATGCTGGTCTGTCTTGCATTAGCACTGCCACCGGGAGGTCATACATGGGATATATTGGGCGACTCTTCCTTAAACGAGCATAGGGTACTTCACTTCCATGGTTCATGTCCCACATCTCTTGGGCACCATAAAGGTCATACGTATCTCAAAGAATCTCCCTACAGATAAACCCAATGTCCTTTGCTGGCGTCTATTGACTCCTTAGTCGTCAAGACCCACCTTTCAGCATCAACCTCAACATGCCATCTTCAGGGAGAGACGAGAGCTCATTGTCGCCAACTACTCATCCGCGTAGCCACATCCCCGACTGGAAATGGAAGGGAACACTTGCAGTTCTGATCTTGACAACCCTCATCAATGGTTGGTTAATGCCATGTATCATAACACTATCCCAAATCATCATTCTGACAAAGTCATTGTTTAAGGCTATGATGTAAGCAACGTGGCCAATATCCAGCCCGCCCTTTACGAGGCCTTCGGCAACATTACGCTTCTGCCATGGATCAGCCTGTCCTTCAGCCTTGCCGTGTTTGCAGTCCTATCCTTGTCCCGGAAGATCTTGTATTGCGTCGACATGAAATGGATCTATATCGCTAATGTTGTGATCTTTATGGCCGGTGCTGCTGTGGCCGGTGCTGCTCCCAATCTCCCTGTGGTCATTGTTGGACGGGTCGTTATGGGTGTCGGTGGTGCTGTTGTTTACCAAAGGTATGTTGCGATGTATCTCTGATGTCGTTGGGATAATCGAGCTCACAGTGACATAGCAACTTGACATTTGTCGCCGTGTTCGCCACACCCGAGGAGACACCTCGCCTATTCGGTCTTCTGAGCGCAATATGGGCCGTGGGTCTCGTCATTGGTGGTCCTATCGGGTCCGCTTTCGCCTCGAACAGGCACACCACTTGGCGGTGGGCTTTCTACATCAACCTACCCTGGGTGAGTGTCAGTCTTGCGGTCGCCATTCTGTGCCTTCCTCGCAAATACCTAGGGCCAGACCGTCCGTTGGTCTCCCGATTGATGATGATCGACCCTATCGGCGTTGCGTTCAACATGGCGGCCCCAGTACTATTTGCCCTCGCATTGGAGTTCTCCGGTCCTGTGTGGAACTGGGGCTCCGGGGCGTCTATCGCAGCCTGGGTGGCTTTCGGTGTGGTCCTGATTGGATGGATCGTCCAACAATACTGGTGTATTGGCACGACTTCTGAGCAACGCGCCGTTCCCCTTCACTTGCTTAGCCGGGTTGACCTGCTTCCACTTTGGATCGCGTCTGGCTGTGCGGGCGCATCGTATGCCATCACACTCTACTACACGCCGCTCTTCTTCGCGTTCGCTGGCGGACATAGCGCCATGGAGCAAACTGTCCGTCTTCTTCCGTTTGTTATGGTCTTCATCGCCGTGGTCATCCTCGTCGGCGGGTTGCTCCCGGTCTTTGGCCGCTACAACCTGATCTACATCGTTGCGGGCATTGCAACCGCCGCGGGAGCCGGCGCTATGGCCGGCACACTGAGTCCGGGTGTCTCCGAATCCCAGGTGTTAGGTCTGGAAGCACTCATTGGCGTTGGCCTTGGCTGTTCGTTCCAACACGGGGTCGGTGTCTCGAGTGTAATAAACAAGAACCCACGCGACCGCGTCGACAGCGCGGTTATGTTCAACATGGCACAGATGGGCGGCATTGCAATTGCTCTGGCGGTTGCAGGCTCGATTTTTCAAAATGCGGGGTACAACATGCTGACGGACGCCATTGGGGATAGTGGGTACTCGGAAGAAGACCTGCGTGAGGCGCTGGCCGGAGTATCATCGGCAGTGTGGCAGTCCGGCAATCCCGATGTTCGTTCTCGTGGGGTTAATGCTGTGGCCACGGTGATTGGGCAGGAGTTTTATTTAGTGGTGGCCGGTGGTGTGATCTGTCTCGTCTGCGGGTTGTTGATGAGACGGGAGCGATTGGACTACGGCAGACATAAGAACAAGGATATCGAAACATGAACGCTTTTCCAACCTCGTAAAGGTTGGAAGGTTTTATTTTTAGCAAAGTTATCGCCACGTGGCAACCTTGGAACCTTGGAAGGCCCCGCCCCATCTGTGGAAAACTTTCCCCAGGACCCCCAGAATTGCAAATTAGGTATCTTTTGTATAGCAACTCCATACAAAAGGTACTTTGTTAGTGGTCATGTGACCTCGTTTGCTCCTACACACATTAGCTACCTAGGTAGTCTCCCATGTAGATAGTTCCCTCCTCCCCGCATCTATCGCATTTTTCCAGAGTATCCTACATTCCATACTAGCCTCTCTATCATACTTAAACATGTCCAGGTAAAGCGTCGCCCATCGATATTTGTCAGTGTATGGTGTCATCCAGTCAACATGAGTACATAGAGCCAATCAACGACTTACCCACTCCATTAGAGCCTTGGCGTGGTGACATTCTTTTCTTTCTTCACACGTATCCAACTTCAAATACCGTTTGGCTCCTATCACACGCCGACGGGAGCAGTCAAAGCTGGAAATTATGGCTTCTCAAAGGCAGAGACCAGATATTGGATTACGTGTCGATATCATACATCAACCCGAGGATATCATCCAGGCTTTTGACTGCGTGTGCGAGGCCTTTGGTCGTCAAGTGCAAGATGGGATCTGGATAGCCATGAATCCGGGATGGGACACACCTCAGGGAAGGTCATATGGAGCCGAGAGAATGGTAGCCCGCTGGCGCCACAGGACCAACGACAAAGACGGTCTCCCAAACACCATATTTCTCAAGGCTACCCTACCGTGTCCGCGGTTTGAAGACAGGCGTATTATCGTGGGCTTTGGTATTTGGGTGCAAGCCTCGAGCGTAGAGGGCCATGGTGATCCTCCAGTGGAAGATCTAGCCAATTCGATGGACCTCAATGCACTGTACCCCGACAACGAGCGTGAACGACGTTACCTCTGTCAAGTTGTTTCCTCTCTGCATAGAAGACGCACCGAGGTAATCAAACAGAAAGCCACTGCAGTGCCACCAGCCGTTCTGATCCTAGACATGTGCGCTGTCGATCCAGCGCACCAACTCAAAGGCATCGCACGAGAACTTGTACAGTGGGGCATCGATGAAGCACATCGACGTGGGAACCTGGAAGCCATAACCGAGGCGTCCAGTATGGGTCGACATGTATATGGACAGATGGGATTCCAAGCCGACGGATCTGAAATCGAATATGTTGTGGACGACGAATTTGGTTCTCGCCCGAAACCACCCAACCTGTTTATGCGCACCCAAGGAGGCGTGGCTTGATATGATATCGCTACGACAATGTTACCTTGTTGTATGGTTCTTTGCTAGTACCACTTGACCTCGCGCTACGTCGTGTAATTCTGTATTGAGAACCAGACAATGGAGTGCTGAGCTGTACTATACTGTTGGACCCCACAGAAAACAATGAGAACCGTTTGAAAAGCTGGCCCATGCAGACCATCGTGAACTAGCAGAGACCTCGCCGGACTACCATAACCTACAATCCCCTTGACTTAGCTGTTTCCCATGATTCGTGTCCTTTTCAATTTCCCATCTTCCATATAGAATATCAGATAAACTCCACTTCGTTATTTTGCTTTTGCCATACTATTGGAGGCTACGACCTTACAGGGACTGGAAGATCAAGAAGGGACAAACTGCTGTTATCACACTAGAAAATGAGGGCCATTCCCTTTCTATGGTGGCCGCGCTCGTAGGGTGGCAGGGTAAAGCTCGTAGGGTTTTTGGTTCTAATATTTACTAGAGTTTAAGCCGTAATTACTAGTATATTACCAGTTGTTATAGATTTACTTCTTACTAGTTTTCGAGCCCCTACAACCTTATAAGTTATAGGGTAAAATATATCTAGGAGGGATAGTATTACTAGTAATAATAGGTAGGCTTTAATAAAATCTAGAACTTCTAGTACCGTGTTTTTTAGATACCGTTTATTTACCTATTAAATTTAGCCTTAACCCTCTTAACCAAGTCCGTGGCATGAACATCCGCCGTCCCAAGCCCAAGACCCTCAAGACCTTTCTCCAGCATGAACAAATACTCAGAACCCTTCCCAGTCAACCCATGCCCAGCACTAATAACCTGCGCCACATGCTGCGGCTCGCGATGAGCTGCGTCACGCAGGAACTGCGGGTTAGTCGGCTGGCCGATGTAGACCATGCAGATGATTGGAAAGGACCCGGTCGAGTCGCTGGCTCCTGAGACATCAACTGTTGGGTGGAAGGGCGTGTAGTGCGCACTGTACCCGTCGATCTCCCGCTCGTCGAGGTAGACCCTGTAAGCTCTCTAGTAACGATACCTTTTTCTGACCTATGCTTACCCGTCTTTACTAGATTAGGTATAGTCCTCTACTAGTATACACTAGTATTATACTGACTCTCTTACTTGATTATAACTTAATAACACTTATAAATAGATATCTATTCGGCGCTCTACCTAGCACCGTTCCTCGATATCTTAAGAGGACCTAGTCTATAGTAAGGTTTGTTAGGTAACAGTACGGTTAAGAGCGCAGATCGTTCATGCTAGAGCCCTAAGGAGTAGAAGACAAGTATACCCGGGACCCTTCTAACCTAACTGTGACCAGTTAGTAGTGCGTAACACTAGAATTGTTCTAATCGCGTAGAGACTACTAGAAATCTCTTTAATCTTTATATAATAAGATATAACCTTTACTATCCTAGTATTAAACGCTTATAGTATAGCCTTCTTTTAAAGCACAGTTTTTAGAGTGAGTTATACGATTGATTCTTTAAAGTGCTTAATGAGGCCGTTATATGGGTGGCGGACCCTCGCAAGCGAGGGTCCGTATTTTTTGAAAAAAAAAAAATTGCAGGGGCCAGTTAGTTACTCAAGTGCCTTGCAGGTTTAGCGCAGCCATTACCGTCTCCACACGTGGTTTTCTTCCTGTCTTACGTGTAGTAACATCTATATCGCCCGTGATCATTGGATATAGTTTGTTTGTGGCTGTATCTGGCTTCGAATAGGAAGCGCTTAGGATCATAATACAACATAGTTAAATCAGTGAGGAAAACTTATAAATTGAGATCAATAAATCAAAGCTGGATAGGGAGAGGAGAGGGAGAGAGCTAACTACTAATCTAGGTAATATCTCGACATGTGGTGCCTTCAGGCATATAGGCAATACAATAGAAGCTTGGCGTAAATTCAATTTGACAGGCCACAAACAGGTACAAAAGTATGGAGAAGAGAAGGAGCGGGCCAATCCACATATTAGATGGACTTTGTAATTCCTGGCTGAATCTCCTCCAAGATTTCTGCCAATTCCTTCCACACTTTTTGTTGTGCCTTCAATCCAGCTTCGCTTTGGACGAATGTTGACAGTACTCCATTGTTGACCTTTCCATCTAGCATGTAGGCACCATGGCTATCCCAGCCTGCCTCTGCAGCCGCGAGTATGGTCCGACTACCAACTTCTGTCTGACGTCCGAAGAAAAAGATCATCAGTCGGAGCGCAAAACCTGCCTCGCGTGACAGCTGCGATTTGCAAAGTCCCGGAGTCAACATGTTGAGAATGACTCCAGAATCTCCAAGTCTAGTGGCAAGCTCCCTCACCACTAGCACTTCCAGGAGCTTCGAGGTAGAATAGCGCTCTTGCATATCTGCCGTTTCCATCCTGTCCAGCGCGACAAACGTGTTATCTGCAGTTTGCTCCGGGAAACTTGTCCAGGCGTGAACGTCGCTTGTCACGATGGAGAGATGCGGGCTGGATGTCGGGAATGCTTTGGCAGTTGCTTTCAACTTAGGGAGTAGTAGAAGGCCCAGCAGAAAGGTGCTAATAACGTTGACCGTAATAGTACGTTCATGACCTTCGGATGTATCAAATGTGTACGTCGCAATTCCAGCATTCTCAACGAGGATATCCAGTCGAGGGAGTTTCGATGCACGATCTGCAAAAGCTTTGACAGAGTCAAAAGATGCGAGGTCAAGCTCCCAGACCTCGCACACATCAGCTCTGTTTGTTGATTCCTCGATTGACCGCTTTGCTGTTTCCCCTGCCGACAGATTTCGCACTGCAAGTATCACTCTAGCAGCATTAAGTCGGACAAAATGTTTCGCTGCTTCAAATCCGATTCCGACATTCGAACCGGTGACGATCACAGTTTTGCCATCATAAGTTTTTGTTGGGTATGCTGGTGTAACAAATACTTGGGAATAAATCGCGCTCATGATGAATATTAGTGTGACTGGCCTTCGCAGGAGAGGATTTCAGGCTGTCGTAGTTATATACACCAAAACCATCTCGGATATAACGGAAACCGGCGCTTGACTTCAACCGCCACGCGATATTCGGTAATACGCCCTTACTATGGATTTTATTTATTTAAAATTTTCTCTGAGACAAACTCCGTTATAAATAGGCTTTACTACAACATATAGATATTTGCAACGCGCATTTCTCCACTTCATAAGCTATGTGATGTTAGCGCCCACGCGGGCAGCCCCAGCCACACCGCTTCCAAAGTTTGTTTAAGAACGGAGTTAAGAGCGTAGACCGAGGGCTAGTAAGTTGGTAGGTGTAAGTCCGCTGTATTAAGCCCAAGGAATAACCTTGGAATGGAAATGCGGAGAATTTGAGGCTCATCCGGACCCACTGCAGGATACCCGCCTTGGATCGTCGCGCCAAGGATTAGGGCGGCAGGTGGATGGTTCCGCTGACTAACCCACATAGGGTGCCCTGGTGTCCAGGTGCTCATTGCTTTGAACTAATCAGTCATAACTACTGACTGTCAAGCAGCAAATGTTTCAACACCCTTCCGGATTTTTTTTTTTTTGAGGTTCTGCCAGCCAAAATTTTGAGTTTCATTTTATATATTGAATTGAAACATACATATCTTCTATCAAAATTCCTAATAAAAACAAGAATGTTGAAAAAGCAAGATACCATAAAACTTGCTCTTCAGTTTCCAATAGGCGGTCTTGAAAGCGGTCTGTCAAAGGGTGTTAAAGCATATGCTGCGTCACTGTAGTTACAGTGATCTCTCCCCTTCATTCCATGTTCTTACTTCCCCCTCTCCATGGGCTTCTCTCTGAATGCTGTTAGAATCCAGATGATAAATGAGATCATGGTGTACAGTAGTGTTACAGTAGTGTGTATTGTATGTGATGGAAGAAGGCTAGATGGCTTCTACCTATGGAGATCTAAATCATGTGACGATGAGATATATCCAACTCATCGACCAATGTTACACATTCGATTTTCCGTCTTCGTAACTTTCCGATATGATTTCCTAGACATACAACAAAGACCCCCTCCTCAATGCAATGTATTATTTGACACCCACCGCTCCGATAAGAATCGGAAGAATATCAAGCACTGGGATTTAGTATGCCAGTACTCTTGCAGACGGTGCCTTGCCCCCCACGAACCTTAGCGTATGGAATACGAGGATCACTTTCCGCTCTCTGGCAAACCCTCTTGCTTACTCAGCGGAAGGTTACTCGTAGTATAACATCGCGAGTTCGTCTCATAAATTAGTGAAAACACAGTCGTCGGCTTCCAGCGGACCCAGTCAATGAAACTGATGGTGTAATACTGGCTACATTTCGTTCCGACGGAGATAATTTCACAGACCCTATCTCCATGTGTGGAGAGTAGAACCTCTTTTTAGCTCCGATCCCGAATCCAAGCCCACACACGCGGCAATAAACTGACATCTTCATTTTGTTGTATGGTCCGAAGGATGCTACGGGAAATTCCCGCTATTAGTCAACGGAAGCCATGAGAGCCGGGCTTGTGCTTTAACAACAGCTAGCGGCCGTTGTATTGTATATAAATAATGGCATGCCCTCTCTTGTTAATAGTTCAAAATCATCTTTCGTCGATTTTACGTTTACATTTGTTTGACATTTTTGCATATCATGTTACCAAACGCAGCTAGCTTGCTGACAGCAGCAAGCATTCTTGCTATGTCTTCTGCAAGCCCTATTGCCCAGACCATCTCGAAAGATGTGGTAGTTGTTGGCGGTGGTGCTGCTGGCGCCTATGCTGCTGTTAGGCTCCGTGAGGATTATGGGAAGAGCATTGCATTGGTTGAGAGAAGGGCACGTTTGGTGAGTAACCCGGAAATAATTCCTTCGATCAAGGCCTAACTGATGTGCTCGTTCGAAAGGGTGGTGCGGTTGATACCTGGATTGATCCGAAAACCGGCATGCCTCATGAGTTGGGTGTTGAGGCCTTCCTGGATTATGGCAATGCGACACAATTCTTTGCGCGGTTCAACGTATCGGTACATGCGTCTGAGCAAGAATTAGTGAACACCAGGTATGCAGATTTCAGCACTGGAAATTTCGTGAACTACACGTCACCCACAGCAGCTGAACAACTTGCTGCATTTCAAAAGTATGTGGAACTGTGCGAGAAATACGAGGACATGATGTTGCCTGGATTGTGGAACTTCCCCACCGCCGACAATATACCCGAAGATCTGCTTTTAAACTTTGGTGATTTCGCGAGGAAATACCACATTGAGGCTGCTGTGCCTACGATCTGGGACATATCGGCTGTTGGCTTAGGGCAGCTGGAGACTCAGCCGACCTTTTATGTTATGCAGTCGTTCCCAGCGCCGCTTGCGCGAGTCTACATTGGCAAGGCCCGAACTCTATATGTGGCGTCCCACAGGAACCAGGAGATATACGATAGGGTGTCGGATACTCTGGGTGATGATGTCCTCTATTCAAGCACTGTCGTCAATGCAACAAGAACACCCGATGGTGTTAGCATTATTGCCAAAGGCGCGGACGGGCATCAAACTGAGATTCGCGCAAAGCGCTTGCTCATCGCTATCCCACCAACTATACCCAACCTCACGCCGTTCAAGCTCGACAGAAAGGAACTTGGTGTCTTGTCCAAGACAACATACACGCAAGCTTATGCTGGTGGTGTTGTTTCTTCGAACCTGCCATTGAACACGACCATCATTAACACCAATTCTGGAAACTGGCTGGATTTCCCGGATCTGTCGCTCTTGCAATGGTATAAAAACGTGGATTCACCTGACCGCTATCATAAGGTCATGATGTTTGGAAATGAGACCTTGGATAGCGATGGTTCAAAGGCGCTGGTCGAGCAGAGTTACCGCCAGTTGGTCGGTGCAGGCAGTCTGCCGGAAGCAAGTGGCAAGGGCCTTGAATGGCTCCACTTTGATTACCATGGATCTGTTAACATCCGGGCCTCCGTCGAGGACTTGAAAGCTGGCTTTATTCAGGAACTGTATTCTCTGCAAGGTCATCTATCCACGTGGTATACGGGTGCAGCTTGGTGCGCGCAGTTACACACTCCCACATGGGCTTTTTCGGACTCTGTTATCCCACGACTGGTGGAAGGCCTGTGAAATGAATTCTCTGGCGGGAATTCCAATCACTGGATTATTTGCAGCCTCCTCTTGTTGGTTGTTCCCTCGCCGCTTATTTTCCTATGTCGTTGTATATAAAGTTGGGCTTGTGCAGCAACTGGGACCAGTTTACTCCCGGTATTTCAGCACAATCGGGCTCTTTTTACCAGGCCATCGGAAAGGACAGCTAGGTATTCAACATGCCTGCTCTTTATTCACGTTCTAGACCTTTCTTAGAATCAAGCAACCTTCTGTTAAATATTATTGGCTTCTCTTAGTAGAAATGACCCATATTTGCATACAATTACATAGTGTTTTAGCTTGCGGAGATATCATCTATAAAGGCGTGCAGTAAACAGGTGGGGAGGAGCCACACACTTGGAATGATACTACCTAGCGGATCATGAAGGGGTGTATGTATCAATTCGCGCATTGTAGTCGTCATATTTGAGATTGAAAACCAAGGATTTTACAGAGATTTCTTGAAGGTTTAGTAATAGGAAGAGGGCGGTTGTCATCATTTACGAGGCGAGCCGAGGCCTAGACGCGGAATTGGGTGAGTAGGTTCTTGGTGTACTTTGTTTGTCTCGAGGTGTTCGTCAACCGTACGTACTAACTACAGTAGGGGAGTTTTATGGTTTCAATCTTTGCTCCTATATGGCCATTGATTTCTTCCAACAGTGGACAAATGCTGCACATAGTGCGTTGACTATTGTAAATTCAACATATCTAGTAAATTCCAGATACTAGCAGATTCCAATACTTTTTCAACTCTACAATTATTTCTAAAAAGTATACGTAGAATTGTAATATCATATAGATGTATCTGTATATAAACATATTTATATAATTATTTTATTTAAAATGTAGTTATTTAACCAGGGTTTTACTATTAGTTTAATCTAATATTGGTCGAATATTAGTCATTTACTGTTGGTTTTCGGATTACCATTAGTTTACCATTACATTGCCATTACCCGTCCATCGGCACCTAGGAGGTGCCCATCGCCCGTCCACGGCCGGGGGCAATTTGGATTTTCGAGTGCCCATCTATACCGCCTACCGCCCACAGGCATACTCCGTACCTATCGCCCACTATACCCACTATTGTATAATGTTACCCAAAATAGACGTAAAGGAGGCATAATAGCTCCTCGGAAGTTCCAATCTCGGATCTCCGGTTATGGCAGTGGGTCTTATTTGTCGCAGGATGCGAAATGAGTCTTTTTCTCAAGTGTAAAGCTAAACAAGATGAAGCAAAGTGGAATGCTAACTCGTAGATCCGAATCAGGGCTGGAGAACAAACGTGATCAACACCGATTACTCAGCGGATATAAGGCGTCCAGATCGCTTCATTGGCTGCAGACAAACGAAGCAATGACCTGGCCAAGGTGCTTAAGACCGCTTAGATCAGTGAATTGTACCGGCGGTTGTTTTATCTACCAGCTAGACAACGTATATAAACGAATACACAGCCATGGCTGCTGAAGTGCACTTACCTACTTCTTCCAACCGAAATCCTACGCGTCACCAATGGCATCCGGCGACTTCAAAATAATCATCGCCGGTGGAGGCATCGCCGGCCTCACACTGGCGAATGTGTTGCAGCAATTTGATATCGACTATGTCATTCTCGAAGGCCACTCGGATATTGCACCCCCCGTCGGCGCGAGTATTGGTCTCTTCCCCAATGGCCTTCGCATTCTGGATCAGCTGGGCGTGTACGAGGATGTCATGCACCAGTCTATGCACCGCACTAAGATGGCATATACACGAGACAAGGATGCGAATGTCATTGCCGCGTTGCCTTCGTTCTTCCAGCACCTGGAGCGGCGGTAAGTCAACCCCCGCCTAAAATGGTGTACGGATCTCTAACGCGGAAGGCTATTCAGTCATGGATACGGCCTGCTGTTCTTCGATCGGCAGAAGTTGTTGCAAATTCTGTATGATCATATCAAGCACAAAGACAAGGTCCTGCTTAACAAGAAAGTTGCCGGTGTCGAACCCATTGATGGAGGTGTCACTGTTACGACTGCGGATGGCTCGACGTATATCGGCACCCTAGTCGTCGGCGCAGATGGCATCCACAGCAGAACCCGCGCTGTGATGAAATCCCTTGGAAATAAGCTCCAACCAGGGTACTTCCCTCCCAACGAGGAAGTCCGCGTTCCCTGCTACTACCGATGCAGCTTTGGAATCGCCCAGCATGTCCCCGGATGGGTGTCAGGAGACCAAAACATCGTGAATGGAAACGGCCAGTCCCAGCTTGTCGTGTCGGGACCCGAAGAGCGCGTGTATTGGTTCCTGTTTGATCGCCTGCCCGAGATCAAATACGGAAAAGATATCCCGAAATATAGCAAAGAGGAAGAGGCGGAGTTTGTGAGGCAGAATTATAACCTGCCCATCACAAAAGAGGTGACCTTCGGCCAGGTCTTCGACAAGCGGCTTTCCTCGACTTTGACGCCTCTACACGAAGTCGTGTTTAAGATATGGTTCTTCGGGCGGATTATCACGCTTGGTGATTCGGCTCATAAGGTGAGAGTCGTGTTTAGTCTGTAAATTTGTTGCTCTCCTGTTCATCCAGCTGATGAGACGCTCACAGCCAAACCCCATCGGTGGCCAAGGTGCCAACGGCGCCATGGAATCATGCGCCGAGCTTGTCAATGCCATCCTCCGGAAGAGAGAAAGTCGTAATGGCAGCCTGGCGAACCTGACCGACCAAGATATCGAGGATATCTTCACCGAAACACAAGCTGCTAGACATGGCCGTGCCGAAGACATTATTCGTATCGCGCATGAGACGCAGGCACTAAATGCCTATGAGAACCGAGTCATCTCCACCATAGTGAACAGTCTTGTCCAGCCGTTGATAGGAGACGAGTTCGTCTATGGACGCATAGGTGATGTGTTCATCGGCTCCTCCGCTGTCGAGAAGCTCCCCATCCCCTATCGACTGCGAGCCATACCCTTCAGCGATGAGCGACCAGCCAGGCCCCTTAGCAAGACCGTCTCGAAGTACGTCCGGCGTGCCTTCGTAGGAGGCATGGGTGTCATTATCTTAGTCACCTTCAAAGCATTCCGAATGGACTTTTTGAGTCTCGTCGGGAACTGGGGAGAGTCAGGACCCATCGTAATCCGATGGTTTGGGGAAACGTCTGCCTCCAAGTTCATGAACATGTTGGTATCCGTGACATCGTACCTTATCCTCGACAAAGAGCCAACTTCACGGGTGCATCTCCTCGGATTCCTCCCCCAGCTCATTTCGCCTCTCCTGATCTACACCATTGAGGGATACCGTCTAGGGAACCAAGGTTCTCCTCTCGCTCTCCCGACCCTCTTCACGGCCGGCATGCAGGTCCAGGGTATCGGCCGCATTGCGCCCCTCCATGCTATACTGAGTGCACTTTACACGCACGAAGAGACACCCGGCCGCGCCGTTCCCAAAGCAGTGGCTATGTCCCTGGTCCCAGCCATCACCATGGGCTTTGTCATTCCAACAGTTATGATGTTCTTGCCGACGCCAAACACAGCAGCCTGGCAGCACTGGTCTGCCGTCTGGCAAATCGCACCACCGCTCTTCAACGCCCTGACAATAGTCTTTTCGGCAGGTATCAGACGCTTGCAACGCAGCCACCAACCCTGCCAAGTAGAAGACGACTCATTTGAACGATATGAACAAGACGATGTCCCAATTTTGAAGAGCGTCTACATGTATGCGTTTGCAGTGCAGTCGGCCGTCCACATCGCATCTCTGGCATACGCATGGTCCCATCCCGGTATATCTGTAACCAAGATGTTCTTCGGCTTGCCAAATCCCTTCAGGGAAGATTGGAATCTCAGAACTGTCACGGAGCATGCGGCCACGTTCATCCGGTGGGATGCCGCCACAGCCTTCCCGGCGTATCTAGGAGGAAATTTGTACTCCATATGGGAGCTCCGTCGTCACGGGTACATCAAAACAAGAAGTGCGGTCAAAGCTGCCCTTTCCGTCCTGGCTGGCCAGTTTCTCGTCGGCCCAGGTGCGACGTGGGCTGCGCTGTGGACCTGGCGGGAGGACGTCATCGCAAACGCTGCGGATTCCTTGGCCGATTCAGATCGGGTGAAGAAAGACTGAATGACCGTTGTACATTGAGATGTTATAGTCGTTCGAAATATTTCGAGATGGGCTATTCTTCAAGGTGGTAGATGTATGATAATTGATCATGTGTATGTAAATGGTGTTGAGTAGACTGAGGATATATTGATGTTTATAGTATTGGAATGTTGCAAATAGTCAGAGAATATATGGACGCCTGGCGTAGTTGCTGTGTAGTATAACTCTGTAGTCGCCCAGCGACAATGCCAGAGTCCAAAAGTGTAGTCCAGCTTATCCTCCAGCCCTGTAGATTGCACTCCGTGCAAGTCGTTGTATCTCACAGCTTAGATCTTTCACGAAGTGAACTTGCATGCGGAAGGCAGTGGGGGCCTGTGACCATAGCTGCGCCATCATATGATCCCGAACGGTATCCATGAGTGCCAAGTCACTGTGACAGACCGGGTCAAGTGGATGGAGCAGAATGTCACAGAACAAGTGGATCATTGCAGCGGCTAGATACGGAAGACAGAATCTGGCAGAGGAGAATAAGTATGGGTAAACGAGAAAGTAGCCACGTAATTTCAACAGAACTCACAAAAGGTTATAGCGATTGATTCTTAGTTCGAAATGCGAGAACTTCTGCAACAGAGACCGACTCGCCTGTACATTGATAGCCAAGCTGGATCCGGGGCCGCGTGTATTCTGGGTCCACGAAATGCATCGCCCGCTTGCTTGATGGATTGTCACCATACAATAATGATACTGTACTTGTAGTATCGATGATGTAATATCTTCCACTTCGGGCCGTCGGTGTTTGAAGGACGGCCTGCTCTGAGAAGGAATGGAATGCTTCCAGTCGTCTAGAAGCTCATCAAGATCACGGATAGTGCAGAGAAGTTCAGCATCGGTTTGACTGAGCGCTGTGACAGAATAGAGTCTGCGATATATCTGTGATTGAATGGTCGCTAATTGGGCAAATTGGAAGAGTATTGGTGAACACCCAGAATTTTCAGACGAGGTCAGACCCTGAGGCTCCGACCTAGGCGCTTCGGGAAGGGTCAAGTCACAATTCACATCGGTCAAGTTAGGAGGCAGGCCGGTACGAAGGCTGAGCTCTTGATTGAAAACGTAGCAGATCCAGAAAAGATTTCTGACGTGCAAGCGCACACCTGGAGGTCCCTTAGATGCGTTATCGCGGCTTCCGGGAGATATGTGGCCACCAAGGTGAAATACGAATCGTTGTGCAGTCGATACCAGTAGCTCCGTGCTCAGTATATCCCCAACCACAGCTTGGGAATAAAAGCTCTATTTTGAACCGATCAGGCATCCTCATCGTCTTTTGGGCAAGCGAAGACTTACCAGTAATAGCAATGCTTGCAGTCCGTCCACTGTTATCGAGCCCCTGCAGAGGCTTGGTAGCATGTCGTAACTTGCGGATGCGTAGTTGATCATATTATCACTTGGATCCCTTGCGAAAAAGCATATAGAAGAGACCGCAATGAACGCAAAAATGCAGGCCATCGCATCAGCATTACTGTAATTCCCAGAGCGTTGTTCACGGTACGCCTTGCGAACAGTATCACGAAACAGAGGCGGGTATATGAAAGGGAAAATGTGGGCAAGGGGGGATGATTCATATGCTTCTAGAAGCTCCTTAAGATGTTCTTCGCTGGGCAAGGCGACAGCGGGGGCAGTCGCTGGGCGGAGCCACCAGCTTGACCGAGGAGGATTATACTGATTCAAGCTCACATCCTCGCCCGTTTGCTTTCTGATCCACTCTCTACCGCCCGGAGAGAAGAATGGCAGTCCATTGAACACGCAGATATTGCCCAGTGCCAGTCCGGGCAAGTGAAGCTTTTCATCCGAGCTTTCTGCTGGTGGAGGCAGTGGTGAGGGGACAGGGCTGGTAACTATGTTAAGATAGGCTTCAATCATTTTCACCACCAATTGACTCACGTCGCAGTGCTGGGTTTTCGGTCCTTGTGCTGATCTTGATTGCGTGTGTATTCGCAAGGAAGATTGTGGTGATAGCACCAGTTACACTTTGGCGTTGCTCGGTCACATTGAATCTTCACATGTCAGATTTTAGACGGAGTATGAGGATCCTTGATGTTAAGGAATCCCATACCAAACAGAGAGTATCCTCACCTTCTTCCTGAAACAAGAGTCGCAGGCGAGACACTTGCGAAGGCGTCGGCGGATCATCCGCTCCTGATTCTGCGAGGAGGGCTTGCGCTCCGGCATTGGCAAGGAGGTATATGGTGAACGCGGTGAATAGTCCGGGGCTAGACAGGAGATTGCACACTATATATACCGTGGAATACGTAGTCTATTTGATCGATCTCTCTTGCGCCGTGTTGATGTGGCGAGACCCAAATAGCTAGTATAGGGGCCTCCATGGGACGACCACTCGAACTTTGTTTCCAGGTATGTTGTAAGCACTAGCCGTGTCTAGTAAGCAGACCCACCAGTCCACCTTTTCGCGCAAAGCCTACATGGGCACCAGAGGATAGTAACATATTCACAATTTCAGCATAGCCGTTTCGTGCAGCGGCGTTTATTAGAGTTATTCGGCCTATGGACTAGGCGTTCACTTTGACTTTCGGATGTGCGAGGAGTGTCGCAACCACCGCTGTATGTCCATGTTTACGGGCCTAGTAAGCAGGCGTGTACTTTGACAGGTCCCGAGCATTCGGATCGACTCCATAGTCTAAGAGCATCTTTACTATAGCTAAGTTGTCTTTGATCGCTACTATAAGCAAAGGCGAGTAGCGGCCCGATTTAGGTAGTAATTCGGCGGGGCTCTTAGTATCTGTCCAAGCTTAGAGGGCTCTTAAGGTAAAACAATTTCCCGAATATACTACACTGTGGATAGCTGATCCGCCAGAATCCTTTGCATTACGTACGTAGAGTTGTGAAATGAGTGTTTGGTATACACCACGATTAACTTAGACGAAAGAAGCAAGATCGGGTTCGCTGTCAATCGCAGACGCAATTTGAATGAGTATCTCTAGGGGAAGTTGTGTAAATGACATGATTTTGATGACTAAGGGGAATGTACTCCGTACAACATACCATATTATGTAGCCGCGGCCAAGTACAACATAATTGAGGACCATGTAATATTCTAAGGTAATTAGCGGTAATATTTACAGGTTTTCGGCTTCAAACCTCAAGCTAATACTAGTGGCTTGGCAGGTCTCGCCGCCACCCTTCCACAGTGTATCGACACACGCTACGAGTGACTCTCTAGTCCTACTGCCAAGATACGCTAGATCATGTTAGAGATAGTCTCAGCATACCAATTTTCCTGTAACAAACTCAGTACCACGGTTTACTTTTAATGTGCTCAAACTTATGCGCTGTCACTGTAGGTCCAAGTCTCAGAACTGTATTAGAATTTTCCATGGGAATGCAAACGAATCAAACACAGCACCAGAGCTGGAGAGCGCCTTGAGAATCTGGCGAGCTCTCACTTCACTCTAAAAGTACTAGTTATACTAAAGAAGATAAAGCTCTGTAACGTATTTCCCGGGCTAGCTGGGCAGTCCGGAACACATAGTAAATGCGGTAAATTACAACTTGGTATCTCAACAACGGTGGCCTAATGGGGCTTTTGCTTCTACGATAAATGCTTTTTGGGTGATATCCAGCCTCTCTAAGGAGTTTGGAAAATATGTATGACTTGATAATCGCGATAAATATATCTTTAGTCTTTTGCAAGGTACTTATCCCTTCTTAATATATTTTACTTTATATTATAGTCACTTCTAGTCTTATCGGTTACAACTAGGTTTCTTTAGGGATCCCTAGATATACTAGTTTATTATATACTAGCCTCTAGTGATAACTAGCTATACTAGTTAAGAATCATAGCTAATATAGTATACCTACATATAATAGTAGGATTAGGTAAGTAAGAGATATCATTAGTAGGGAGCTTATAGGGTAAATTTAATAGGTAAATAAACGGTATCTAAAAAACACGATGCTAGAACTTCTAGATTTTAATAAGCTTATTTATTATTACTATTAATCTTATCCCTCCTAGATATATTTTACCCTACGACCCTACGACGATTTACATTCTCTTTCTATAGAGGCCGTATGACAAACAAGTGCCTAGTGGGCCACCAAAAACAGGCATCCATGGAGGATGGCATGGTCTCAACACATAGAATTGACGATTTCCATCTTCTGTCATTCTCTGACCTTACCTTTCTAGCCTCACATGCGCGTATTTGGTATCACGTCCCACGTTTGAAGCACGTCCAAAATACGAAAAATGAAACTAGGTCTAAAGTTACATAGCGGGGTATAACACGCCACGCGAACGTTCAAGCATGAAAATGGCTTGGTGAAACCCGGCTCCTCGTTTCGGATGAACCCGCATATCTTTGGGGTGGTAAGACACGGCGGGGTGAAATACGAGGTTGGATATCAGCTATGCGTAATTGAATTGTTAGACATATAACCTAGAATCGCGCCTCTTCGTATTTGCGGACACGAGACAGCTCATCACGCCGAAAGGCTCCAGTAATAAATATGTATGATTTCTCTCTTCTCTGGGGTTGGCGTTGAAGAATGAGACATTGCCCCCGTGGCTAGAATGTCATTGAACATGATCGAGGGTTCGAGCTTATTTGTAATTCTCGGCAAGAGACACGAGCTAAGCCTCGGCGCAATCGCTGATACCCAAGACGATAGTTGAATGGAAGCCATGGATTGCCTAATGTCTCAGAGACTATATCCATAAATACGTCACTCGAGTTTTTAGGCACACTTCTGCGGGGAAGCTATGTTTGTCGTGCGTGCGAATACCATCTCTATCTATCATGGCATTTCCACTTTAAACAGGGAGACTTGTAGCTTCTCTTTATTACTTGAATCTCTGAAATGCAATCTTGATTGGTAAAACGCATCGTCCAAGGTAGAAAGCACGGACGGCTTCATTTGGGTAAGAAAGCTATTCCACTAATGTACGTAGATATATATGAAATGGAAACGGGTGGCCTTACTCGGGAGGCTCGCCTAATTGGTATACGAAGGGCTGTGCAGACCAGCTACCATCTTCTGCCCTCAGGCCACCCAGATCGGTTGCGGCAGGACGTGTCATCCGCTAGATGTCTACTATTCGAAAATCTAAGAATAGTATGGATGGCAAGATTATGATGACTTCAGCTCCAGGTTAAGGCTCAGCGTTTCAGAGAGAAAGGTATAAAGCCCACCTCCTTCCTGCGAGATGTGATGCCTCTAACTCCGAACAACATCAGACTTCAACCGCATTTTCAAACAGTCCAAGCACTCATCACTTCCTCCAAATATTTCAAGATGAAGTTTACCATTGCTGCTATCATCCCTCTTATGGCAGTCACTGTCTCTGCCACGCCTCTTGAGGTCCGCCAGTCCAACCAAGTCACCTTTGCTCTATCGAATGACCAATCTGGAGCATATGCTAGCGCGACATTCCAAGCCGACGACACTGATAAGAGCATCTTCTCCCTCTTCAGTGGTACCTCTGTTGGTGCAGGTGGTACTGTCAAGGCAACCGCTGCCCAGCTCACCAACTTTGCGCAATCTATCAATTGTGTCATCAAGAACAACGACGCAAACATTGGTACCCTCACTGCCCAGAAGACTTACCTGGATCTTGACGGAAGCCCCCACACCGCAATTCCAATCAACCTGGACAATGCTGAGATTCGCTGCCGTGCTTGAATACCTGGCTCCTCGCAGATGGCACAACTCTGATCTGTTGAGTGACAGGATGTGCTGAAGCTGGACTGAGATCGATTATGAGATTGTGGTTCATTGTGTCTGTGTTATTTGTGTGCAAATGTCTTGTTGTGGTCAGTACCTGTCGATAAATACTTAGGTATTCAAGTTGTTGGACATGGGACTTCTGATATATCTTGACACGTCTTGGTGCTAGGTAACACATTGTAGCACCTATAGTTGCTCGCTTTCATTAACTCCACGGTCCTCGCTTTTGATAAATGCTACTGCCCTACTAGTTTTGTAATTCTTCTTGTTTTGGTTATCTCCCCAATAACATTATCTTATCACCCCCAAGGTTTTCAACATCTACAATGGCTCGCAAGGTCCCCCAAAGATGAAAATATACCTCTCTGATTTTTTAGACATCTTCTGGGTCTGAAAATCAAGAAGTGTGCCCCGAAAGTTGATGTTTATAGAATCTGCAAAGTGGGGGTTCTCAGCTCCATGCTATGGTTGACACTGAGTATTCCGGCTGCAGCCGGAGAATGTATGTCCTCACCCCTGCTTAATCTGCTCGCTACAAGGTCCCGGTGGATGATTTAGTTGACAAGTCAACAGAGCGGACTTTCGAGTTTTACCCCTGCTAGTGTTCGGATTTGCTACATATCAGCTGGACAGGACCAACATTGCTAGCGCACTCACGGGGAATTTTGCCGCTGTCATATCCGTCGATCAGAACATTATCAATCTCGGGAATCAACTGATGTTCCTAGGTGTCATTTTACTTGAGATACCATCAAATGTTATTTTACATAAGGTATGTCACATCCATTCCCGGATGATACGCGTATTAACAAGTCGAATCAGGTTGGCCCTCGCCAATGGATCAGTGCACAAGTATGCGTATTCGGAGTAGTAGCATGTCTACAAGTATTCGTGCGCAATAAGTTAGGCTTCCTGCTCACCAGAACGTTTTTGGGACTTGCGGAAGCAGGGTATATTCCCGGTGCTATGTACACACTGTCTACCTGGTATACGAAGCAAGAGTTGACAAAACGAATTGCCATATTTTTCTTCGGCATGTTTGGTGGAACGGCCATCTCTCCACTGCTTGGAGCTGCTCTGTTGAAACTAGACGGAAAATGCGGTCTCTTCGGCTGGCAATGGATCTTCCTCAGTACGATTGAGGCTGGTCCCTCAACTGTTAAACTATGCTAATAAATTTGTAGTCGAAGGTCTATTCTCCATTACGGTCTCTATTTTGCTCTTTTGCTTCCTTCCTGAACACAGGGAAGTCCCCGTGACATCAAATCAAGTGGATATTTCGGACTCTGGGGGGACTCGCTCAATGAAGGAGCCATTGTCTCACCCTGGCAAAACGCATATCCCGTTCAGATTGGTTTGGAATACATTGACAGACATACGGAAATGGCCACATTTCATTGCCACAGGCTGCGTCTTCGCTACGTGGAGCCCTCTCACAACCTACACCCCGAGCATTTTTGTGGAACTGGGGTTTGCTCGAAGTCAGGCAAATGCATTTTGCGCAATTGGAAGTTTGCTCACTCTCCCTGTGATTTTGGTTTTTGCGTGGATAAGCGACAGATCGAGCAAAAGGGGCCTTACCGTCATGGGTGCTATCTTCGTGTACTTGATCGCGTTGGTAATTCTAAGAATCATGATGCACCGTGTGGATAAATGGGGCAAGCTGGGCCTCTGGACAGCAGTTAATGCTGTCGCTGTGGGCTATCATCCAATCCACAATTCTTGGATCCAGATCAACTGCCAGAGCTCTGAAGAGAGGAATATAAGCGTTGCGTGAGTAAAATCTTTCCTGCGTGTCGTTCTTTGAACAGATGAGCTGAGCTAATAATCTTGCTTCGAAGAATGTGTAAGACTATTAGCCTTATAGCGGACAGTGCTTTTTTACTAACTAAATTAAGTCGTCATGGCAGCTACAGGGGGGGCTTATGGCAGGAACCCAGATATTTCGGGCGGACGAGTCAGCTATGTTGTAAGTCCTATATAAGCGGATCTTACCACGTCACACCACTAATGATAAATCTATCAACCCGGTAGTTATCCGAGAGGGGTGTTGATCATGATCGGGTTGGTGATTTTGGGACTGGTTCTTGTTTCCCTGCAAATCTCAATATTCTGGATCCAAAACAGGCGTATCAAAGCAAAATCTGGCGGCAGGGTGCTGAATGTTTTATAGTAAGCCAGGGGTAGCCTCCTATCAGGTCACACTTCTCATGTGCATCAGATCCGCCGGATAATCTAAAAGATTCTCTTACCTGGCAGTTATGCAGATGGAAAAAAAAGGAAAGAAAATAGGAGATACCAATAGAAACAATTGAGTGATTCATCACACTATCGTTCTTTATCCATAGTTGAATCGTAGGCCATATCGAGACACAATTGGAACGTGCAAGAGCCGTAAGAGAGGTCGCACAAGTCCTAGTTAGAAAACATGATAATGGAGCGACACATGTAGTATGGAGTAGGAGTACATTTTGGATGACAGTAGTATGCAGACCTTTGCACTTCTGAGTATAGTGACATGCATCTAGGGTGATTATATGGCAAAGAAGTAGATCTTTGAGGATGGATACTTTTTGTGTAGGTTGAAGTTTTCGCGTAATGCCAGACTACTCTTTTCGTTTAAGGGGCAATGAAAGGAAAATGCGAAAGAAACAAATGTACACTCGATACTCCGATCATCCCTAGCTCGGTGTCAAGGCAAGGATTCAGAAATAATTCGCAAAACCTGTCGATATATTACAAGTAGGAATTGCACATCGCTGTTCAGAATCTCCAAATCACGTAGGGCCAAATATTTGCCATGATGCTTGAGACTCAAAGTACTCCTCCTGTTTGGCAGCACCGATTTGCATGTGGATATTGCTACTGAACTGTGAGGGTGAAGCGACATCCGTTCAATACTCGAATAATATTCATGATTCATTGCATTCTTTTGCCCCAAGTAATCAAAGCCCCTAGGAGCCATGTCCGATAAAACGCGGACCAAGGTTGAACAGCTTATACCAAGGTATGGGGCGCAGGTAGAAATCAATCGTAGCCAGAAGGAGTTGTGCGAGCGAAGTCGACTAGAAGACAAGTCGGCATACACTTCCTTGATAGCAAACCATGTTGTGTCAAGTTCGGCAAAGGGTATCCAGAGTTTAGTAAAGGATAACCCGGTGCGTTTTATACCACCAAAACAGGGTATTGTTCTTCTCTTCAGTTCTTGATGTAACAATATTAAAGCATAATTGTACAGTTCAGGGTTGAGCTTAGACGCAACGATGGCGAACCGGTGTATCGCCGATATGGCCGGATTGTCACAGCAACATAGTTCAAGGACACACCACGGTCGCTGGAGGATCATAAGTAAGGACTCAACAATGTCCCTGCGCCCGACAATCTGATGCTTAGAAAATTTTGAAGCATTGATAAGGAACCAAGGAAGGCTATCGCGAGGTGAGATATCACGCACAGAATTGATAGGTGGGTCCTTTGGGCATGGCAGCGAGACAACGTTCACCGCGAATACATTTTCTGTAGTGACTAGCACGGGGATCACATTCCTAACAGCAGAAGCGGCTGATATGAGTTCCGCCCGAAGTCCAGATTTTAACTCTGTGGTGTTCCAATCTGGAGGAGACGCGACAATCGAGTAGATAGCGAACGCGTCTCCTAGTGCAACCCCTCCACCTTCGTCGAATGAAGCACAAAGTTGAGAGAGACCTTTCGGGTCGTAATTCGCAGCCTCATCCATAAATTCCTCGGAAGTGTGGGAAGTCCTCACACCGAAGATGCTGCCACGTACATGCTCGGGGTAGGAGTGTGTGGCGTTGGATGAGTCCACGGGGGTATCCTATGTGGTGGGTCACGTGTTATAAGAGAGTTCTCCCTAGAATTACCTCGACTCAAGACTTCCTTCACGAATAGAAGTAGTAGGTCTTCCCCTCTTCCTCTTGCCTGTCTTCCCCTTGGTTGCTATATATATTTTCAATAATATACGAATTAGAGATATGAATAGCTACTGCATTTTGAGAACTAATTGCAAATTCGTGCTCCATTCTCTACGGGAAAGTTCCACAACTCGAATTGTGTTTTCCCGCTTTGCGACCTGTCAGCTGCTTGCGCAGTTTTGCTTTTGCTGGGTGTTATTGGTCTAGGTGGATCGCTGAAGATCGTCGGGTGCAGAGTGACTTCAGCTAGTAAGCACTAACCCCAATAAAGGAGGATTAGCGAATTTCCAGTGAGGTTTTGAGTGGCTTATTTCCTGTTTACCTGACCTATATGACCTTTTTCCTAAGGAACCATGGGTCGCGAGCCTTGGCCCTCCCCCGTTGTGCCTTAAAATGCCATCATTATCGTTGTATTTTTCAAGTCTGCTCTCTATAGTTGGGCTAGCACAAGCCGAAAAATTTCCACAATCACTAACAGACTTGCGCGCTCAGCTGAAGAGTGATGGCGGAGTTACATTTGACCCGCTTGGTGTTGCGGCCGTCCTCTACAACCCTCGCGTGGACAAAAGTGCAGCAAGACTTTATACTCAGTTTGATCGAGGGTTATTCATATGGCCACACCTGACAATGATCGGAGGGACTCTACCACCCATGCAAATGCTTGTTGAACGCCTCAATGCCACGATGAAGTGGATCCATCCATCTATCAAATTATGCGCACAAGATACGACTATGCTCCCCGTACGATCCGACGTGTCGGGGAATGTATTTCGCCAACTGCCACTCAACTTGAGCAACGCATGGCTGACTGGCATAATATCCTTTCAAACATCCGGACAACCTGGAAACGACTTCGCTGTCGTTTGTGTGGGTTCCATGTACCCATCAAGCGACGAACGCCGGAAAAATCTGCGTCAGCCGTCAGCAATAGGAACCTTAGGATGGCTTCTCAGGAAATGGACACTGGACTCAATTTGTCTGGTCAACGGAGCCATGCTGATGACCGGTATGGTGTGCGGGATTTTGTCAGCCGACCTTTGGGCATTCACCTTGTTTCTTCTATACAGCAGTCATTGGCTTGCGTCGGTGCTGATTTCGTTCACTTCTATGGTCAAGATCCACAAACCAGGTCACATCAAAAACGACATGCGGGATAGATATGCGGTCTATGAACGCGATGAGGGAGGGACTGTGATATTCAAGGGACCACAAAGGGAGCTTGAGGAGTGGGCCCGTTCCACTTGGGAATATGACCGGAATTGGGGAAAGGATCTTCTACACTGGTTCTGGACCCTGTCAGGGACATTCTCTGGTATATCTTCGGTTGCATGTATGGTAAACATGAAGGGCACTCTACAATTGGCGTTTTTGGGGGTTTTGGTATACTCATCACTGGCTGAGATCGTTGCAACCAGAATTGCGCGTCAACTGCAAACCAAAGCTCATGGCCGTATTTATGCGGCCAAAGTCTTGAATAACGACACCCGAACCAAAGCAATTATCCGCGCAACATTGGAAATTTCCACGGAATGCCGTCTCAGGGACCTGGATTGGGTCAAAATGGGACTGCTTCCTCCAATGCGAGTTTTCGAGAAGATGCAGGAACTGTTGAGAGATATTTCAGATATCGATCAGAGCATAGACGATCGTCGAGCTGCGGTGAAAAAGAAATGTGATGCTTTCATCCATAGTGTGGATCCCTCGGAGCAGATGTTGGCTAAAAGAATAGTCAAGGAAGTGATGGAGGCACTAGGGTTCTTGCAAGATATTGGAGCGGTCCATCAGTTGAATGCCTCAGACGAAAAACCCCAGAGTTAAAGAGTTCGGCAGTTTGCCTCTTCTTAATACAATTATACAACCCTTTCCGTCCTACACTTTGGTCCCTACCTTTGTAGTGCCAATGAGAATGTATATGAACCATGAAAAACTTGCTCAATGAGTCAAAGGTTCTTTCCGGGCGTTGCTCAATGTAGGTGATTGGCGCTTTTCGTGACAAGTCTCCAACTTCACTACTCTTTAGATCTGCTCATGTCTCACACGCGCATAAGTTCTGAGCCTCGACTTCCTATCGCACATGTGTTGGGTGCTCACTTCGATACTTATTGCATCTGGCGACAAGTACTCGGCAACTAGAGATGGTAGATATTTCCCTTCGGCCAAGTAGATAATATATCATATGGCATACTTGCAAACTTGAGATCTATCTCCAATCCCGGAAAGGCTCCTCGCGCTCCCGAAAACCCCACGCCCCACGGCGGACCGAGAAGAAACCTTCGGCATTCCGTGGATATCCTATTTCCAATAATAATCCGGATTCACTATTGTTGTATATGAAGGTCCTATCCGGAATTCGCAGCCTAGTCTATGTCATATATGTCTTCTATCTGCACTTGATCGCCTATCTAAGGTCACGAGAATGGACACACTCATCTCACTATGTTGTAGACCCGAGACTTGGAGCGCACAAAGCCGCCTAAAGCCGACCGTCCGGATAGCTTGACATGGTCGTTTGCCTGTTTTTAGCGAGAGTCCCAATTAGGAAGGAGTGGGAGTCGTCGAGGACTTGGACTCTACTATAAATCTGGGCAAACCTTTAACTACCACGCCTCATGTGCTTTGTTCATCCGTGCATGTGTCCAACCCGCAGGCTCTCTTATGGCGCGCCTATACACCCTCGCTTTGATCGTGATGGTGGACGTAGATCAGACACACCTAGCAGAAGTAAGCTTGGGGTGCACGTTACCTTGAGAAGCAACCTATGGGCCTAACTGGCACCGAGAGTTTAACTCGATCATTGGAGTGGATGGAATTGCAGAGACATTCACGTTGTGTCGTAAGGTGGTGGGGAAATTTTGGAAATTTTGGATCGCGAATATTGTGTTGATACACACAGCTCCACGGGTATACGGAGTACTGCCGCCCGAACAAGGCCCGACACCTCAGGCATCACGTGTGGCTCCCGCTTGTTGGAACTATGCATGCGTAGGGGTTAGAGAACGCCCACTTTCATTTCCACCTAGACTCTGAGGTAATCTCTCAGCACAAGAGACTCAAAGTGGCCATCTGATTTTTGATTTTTGGCATTTGAAAATTGACTACTACGTATGTTCTATGTACTCCGTACTCCGTACTCTGTACGGAGTCCAACATTCAACGCACGGAGTAGAGAATTGACTAAAAAAAATTGGAGTCAAGCTAGTTGTGACCAATGAAACATTTGCGCCGAGCCCCCTTTAAATTGAGGCTATTCCTATGTTGTATACTTGCGGGATGGCCTATCGAAACACGGTTAATGTCGGAGCCTAGCAGAGTCAGGGGGATCTCTTAACTGCGTTGGTATTGAGGACGTCATTTTTGGTTGCTACTTGGTTCTATAATGTGAATTGTAGAATACGAAACATGTAATGTCTAAATCGTAAGGTGTTCATTTGCCCGGGGACCATTTCCTGAGAGTTGGATTTCGGCCTCGGCAGGAGTCCCAAGACTGGCGCCCCCAACGCCTCCGACATCATCTCAAACGGTGGTTCCATAGTATGCATTCGTGCAGCATAGGTATAGAGTTAAAAGGTAAACCGACAATATGTTGTACCTTAAGGTTAAGTATTGTCAGGTTTACAGAATACTCTGATAAACATTTAACCCCAGCGTAGTCCGTATATTTACTCCCTACAAGTATGTATGTATGTTGTACCTTAAAGCTCAAAGATAACAAATTGTTTCTTCTCGAAAGCTTCGAAACAAGAACCACACTAGTCAGGTTTCGGACAGTAGGAAAGTTATCATTGGCTGTCCCAACAAACTCCCTGTTTCTCCACGTACTTTGATTGGCTTAAAGTTAGTTGCACTCGTGTTCTGTGGATGGGGTGGGTCCGGGTGGGCCCTAGTGGGTTTTTGTGGATCTCATTCGCCAGCATTTTAATCTGCTGGTCATTTTTCCCATCGTTTTTTCCGAGAAGTGGCGTTTTTCTTTTTCTTTTTTTCTTTTTCTTTTTCCCTATGCTATCTTTTGTTTTTGTATTTCTTTTTTCTATCTTTTTCACACTCTCTACTATTCCTGGTGCATATAACAATTTGCACCGTATGCAGATCAGAATCATCACGCAATAGCTTCATTCCTTATGGCTGCTGATGATGGATTCCGTCGCCCCTCCGGGCTGACGGTCGAACAGGGCGTGAGCACCTCGAATGCGGATCGCACCCTGGAGGATATGGGATACAAGCCTGAATTGTCTCGCAACCGATCGATCTGGCAAGTCACTTTCATGTGCTTCATTCTCTCTTCAGTTCCCTACGGCTTGTCGACCACTCTGTACTACCCACTCGCCGCCGGTGGGCCAGCCAATGTCGTCTGGGGTTGGGTGATCATCTCTTTCCTGATTCTCTGTGTGGCTATCTCATTGGCGGAGATTACTTCGGTCTACCCGACCGCAGGTGGTGTCTACTATCAAACATTCGTCTTGTCGCCCTTGTGGTGTCGCCGCGTTGCATCATGGATCTGTGGCTGGTCCTACGTCGCAGGAAACATCACCATTACCCTCGCTGTCAATTTCGGAACGGCCTTGCTCTTCGTAGCTTGTCTCAATATTTTCGAAAAATCGCCGGGGTGGGAATCACCGATGATTTCCAGGCCTACCATACCTTCCTTATCTTCTTGGCTATCACCCTGCTGACACACTCCATCTCGGCGTTTGGCAACAAATGGTTGCCGTGGTTGGAGGTAAGTGTCGCACGTGCCCCTTTGCCTAAAATAGAACTGATCATTTTAGACATTCGCAATCTTCTGGACCATGGCCGGTCTCCTCGCCATTGTCGTCTGCCTGCTGGCTATCGCCAAGCAAGGTCGTCACGATGCCGCCTGGGTCTTTGGCCACTTTGAAACTCAGGCTGGGTGGCCCGCGGGGTGGTCGTTCTTCATTGGTCTCTTGCAGGCTGCCTACGCCACATCGGCGACCGGCATGATTATCTCGTGAGTCTGATCACTATCAAGCCGTCCCTCATTTGCTAACATATAAATTAGACTCTGCGAGGAGGTCCGCGAACCCGCGATCATGGTCCCAAAGGCCATGGTCGGAACCGTCATTATCAACTGTGTTGCCGGTCTCCTCTTCTTGGTCCCCGTCTGTTTCGTGCTTCCCGATCTCACATACCTGGTCAATCTGGCTTCGGGTCAGCCCACCCCTGCCATCTTCAAGGCCGCCATCGGCAACTCGGCGGGTGCATTCTGTCTGCTGATTCCTTTGCTCGTGCTTGGTATCATTTGTGGAGTCGGTTGTGTTACCGCCACCTCTCGTTGTACTTGGGCCTTTGCCCGTGACGGCGGCATTCCCGGCTCGGGCTGGTGGAGCACCGTCAACAAGACCCTCAACATTCCTTTCAACTCTTTGCTATTGGGTATGGCTGTGGAAATCATTCTTGGTGTGATCTACTTCGGATCTACTGCTGCGTACAATGCCTTCTCGGGCGTTGGTGTCATTTTCTTGACCACGAGCTATGCCTGCCCGATCGCTGTTTCCCTGATCTTCCGTGGTCGGGAGGATATCAAGAACGGCAGCTTCAACTTTGGAGTCTTGGGTCTGATCGCTAACGTTATTGCTCTTTGTGAGTCGCCTCTCGAAACTTTATTGCATGCTTGGGTTTCATCTAACCGTTCTAACCATTCCAGGCTGGAGTCTTCTTGCGATTCCCCTGTTCTGCATGCCGACACTTAAGTCTGTCACCAGGGAGAGCATGAACTATGCGTCTGTGGTGTTCGCTGGCTTTATTGTTATCGCCGCCGTCTGGTATGGTGTCTGGGGCTACAACAATTACCGCGGACCGCCAACCGACGCCGTGGAGCGGGATGAAACCTCCTCTGAGCCTTCAGCCTACGCTGAAGTCCCTAAGAAGACACCGAGCCACTGAACTTTGAACTTTTCTTCCCATTGCGACAACCTTTCTCACCATTGCGACAGCTTCCCTCACCATTGCGACAACTTCCCTCACCATCGCGCCCACTTCACTCGCCATCGCGACCACTCCTCGCCATTGTGATAACTTCTCTCGCCATCGCAATAACTCCTCTCGCCGTGGTAATAACTCCTCTCGCCATCGCAACAATTTCTCTCGCCATTGCAACAACTTCTCTCGCCATTGCAACAACTTCCCCTGCCATCGCGACACCGGACCCTTTATGCCCTTTTGAGGCTAGCCCGATCTAAGTAATTCTAGTCTAGAGAGCACCGAGTTGCATGTACATAGTATGAATACCCCATCAAAATAGTTATTTTTTCGTGACTTGCATATCATAACCTGCGTACCTGATTCAAAGGTCATGACGAAGAGCATACAATTCATGCTCACTTGCTTGGATACAGTCGCATCCTATTCATTTCCTGATGACATGGACCTGTACCTTTGCTGCCATCCAACCCCACCAGTCCTGATGACTATGAATCAATGGCTGCGACATGGTCCGTCACCAGACAGGTGAATTCGCTAGTTCCATAGTAGATAGTGTTTCCATCATCGGCCGATTTTCCCGAGCTCAGCGTGTCTCCATACTGCCAGTAGAGATCAGCTGCAACGCCAGTGGTGTCCAGCGCCGTCTTCTGCCATGGCGCCTCGATGTTACAGTGATCAGAAGTGGCACCGTACTCTTCGAAGAGACAGGGCTTGCCAGCTGCTACACAGGCGGCTCCGTGGGACTTGACCCATCCGTTGCCCCAATCAAAGCTGGTCCCCCCTTGCGTGAATGTATTAGCAATGTCCAGACTAAAAGTGAAAGGGTATACATACAACTCGTGGGGTAGAGATGGAACGTAGCAAAGTCGATGGTATCAATCCCTAGATTCATCGTGAAGTTCAGACCCTCGCTGTAGCCATAGGGATAGCTGCCATCAGACCCAGTGTCCAGTCCAAAGCCCTCTAGAAGATGAGTTAGACGATTAACCACGTGGGAGAGATCAGAAGGGCACAAGTACCATCGCCAATGGCCACCATATGCTTTGAGTCTAGAGACTTGATATAGGCACTGGTGGACTTGATCCAGTTGTAAAGAACCGAGGTGTCGCAGCCTTTGCAGCGGGGCTCATTGGCCAACTCCCATGCAAACACAGCAGGCGAGTCAATATAACGGGAGACAACAGCTTTGACGTAAGCCCGGTAGGCCGTTTGAGCTGCGGTATTTGTGTACCAGCTTGTCTGGCTGCCACCAAAAGCAGTGACATAGGCCGCCATACCCCCATAATCCGACCAGTTGTTGACAAAGTTAATGATAAGTTTCACATTCCGTGCCTCGGCGGACGCAACCACATAGTCCAGGCGCTGTAGGCCATCTGCACCGGTGTTGATAGTGGCAGTTCCATCTTTGAGTAGTTGGTAATAAACGGTCCCCGAAGATGGAACGGTGTTGACATCGTTGAATCCCCAAACTCGGAGGATTCGGAGCCCAGATTCCGCCATGTGGTCGAACACAAGATCCACGTCGTCATTGTTAGTGAGGAACCCAATCCAGTAGGAATTGGAACCGGCAAAGTAGTTTGTCTTCCCGTCGATTACAAATTCCAGTCCATTTGTAGTGGGGAACCCTGTCGCACTGGCTGTTGCCTTTGCTGTAGTGGTCGTTTTACTTGTGGTTGTCAAGACCTTTGTCGATAGGGTGGTACCGCCATTAGTCGCTAGGGTTTTCCGTGTTAGTTGAGTTCATAGCTTTGCAGCATAGTATCTGAGAACACGTACATTCGAGACACTGGCTAAACCAGTCATTCTGATATTGACAAGTCCAGCCCGAGCCACACGTTGTAGGGCCAGAATAACCGCTTCCACCACACTGAGCGTACGGAGCAGCTTGGGCAGAGACCAGACCGGTCAGAGTCAAGATTGCTAGCGTTTTCATAATGTTAGATTTCGTAATGCACTTATTTGGCTCCAGATGCGTGGATGTACACACACACATATATATATATATCTCTCTCTCTCGCGAGAGGGGAATACAGACGGGAACAACTTCCGCCCTGAATTAGGAAATCCAAATTATTCCATCAACCAAAGGATATATTAGGCCATGGAATGTGTCCATTGTGCTTATATCGCAAGCCTCCCGTGTTGTTTATGGAACAATCGAGGCGGCAGTCCGCTCACAATACTAGAATGATTCGGCTTTTGATGGACTGAAGTCTATTAGCCAAACCACTTGCATTAGTACGCGGGGTATATAAGAAATTCCACTGTAATTGCGGGGGAAGCTGCGAAAATGGAATGCGGAGAAAAGGATTTGGCACGCTTGTCTGAATTAGTCAAGGCGTTTCAGCCGCTGTGCTTGGGAGATGAAGAAAAGTCATTGACAATCAGCGATGAAACATGGAGAAGCGGCTAGCAGGGCCGATAATAATAATTACTGCTCCAAGTCGCAACTTATATATCCATTTTATATGGGCCCTTCTATTTCGTTTCTCACGGGCTTTTCCGAAGGATCGCAGTGTGAGGGATGTCTCAAGTCGACAGACCTGCGACCTTCTGTATCCATATCTACCTACGTATCGTCACGATATCTCTCCAGGGCTGTTGAATGACTCAGCGGAACGAAGGGCTTGGAATGTTGGCCGAGAATGGCCCCGACTTGGCACGGTGAGTATCTCAGAAGGCATGCCGGATTTTGGCGGATCAACCGGCATCCTCCGGATGGAGTCGCGGGTTTCTGTGATCGGGGAAACTACGGGGAACTACGGGGAGAATTACGCATTTAACAGACTACGCGAGATTACGTATGTACCCACTGTTGCCTACATCAATGTTTGGGTGCTGGCTAAAAGGGAACATTGTTCAAATTTTCAGGATTGATACAATATAGTAAAACTCCAAGTTGTATAAATGGACCATGGGATCTTCTAAAAAGGTTGGAATCATGTGATAGATCTGGAGAACTGTGAATTTGTAACTGCAAATTAAAAATTAAAATTACATGGGATAGCAAATTACACATAAAAAACAAAACAAATTGAAAATTCTTCAATGACGTAGGGCGGCGGGTGTGGCGCCTCAGGACCGACGACCTCGGAAGCCGGGATCGGGATATTATATCAACAGGATGCCGATATTTTACGGGATTCATATTAAGATTAAGATTCATATAAATCTTACATGGAGTAGATAGTCATTTGTAAAAGCAATGTTCAGGGAAATAGTAGTGATATCCCGAGTTAGTACGGAGTAGTTCTTAGCATATCCCCCCAGACTCCGCATTTCCCCTCCAGAACCCTCCTTCCATGTCTGGAGATGATAATTCTCGGGGATGTTTTCACCGGGATACCGATCGGGAAATGAATTTCTCTTAGATCCGGAGACAACCCGGAGACAATCCGAAAGGCCTGGGGAATTCCGGGGGTTTCCTTTTTCCCACGCTTTCTCCGGATTCAGAATCTATCCCCGTATCCCTTGATATCCCACATAAAATCAACATGGTGAAAACAGAACAAGTGAAATCTCTTTTCTCGGCTCCGGCGAAAACATCTGATCCCGAATTAGTTCGGCACGGGCTTGGCCTATGAGCTTGTATTCGCCACATTCCGACCCTTACGCCGAACGAATCGGCTATCCACTTGAAAACGGCGAACCAGAGCCAATGATCACTTGGTACCTGCCCTGTATGGTCTTTCCCCCTGGTGGGGTGGCTGTGTAAGCCGGCTGCCACCGGGTTGTTGGCTGTTGTCATCCTACTTTGTACAATAGCCATGAGCATCGTCATCTCGCCCAACTCGCCTCTCCACAATTCTCTCTCCACTTCTATGAGTTTTTATTATTTTTTCCTGTTTCGTTGCTAGATTACAAAAAGCCCCCTATTCCCCCATCTTCCCCGAGGTTTCCTCTTCCCCATGGGCTTATTTCCCTCCATTCTTCTTTTATTTTCATCTTTCTCCTGAGCTGGTCCTCTACTCCCTTAAACCCTAAAATAAAAATATCAGACAGAAATATATTTACTCAACCTACATCATGGGTATTGAAGCGTCTTCCCATCATGGGGAGTCCATCACTCCCCAACAGCCGGTCGAGTCGTCCTTCCAAAACAGTCCCACTGAGAAAACCATGCGACCCTCGGGTATCGATACCCCAATCCCTCGGATAACCATGCGGTCCTTGGTGATGGCCCTCTTTGTTTCGATGGGTGGTCTGCTGTTCGGATATGACACGGGTCAGATTTCTGGCTTCCAAGAGATGAGCAACTACTTGGAGCGGTACGGTGAGCTCGACGCAGATGGTTCCTACAAATTCAGCACCGTGCGCTCCGGTCTTATTGTCGGCTTGCTGTCCGTCGGTACTATGATTGGTGCCCTGGTCGGAGCCCCCGTTGCTGACATGTTGGGCCGGAAGTGGTCCATATCCCTCTGGTGTATGATCCTCAACGTCGGGTTGATTGTCCAAATTGCCGCCCCCGATGGTCACTGGTACCAGGTGGTCATTGGCCGTTGGGTCACTGGTCTCGGTGTTGGTGGCTGCTCGCTGCTCGTGCCTATGTATCAGGGTGAAAGTGCCCCCCGTCACATCCGTGGTGCCATGATCAGTTGCTACCAGTTGTTCGTCACCCTCGGTATCTTCTTGGCTTACTGTATCAACCTGGGTACTCACACTATGGATGGCACTGCTCAGTGGCGTATCACTCTTGGTCTCACCTTCCTCTTCGCTCTAGTCCTCGGCGGCGGTATGGTGTTCTTCCCGGAAAGCCCACGTTATGAGTTCCGCCATGGAAAGGCCGAGAGTGCCCAACGCACACTGGCCAAGCTCTACGGCATCCCGGAGAACCATGTCCGCATCTTGGAAGAAATGGGCGAGATTCGCGAGCAGTTCGAAGCGGAGTCTGATGGCCAGAAGTGGCATGAATTCCTTACAGCCCCTTGCATGTTCTACCGTATTGCCCTTGGCATGGTCCTGCAGTCACTGCAACAGCTCAGCGGTGCCAACTACTTCTTCTACTATGTAAGTCTTCTTCTTCTTTTTCTTCTTTATTTTCTTGGTGCTAACTGAAATATAGGGCACCACTATCTTTGCAGGCGCTGGTCTCTCGGACAGCTTCGTCACCCAGTGCATCCTCGGCGCTGTGAACTTCGCCACCACCTTTGGAGGCTTGTATGTCGTAGAAAACTACGGTCGTCGCAAGTCCCTGATATTTGGAGCAATCTGGATGTTCGTCATGTTCATGATTTTCGCCTCCATCGGCCATTTCGTTCTGGATGTGGAGACACCTACCAACACCCCTAATGCCGGTAAGGGTATGATTGTCGTCGCCTGCCTGTTTATTGCGGCATATGCTATGACCTGGGGTCCCATGGTCTGGGCTATTGTCGCCGAGCTCTTCCCCTCAAAGTACCGTGCCAAGGGTATGGCGCTGGCTACCGCAACCAACTGGCTGTGGAACTTCCTCATCAGCTTCTTCACGACTTTCATCACCAAGGAGATCGACTTTGCCTACGGATACGTCTTTGCTGGTTGCCTTTTCGTAGCTATCGGCGTTGTCTACTTCTTCGTCATTGAAGGAAAGGGTCGCACGCTCGAGGAGCTTGACTGGATGTATGTCAACAAGGTTGTCCCCTGGAAGAGCAGCAACTTCGAGATTCCTGAACGCCACCAGGACTGGATTGCGGATGAGAACCCGTACGGTCGCAAGTCCCAGGGAACCATCCACGCGGAGACCGCGTGAGTGCAAAGGGCTCTTCGGAATACACAACAATTTCTTCTTTTTTACTGGTGTTGCGTTCTGGATTCGCATTTGTCATGATGCATGAACTTGCACGATATCATCTTGGGCCTGGAGTACTGAGTTGCATTATTGTGCACATTTTCTTTGTACATATAGAGGATCAACCATATACCTATTGCGTTTATAGAATATAGAACGTTTATTTCATTTACCTTTACAACCTGAATTCCAACCAAACTACGAGCAAGTCAGAAGCTGATGTACAATATGTAGATGAGCTTGTGTCGTCTCCTAAAGGAAGATGCCATGTTATCCTCTATAGGTCACTATATGTTGACTTTCTACATCTGGAGTCTAATATTGAGATTTACAAAATGTAGGTTAAAAGAACCTTGTATGACTGTCTAGCTATAACATCAACCACACCTGCTATATTCCTATATATCAAAATGACGTCGGTTGCCTAATTGAGCGTCGGCCTTAAAAGCTCACAAGTTGAATCATTAAAGGTCGTACGAGCACAAGTACCAGTACGCCAGGGGGTATTCAAAGTGATCCCTCTGCTTGTTCTCTTCCATCACACCCTCATACAGGATGGCTATTCAACCACCAAAATTGTTTCATCAACATATACTTGCATACCTCACCTTGGCAATTGATAACATATTTTCCTCTATCACAATTACTGCCAAACAGCTCAAAGCCAAGTATCAAGCCCGTGTCCAAGCTAACGGGTTCAAACTGCTCTTACGAGAGCTCCAAGAAGCAGAACATACGAGGATCCAACTCGACTGGATATCTGATCATCGCCAGGAGACAAGACGGGTTAACAATATCATCCAAAGAGAAATGCATGTCGGTGCGATATCTCGCCACTATGAAATCCAAGTTCAGCATGAAAGCCCGCCAGAACCTTCCACTCTGAAGAAGCTTCAGGAGTGCAATCTCGAGCTAAGGCTACTTAATATTGAATACTTCCAGCACCTGGAACGGATGGCAGAACTCATGGAACGCAAGCCACTAGGGCGCCTCGTACATCGGTATACAAAAAGCCTGCGGCACAAACCCAAACAGCTCTGGAATATCGAACGGACCTACTGCCAACTTCGTGGGGGCTGCTGCTCTCGTGAGTGTGGTTGCTGCGAACGACCTTGGCAGACCATTCGGCACCCTTCTGGCAAGGTTCGATATATGCACTGCACAGGAAGTTGTGGATGTTGCACCCGCCACCGCGGGTACTATTCCTCAATTTTGGTAGTCAATAAAAAGCCCAACAGATAACCTAAATGGGCGGTTGGTCAACAAGCGTATAAGAGGGCCTTTTTCCCTTGCGGGGTGTGGCTTACAGGGACGGGTAGGGGGGATTCTCTTGCCTGCATAATTTGGGAGTTCTGGTGCTTGGATTCTCGAGGTTTTCTTTTTTTCTTCTTTCTTGTGCACCTATGATAATTGCATTGTTCAAGGTTGAGCTGTGTCAAAAATACAATATACCAAACCTTGGAAGGTGGCATGTGATCCAAATGTCTTCCCGTGGGGTTCCAAGCTTGTTTGAGCTTAGTACAATCCTTTAACCCCACACGCTGGCTATTCATTGGTTGAATCTTAACTATATTTCCTATTCTAGTTTAGTATCAACATCCGAAGGTTTCCCCATCCATTTCTGATACGAGTTCCATTATTCCTCTTTATCTCACTTTATCTACCTAGGTAGTCTCCTTGCCCAGTCTCTCTGCCCAGCGTTTTCTCTTCTCTGTCCTCTGGTTTGGTGCAGATAATGTCTCCCGGACCGGTCACCGGACCGGTGCTGTTGTCGTGTAGTGGCCATCTTTTAGATTCTCTATCAACCTATTTGGGAGGGTATTTTCCCATTCTACTGTGGTACTTGTCATGCACCCAAGTGCCACCTATCATGCAATTTGATGAACAAAATAATCGTAGGTTTGCAAGCTTTGCTTTTATCTGATTCATCTACACTCTGAACTGTCTTCCATGTTGGTTATGTGCTAGGTATGGACTCGAAAAAGTTCGGAATATAAGGCGCCGCGATGATGGATATCACCAGAATCAGCGCCTACATGGTCGCATAATTTTGCAGTCTTATCTTCAGCTGGAAGCCTAGTGGCTTACCCCAGGATTGTACCTTTGTCCGGGTGTAACTATGACTAGGTGGCCACGGACCCCTCTACTGACCAGTCATTGATCAGAGATATAGCGGTTTAATATCGCGTGGCTGAGAGTGTCTGTACGACGGGATGAAATTGCCCTGTGGAAAAACCATTTAAATATAGCACATATTCCTGCCGATCGTTTTCATTTTTATCCAGCATTTTCCCCTTTCGTTGTCGTACAAGATGGCGACAATAGAGAATGAACCCCAAAACTTTGGGAGTGATCAACATCCGATCAGCGAGAAGGGCAAAGCACTTAGAAATTTGGTCGAAGCCGATCTGCTCGACGATCGCTATGCAACCACTACCAAACGTGGTTTGAAGAACCGCCATGTTCAGCTAATGGCCCTGGAAGGTACCATCGGAACTGGTAGGTCTGCAGGTTTACGACCTGAGAAAACCAAGATTACTCACGCAAGCCAGGACTTTTCGTGGGTTCCGGCCAAGCCCTGGCCATTGGAGGCCCCGCATCGCTTCTTTTAGGTTATATCTTCATCTCGGCCATGGTTTACGGCTTGGTCACAGCCATCGCTGAGGTTGGCGCCTACCTTCCAGTACACGGTGGAACGATGAGTTATCATGGATTCCGCTATGTGTCGCGGAGTATGGGTTTTGCCATGGGATATCTATACTGGTACTCTCTCGGAATCTTAGTGCCGTACGAGATCACAGCTGCTGGACTGGTTATTGGATACTGGGACCAGAGTGGATCGATCAACATCGCTGTGTGGATCACAATCATGATGGTCGTCATTATCGCGCTTAACTTTATGCCCGTACGAATATACGGCGAGTCGGAGTTCTGGTTCGCCGGGATAAAGATCGTCACTCTGATCGGCTTGTTGATGGTGTCCTTCATCCTCTTCTGGGGCGGTGGACCTAATCGTCAGCGACTGGGCTTTCATTATTGGAATAACCCGCGCCCATTCAATGCGTATCTCACGGCGGGAGATTCGGGCCGCTTCGTGGCCTTGTTGAAATGCACAGTATCCAGCGCCATTGCGTTCATCTTCGCCCCAGAGCTGATTGTGATCAGTGGTGGTGAAATGGAGTCCCCTCGGCGCAATGTACCCCGGGCAGCCCGGAGATACATTTACCGGTTGGTCTTCTTTTACATCTTTGGTGTGCTAGCCATTGGTGTTATTTGCCCATCCGATGCTAGTCGTCTGACCAAGGGCGATGGCACGGTAAGCTCATCTCCATTCGTGATCGGCATCCAGAACGCCGGCATTCCCGTTTTGGACCACATCGTGAATGCTGCCGTCTTGACGTCCGCCTGGTCCGCAGGAAATTCCTTCCTGTACATGTCTTCTCGGTCGCTCTATTCTTTGGCTATGTCAGGCAACGCGCCGCATGTGTTCAAGACATGTAATCGATGGGGTGTCCCATACTGGGCTGTGTCGGCTTCAGCATGCTTCTCGGCATTGGCTTATCTTGCTGTTGGCAACTCCAGTTCGATTGTGTTCAACTGGTTCATCAACTTCACAAACACTTCTGGCTTCATTTCATGGATCTGCTGTTCTGTGGTGTTCTTCCGTTTCCGCAAAGCCGTCAAAGCACAGGGTATTGAGCAACCGTACAAATCAAAGCTGCAGCCGTATGGGGTTTATTTTGGCCTCGCAGGTGCTACACTCATGGTACTCATAAATGGGTTCACAGTCTTCTTCCCGTCGGAATGGTCTGTGAGTAACTTTTTCACCGCATATATCGGCATTCCCGCTTTCTTGATTTTGTACTTTGGACACCGGGCACTGTATTGGAGTGATCCATGGGCGTGGCGCCCGGAGGAAGTTGATATGCACACTGGTTTGGATGAGATTATTGCTGCTGAGCAACCGCCAAAACCGCGGGGCCCTTGGTGGAAGTTTTGGTGATATACATAGTAACGTGAGGAGGCCTCGTGAGTAGCGGACTCTTGATTTCCCGAGGTCCTTCCCACTCGTCGCACTGGAGAACTTTTTGTTTGTCATGTTTGTCATGTTTGTTGGCCTATAAATGTTTGTAATTTGATCTGTTTGCGCTGCTTGGCAATTTTATGACATCAAATATCCGAGCGGGTGTGTTGCCACCACTCACCCACCTTCCACCTTATCGCCATACTGATATCCTGTAACATCCAGTAACAACTAATAGCTCAATATTGCCCCGTAATTCCGAGTTTAGCTTATCAAAAGACTCCCTTAGTGAAATATCCAGCGCCAACCTCTTTATCAGCCCCATCATCCCTCTCACATTCGGTAGAGATTCGGTATACGCCGTTGACCGTTAACAACCTGGTCTTGAGAACTGAATCCCTTAGTATAGGCCAAGAACTATAAAGAATGCCGTGTTAAAACACCATATGAACATCATATTTCGATCTGTGAACTTGGAGATTTGAAGAAAGCGAAACTATGGCCGTGCTGCCACTTACCGTCCGTCCCCTCCAACCTCCTCCGGGCTCAAGCATTGACTTTGGTGCTGAGATTCAAGGTGTTGACTTGGAAAACTTAACTGGTTCGTGGATTCCTATCAACTGCAAGAGCACAAACTAATGGTCATACAGAGGAGCAGTTTGGGACGATTCGGAAGGCCCTCTACGAGCACCACGTCGTGGTGTTCAAACACCAGAAAGGGCTATCACCTAAAGCCCAGTATGAGCTGACCAAGCGCTTCGACCCAGTATCCGACAACTATGGACATGGCAAGACCATTGATGCAAAGCGAAGCATCCTCCACCCTGATCTGAAGACTGTGCCTCACCAGCCACAAGTGCAGGTGATTGGAAACGGGCACATTGATTCATACGAGGGTCTTAAAGATATCACCCTACGCCACCCTCACCACCGGACATTCCATCAAGATCACCTCCCAGAGGAGAAGGATTATGAGTTCACTAGGTTTTATCGTTGGCATATCGATGCTGCGCTTTATGACCTATACCCGCCCCAGGTGACCACGCTTATGGCTGTGAGTGTGCCTAAAGGCCGTCGACAGACATTATTATATGATGATGGAACCGGAGAAACAATGGATGTACCGCTTGGAACAACGGCTTTTGTCAGTGGCGAGCGGATGTTTGAGCTTCTTTCGTCCGAGGATAAAGAATTTGTGAAGACGAGCAAAATCGAATATGCCCCCCCATCCGTAAGACCTCCTATGATATGCTCATACGTATGACCAACCCAACTAACCGCCACGACAGGTACATTTGGATGAGCCAAGCACATTCCCGATCCACGGGACTTGGTATGCATTCAGAAGGCCTTGAGTTGCCCGACTCAGAACTGCCACCTATCGATCCTGGTAAGATCATGGTCTTCCCGATGACCTGGAAAAACCCAGTGACGGGCAAATTGGCTCTGCAGATCCATCCCTCAGCCGTGCGCCGTATCCACTGTGCCGATAGAACCACGATCGACGACTTGGCCCGTGTGCGGGATATTGTCTATAAGTTGCAGCGGCCGGCCATCAGCCCTCAGTATGTGTATCCGCATGACTGGGAGGATAACGACTTGGTGTTATTCAACAACCGCGGTGTGCTGCATTCTGTGGTTGGTGCTTTCAAACCCGACGAGGTGCGATTGTTCCGTCAATGTAACTTGGCGGCTTCGGAGCCCCCGGTTGGAGCGTGAGTGCTTTTGATTTTGCTTCGAAGATTATGTTTCGACAGGCCGCAAGTATAGAAATAGACTCAATTTAAAGGGGCCACCGACTATGTATATTTAAGCTTTTCTAGACTTCAAAGTCCTTCCCTAACGCCTAAGTCATATGTATACCTAGTTATAGTTACCTCCCAAGGCTCCTTTTTCATTGTTTTCATTGTTCATCGCATTCACCAACCTTCAACATCCGCCAATCAGCTGCTCTAGAACTGTTAGACTGTGAGCCAAGGATGCCCAGGTGTTAACTAGCCCTGGAGGTATCCATGGATTACCTGATTCATCGTATTACCTGCCTACTAGTAGGTGCCTAGGTGGGTAGGTAGTTCCAGGATGTCCTTCCTTGAGCCGGCTTGTTTACATACCTTCTTCTTGCATTTCTTCCTACATAGTTAATAAATCTAAGGAAGGTATGTCGAAACAGCTTAGATTACTGCGTATTCTCCATATTCTTGAGAACTACGGAGTACTCAGGTGGTTGATGTACGCAGTCTCAGGCATCCATTTTCTGCCTCAGGCTACAACCAAGCTTGGACCAATCAACATTCTTGGCTGTGCCCCTGAAAACAAAACAGTTGAGTTGGGTGCTTCTCGAGGATCATGTAGAAAATGTCATCTGGATATTTAAACCCAGGTCATCCACCAGGTTCATTTCATATCAGGCGGAAGCCCGTGTCGAACCCGAACTTACGAGCTACGGCGCATGCCGATCAACGGGAAGCAACAGCTTATGCTGCCAGTACCCCGTCTCTTGTGGCCCCATCACAGCCCCCATCATATACAGACCTTTATGGACCGCCACCTCCTAGGCCTGTAAGTCCAGGCTCATTGCCGCGACCAAGGACAGCAGGACCAACTTCATCTCCGGCTCCGCCGCCGACGCCTGTTCAAAAGGCATACAGTGAAGCTCGGCATTTCCTCACTGGTCTAATCAGTCGGCCAACGGAATCAAACAAGCATGTCACCATTTTGCGACATTCCCATGGATTGGTCTTTTACCGTGGACCCACTACATCGGTCGCTATATCAATCTTCGCTGATTCCCCCTTACCACCTGAACACACCTTGTGGCTGCAGAGCAAAGGTTGGAGCGGGAAGACCGGGATGCAATTCAAGTCGTTCCTCCGTCTCCGAGATAGCTGGCTGGATGTGACCCCGGGTATGCCGTTGAGGGCCGACCAGGTGACTCCGGATGATGAACGAGCTTGGCAACGCGACATCAAGAAATTTCGAAAGAAGGCTCCAGCCCGTCCGCGCGACACACATCAGCTACGTGAAACTGCCGTTGTGCGGATTCCAGCCGAAGCAGGCGATGGCTACTTCCAGCTAGTCCTTTGCCAAGGTGTCAAGAAGAAGGTGCTTGGCAATAGTCCCGTGTTCCGGGTGCTCTCTACGTCCACCGCCCCTAGCTCTATCCGCGGCGCGAGCTTGAGCACGCTGCCTTTGGAGGTTGGGGCTATGGTTGTGAGCCTTTATGCGCAAACTGCAGCGCGAACCGCAGCAGGTCCGGCTGCCATAGCTATTCAAGCCAAAGCTGCTCCGTTTCAGGCTAAAGCGGCTCCGTTTCGTCCATCATGGGTGACAAAGTCTGCCGTCCAAAAGGCTTACACGACTAGTGGTATCGAGAACCGCGTGGGCGGTATTATTAATGGCCCTAAAGGCCCTATTGGGCGGCCTCAGATAAATCGAGCAGCGCCAGAAATAGCTGGGAGCGATCCTGTTCCTATCGATGTCGGCCCTCAGCCACCGTTTCCTATGACATTCAAAGCTCGCTGCCAGACTGATCAAATCCCGTACTCCGACAACCCTGAAGATATACCGAAGTTAAGCTTAATTAGAATGCCCGACTGGGTGACGGAGCAGTTAAGGGGTTACTTCTTCGGCTGGGCTCGATTCGAAACCGGGTCGAGCAAAGGTCCCTCGACTAATGAATGGTGTCCAGCTATCTTGTCTGTGCGGGCATTGGATCCTCTCCAAGCAACCAGAGTTAATCTGGCTCAAATATCGAAACGCGTGGTCGCAATTCGACTCCTCGAGGATGTTCCTCTCCGAACAAGCAAAATCGAGATTCGTGTTTTGGGATACCTACGCGCTGATATCCCACCACCCACCGGCACCACGGACAAAGAACTCGCTGAGGCGCAAGTGGCAGCTGCAGAAGCAGCTCTGCTTGCTGATGTATACGACGCATCTGTTGTACAGGATACTCTGACTCACCCCGCGTGGGCCGCAGAACACCCGGCTATGTCAGACCTTCAGCAAAGCTCGAATTGGATTGACCGCACGGTTGAGGGGTATACCAATATCATCAGCCGTGGGCAGAAGTTGGTAGAGCAAGTTCCATTACACCTGGTTGGAGTTCGCTCGGTCACCGATGAGCTCAGAGAGAGCCAAGTTGCCGTAAATGGGTTTTACATTGTCCGCTAAGCCTTGTCAATAAGCTCGTATGTCTTTTGCAGATGCATAACGGACTCTAATATGTAAAACATCCTATGTATAATATTTATTGCAACCCTTCAGGGTTTTTTATATATACCCTCATAATGACAGATTTCAATGGGCAATTAAAATCCCCCATTTGACCGTTTCAATGTCAACACTGCCCTATCTTTGACTATCTCCCGATTGTCCACAGTTTACTCGCAATTGCCTCCATTATTGATTTGCTGATGTACCGTGCAGCAAGTTTTTAGAGTGCTCGATCTCATTGTGCTCGAAACAAATATTCATGATTTTCGCCATTTCCGCACCTACCACTGTCAGCCCGAGTATATTCCAAGGCTGTGGAAACAAACCTACCTGATATTCTATCGCCGGCTGCATCATTTTCATCCCGTCCATTCATTCGAGTGTAATGGAGGACAAGGTCGACCCGTGGCCGACGACCTGTTTGATACAGTTCAAGTCGCATGGGGATGTCGTGCGGTGTGCTACCACAAGGAAGCAAGGTGGCAATGCTGACGGCATCTTCAATTGCCATAGCTGCTCCCTGTCCCATGTCTAACGAGTTATCAGTGTATGTCACTCATTCAGTCTGTCGGGTTGAAGCTGTTCAGTTCCTTACATGGCTGGAACGGATGTGCTGCGTCTCCCAGAAGAGCAGCGCGGCCTCGAGTCCAGGTAGGCAGTGACTCCATATCGTACAAGTCCCATACTTTGGGGTTCTTGTCCGCGCTTGCGATGATTTGCTGAACACCGGGTGAAAACTCAGAAAAGGCCTTGACCATTGTGGTCTTGTCTCCAGCTGCCTGCCAGCCTATTAATGCCAAGTTGTCAGTGCCTTCCTATATCAAACAAGGAAAGCTCTTACAGTCACTTTGGTTATCTGCCTGAATTTCACTCGAAGGGACAAAAGCACAAAGGTTGAGGATTTTGCCATCAGAGCAAGGGTAAGCCACGAGACGCCGGTCATCAGATGCCCACTCAATAAACACGCCCGTGTCTCGCACGAAACCCACCGTGCTTGTATGTTGTCTTAATTGATCTGTGGGGAGAAGCCAACGAAAGCATGACTTGCCGACGGGGTATGGAGAGGGAGATCCCGGGGCGATACTCTGGCGGATCTGGGACTATAAAAAAGTCAGAACGGGGCTACGCCGTATCATCTGATATTCGTACATGCAGTCCATCTGCACCAAGGAGCAAATCCGCTCTGAAAGTGCGACCATCATCGAGAGTGACGGATGGGCAAGTCCCTTCCAGATTGACCTGGGTGATTCTACACCGTGTGTGCAGCGTTGCGGTTTCAAGGGCACGTTCCTTGAGGTGATTGTGCAGTTCAACTCGATGCACGAGGTACCACTCCTGTGCTAAAATTAGAACATCGTCCTGGCTGGGTCCTCTTTCATTCACCTACTGCTTGCCAATGATGACGAGTGTCGGCGAACTCTCTCTTGTACGTCAACTCCCCGTCGAATCCATATCGGTGCATCTGGAGAAAGCAAAACATCAATTTAAGCCACTCTCGCCAAGAGGCAAATCAGAAATCTGACCTCATGAAGCAATGTACCCCCGAAATCAACCGGATTAATGCCCATCCAGCGTAGCAAGGCAGTGCAATTCGGCGGCAGATGAATTGCGGCACCTGTCTCCCTTAAAAAAGCCGACTTTTCCAGAATCTAAGCTGGGTGAGAGACTGGCTTTATAACAACCTTGGTGGTTCCTTCTAGGGGCATACCACAACGCGATGCCCTTGTTTCCCGAGGGCAATGGCTGCCGAGAGACCAGCAATCCCGGCGCCGATGACGAGAACGTCAAGCTGATCTGAGGCTGTCATGGTAAAGAGCCTCGTGCGGTTTTAGATATATTGGCTTCCTGTCACGAATCTCCGACGCAGTATTTATAGCGGTATGCTCTCTCATCCGGGTTCCTAATTTGGAAATCCCCGACACCTATCTCCGAGTCGCCAAGGGGAAGTGGATGCTTAAATGCTGCTAGATCGTCTCTGCAAGTCTTGAATTGCGGTACTTTTGGGCTGAAACGGAAGCCACCGGATGCACAAAAGTGTTGAATATTGTTGGGTTGAAGTGATCGACACTGCACTGATGGCATAATTTCCGTGTTCCTTTCGAATATATCCTGGCCAGGTCGAAAACTATAGACCAAGGTACCATGATCACAAAAGTTCACAACCCATGAAAACAGTCCTTTGTATCGGAGTATCATAATACGGTGCAATATCCACAAATCCATATTTCCGATATAATCGTTGTGCCGCTGTCATTTCAGGTAGAGTGTCCAGGCGCATTCCGCGGTATCCCAGAGCTCTGGCTTGGGCGAGGATCGCCTGGACGAGTTTTTCACCCAGACGTTCTCCGCGAGCTTCCTCGAGAACATATAGACGCTTCATTTCGCACCAGCCATCTGAGCTGCGCCGGAGTGCCACACATCCGAGAGCAGAAGGGAACTGCGGGGGTATGATTGGGTCGACTAGTCCATCTGTATTATGTTCTTGAACACCCGTGTCTACCCGTGCGATCAAAAGAGCTCCCCCTTGAGATGGAGCATATTTCCCAGGGAGAGAATCAAGTTCCTCTTGAAACGATTGAAAGGTGAGGTCGATGCCGAGGGATGTGGCGTAACCAGAAAACAGCGAGAGGATAGAATCAGCGTCTTCGGGGAATTGCGCTGGTTCTATTTGAATTTTCATGGCGGAGGAAGATGAAGTTGAGACGTTCAAAAGTCAAAAGCCAAAGATGTTGATCTTTCCAAGGTTGACAGTAAACTGCGATGACTCATACTTTGAGAAGAAGTGCGTCTCTCGTGTTCGCTTCAACATTCAACTACCCATAAAGCGAGACACTACACCTCAGAGTTATACACTGTATTCAACCATTGCTTTCTTTTGATAGATTTCACGAAATTGAACGAAATATATGAATATCACCCATTGTACAAAACGCCAAACTCATCAACTCCTAACACCAAACAGCCTCCCATGGATATGCATATCAAGTTACTGGTAGGTAACAAAGAACTCGGTGTCACTCTGGATTTCCACATGAGCCTTCACATCACCATTCTGCTGGATATCCAGAACGGCAGCATTGTTGACACCATGTTTCGCACCACCGGCCTCGGCCTGCGCACCGGTAAAGTCTACTCTGTTGAAGTTGACCAAGGGAACCATGCTGTTACCGGTGTTGAAGTCCTCAACTATCCATTCGGCGTTTTGGCCAGCAAGGGTGGCGTCGGCCGAGGGTGCAGACAGAGTCTTGGTAACAGTCTGGCCGCTGGACTTATTCTCGATGATGGCAGCACCCTTGCTGGGCGAATATGTCTCGACCTTCGCGACGATAACGTCGCCCGCCGACAATGCAAGGTCAAAGTTCTCCGCACTCAATGGATACCACTCGTACCAGGCATCAAATGTCTTCTTGCCATCCTGGATATAGGTATCGATGCCAGTTTGCAGAATGGCCTTGGTGTAAGTGTCACCATCAATACCGACCCAGGCGGACACGGCCTGCATCTCCCCGGAGTCGTTGGTGGCCGTTGGCTCGGGGACAGTGAACGTTGCAGACACAGCGCTGTAGGTACCGCTGGCGGGTGGCTGCTCGCGTACCACCCCAGCCCAGTTTTTGCTGTATTGAACATTGGCTCCCGCGGCTGCTTCTTTGAGCAGAACGCCCTTCTTCTCGGCGGGTAGTGACTGACGTGACAGAGTGCCACGGGACTGCAGTCGGTCAATCAGGCCGCTGCGAGGGGCAGCGAAAGATGTGCCTGCTAGTATAGCGGTGGCTAGGATCGTGGTGGATGTGAACTTCATATTGGCAGCGACGGGAGTTTGAGCACTGGGATGTGTACATGTATAGATAGCAAGGACATGAAGCTATGATTTGACTAGCCTAATACCTCTTAGGTTTAGTCTCATGGTACTTATATCCTGCAACTCATGGAAGTTGCATGCGGCACCACATCGTGCCCAATCCGCATGGGGAAACGGAGCTCGTGGCGTGGTACTGATGACCCCGGGCACAAGATGAGAGACATTGATGGACCCGCTAGAGTGGAGATTTGGAAAGAGGAGAAAAGAAATGCACGATCTTCCCGGACATCTGAGTAGCATCGATTAACAGGTTCATGACCTGCAATTGCTGCAGTTGTGCTGATCTTCTCTCTTTCCTGCTGATTGCCCATGGTGAAGGCCAAGGCTGCCTTTCCGTTATCGTCACGATGTGAGACCTAGAGCATATGAGCAGCTCAGCCGAGCTTGCGCGTCTCTGTAATAGGCACATTCCTGGAGACAGAAACATCTGACAGCGGAGCCCCGACGGATCAGACGAAGATCGGCGATCCCGCGATCTGCCATGAGATTCACACAACTTGAAGTGACACGCATTTCAATGAAGATTAACAATGCATATTATGCATATTGTATGCAGTATCGATATTCCCGGGCTTGCGGCTGTTCCACACTTTTCATTTTTATGTGACTGCTTCGTACCGTTGACCCTGCATTCTTACTACATCGACTGATACATCGGCGAAACTGAGAGTGGTTGCTTGGGGAGACACCACCAATAGAACGAGAAATCACCAAAACTAGGCCGAGTGATAGAAAGGTCTTCGAAACAGAAAAGCTCGTGCGAGCGTGCTTGCAATGTCACCTGGGTGCGGTGAGTGCACATACCAAGCAAGGGATGACAACGTGTTCACATTCCTGAGTCCGCCATGGTCGAGCCTCCGGGAACAGTACCGTTAGCACTGGTCGCTTGACTTGAAGCAACTATCTTCGTGCAGTGCCTCGCGTGGGATGGATATTGATGAGGCAGAATCAGATCCCTCGAAATGGCAAACGCGATTGTCTCCTCAGGAGCAAAGAAGAAATAAGAAATAAGAAGGTTCGAATTAAGACAAACATATATTTATAGTGTTCAGGGAAAAGGGATGATATGTTTCTGAAGTAAAATCGTCAAAACTTGCCTTCACTCCATACTTTAATATCACATAGGGAGCTGACGCATCTCGGCAAGAGACCAGAACTTGCGCATATTGGCAGCTCCAAGAGTTTGAACCTCTTGGTCCAAGTGTGTCCACAGAACTTCGCCAAACCCTTCCATCAACCGTTTCACCTCTTCGCGGCGCATATCTTCCTCGCCGGACCGACACTGCTCAAAATACTTCTCAAGTTTCTCAAGTCCCGCATGGATTTGTCTGTGCTGACTCAATAACTCGAGCTCCTTTCGAAACTCAGGCATCCTTTTCGCCAATACGGGGAATATGTGTTGCTCCTCGATGGAGTGATGGAAATCCAATTGCGAGCAGAATTGAAGGCCCAGCGTAATCATCTGACGGGCTGAGAGTGCCCGTTTCCCAGAGCTTTCACATGCCTCCCAAAGCTGGTTCCATATTAAACGGAAATGGCCATGCTGAATGAGAGTTAGTGGATTGTAAAATGAAAATACTCAAGTCGTGAAAAATGTGCCACCTGGGCAAGGTGATAAGCTTACAAATCCTTCCATTCGCTCTGCCATGCGATTATACGCCCGGAAATCACTCGCGGACAATGGAGAGTCGCTTGAGTCACCAGAAGAGGTCATCTTTTTGGAACCCATTGGATTGAGGCTTCGATGAAAACCTTGCCGAGGGATAGAAGACAAGAGAAATGGAAAGCGAAAATGCATAAGTGGACGGGAAGTAATTTGTTGAGAGATATAGAACGATAAACAATCTGGGGTTGATTTGAAAGCCGAGGCTTTTGATTAGGAATTCCCCAGATCTATTTTTTAGTTATAGAAGAGTTCAACTTCCAAAAGATTGATTCCATTTCCAATAGACATATACAAATTTACATATACGGGATATTCCAGATCTTCAATGGATGTTTGCCAACCGTAGGACAAAAATCTAGTACTCACTGGCGAGATAAATCTCCATTTCGATATAAGCACTTCTTCGGCACAATCTCGGCTATAAAAGGGCCGGATCGCAATTTGACATCCGTGCTAGGAATTTGGGTTGGAAATGGGAAGGTTAGTATGCGTGGGTGCACGAAAGAAAAGAAAAGGTTATGATATTATCAATACACGTTGGGGCCACCGGGGACGAGAAAATAGTAACACAATATGCCGCCAGGAGGGGGAATCGAAAATATTAGACAGTAAAAGGTCGTAACGCCGTGTGAGAATAATTTCTTAGGGGTTTCAAAGCTCGGGGTGTTCAAGCTGGTTCTTCACCGGAGGCCGGAAGTGGCCGGACGTGATTTCCTTGAAGGCAAGGTCGAACCGGGCGCCCATCATCCAGGCAGCGAAGATCATGATACTAGCGATAACGACAACGATAACTCCCATGAGAGCCATCATGAAGTACACATCTTTCTTGTTCTCGTCCTCTTCTTGCTTCCTCTTCAGCTCAGCCGCAGTGGCTTCACCAGTGACCTTGCGGTTGGCGGTCTCGGCGGATTGCGTTGGGAAGATGGTCTCGATAAACTTCTCAATCTGTCCGCAGACAATGCTGATCTTCAGGAAGTTGGGGTCCTTGGGGGTATTCTTCTTGTGGATCTTGCGCGTGTACTGGCGGAAGGTGTCGCATAGAACCGACAAGTTCTGCGTGGACTTGTGCATGAGGTCACATGCATCTCCCTTGGTGATCTTGATGTTGCGCTTGAAAATATCGGGATTGCGGAAACACAACTCCATGGTGGCGATGGCCATGGACTGCGGGATCGCACAGAAGTTGAAAACACTCTGCTCTCGCATACCGGCCAGGTAGAACAGACACTCCTCGGCATGCTCCAGCGCGTTCAGAACCATCTCCGAACTGCAGTTAAGGGCTGCGTCGAGGTGCTCGGGCTTGAAGAGATCCTCAAAGTTGTCGACATGCTTGGACCAAATTTCCTGAGGCCAGAATCGTCGGTTATCGTCGAAATCCTCCCGGACGTCACGGATGATATTGGTCTTCTGGAGGAAAAGACCCATTGACTTATGCAAGTTGGGGCGTTTCAACAAAGCTGGGTTACCAAACCCGGCCTCGACAAAGAGGCGAGTAAGGCCCTCGCCAACCAGTCCAGCGACATAGAAACAGTACAGATCGTACTCCTCCTTGGTCTTGACACTGGCATCGTCATTCTCTGCCTTGATGGCATAGTCAGCCATGCCATTGCCCATCTTTTCGGTGATGTCCTTGATGATAGCCTGATACTCGGGCTTCATGTTCATGAACTCGGTGATGACGTGGTTGAACTGAACCAGCAGCTCACGGTCCTTCTCCTCCGGCCTATTCCCAGTGAAAGTCCAGCCATCCTGTGTCAGGATATCCTTAAAGTCTCGGAGGAGAGGTTCCTTCGTGGCCAAGGGAATGGAAGTGTCATCCTCGATGGTATCCAGCCCACGGAGGACCAAGTAGAAAATGCAGATAGGAATCAACAGTTCGGGGTGTAACTCCTTGATAACAGCGCTGAAGCTGCGGCTGGTTTTGTCCAAAAACTTGAAACAGATCTTCTGATTCTCGGTCTCGTTCTGCTCGTTACGCTCATGGGGCGGGTTGTGCCAGACTTTCCTATGCGGCGGGGATGATTAGCTTGGCACGTCATCTCCAACGAATTTCCAGAACATACCACTGGATAATTGACCTCAGCTCCATGGGGTGAAAGGAGTAGTAGAGAGCATTGCCGATGAGACCCATGATGGGCGGGGGAGAGGCGCGTAAGCTGGAAGTTCAAGGAATTGTTAGAAGGCGAAGTAGCCTAATAGTGTAAACCGGATCCAGGAAAAAGAAGGGAATTGAAGCCGAGAATTAATCAAAAACACAAACAAACAACAGAACCTGGGGGAACGGCGGATGGGGAGGGAAAAGGGGAAAAGGCCAGACAGATTAAAAGCAGAGTTAGCTTACACGTGACTGGAGCAAACCATGCATACAACCCCACATGATATCAGCGCCAACTCCCGAAAAATATCTTGAGGTTCTGCCTAAACAACAACAGGTCTACTGATTTTCCTTTCTTCAGACCTTTGAATTTTATTTTTCCCCAACCTGCCTGTTCTCAAATTAGGCTCGGTCGCTGCGATGGTTGCCGATACTGCCTACTATGATGCCCTAGGTGTGCCACCTACGGCCACCGAGCTGGAAATTAAGAAGGCCTACCGGAAACTTGCTATTGTCACTCACCCAGGTATGCCTGTCTTTGAATTACCTTGCCAATTTTTCTAATCCATTGTTGCAGATAAGAACCCGGGAGATGAAACCGCACACGAACGCTTCCAGGCGGTATGATTGCGCAACAACAATGATGCATTTACACGAGGCTGATATCCTGCTACTATAGATCGGTGAGGCGTACCAAGTCCTGAGCAATGAAGATCTCCGAAAGCGATATGATAAATTTGGCAAGGAGGAGTCGGTGCCTGGTGGTGGCTTCGGTATGTCCATTACATGCGTACTAATGACCAGGGCAACGTTTCTGATTTGTCGTGTACAGAGGACCCGTCCGAATTTTTCAGCATGATCTTCGGTGGTGAGGCATTTGTTGATCTTATCGGCGAGATTTCCCTCATGAAGGACCTCACCGCAACTATGGACATCACGATGCAGGAAATGGAGGAGGAAGAGCTGGCCCAGTCCGCGGAAGAGAAGCTGAACATCCACGACGAGGAGGTGAAGGCTGCAGCTGGAGCCCCGACCCCTGCTTACGAAACCCACGATACGGCGGCAGGGGCCGCACCTGCAGCTGCAGCTGCAGCTGCCGGCCCATCCGAGAAGCCAACCACCGACCAGAGCTCTGGCACCAGCACCCCCCCGGCGCAACTTCGGCCAACAGGCCCTCATGGACAAATCCGAAGAAGAAGCTCGCATGGAGGCAGCCGGTCTGTCCCAGGAGGAGAAGGAGCTGCGCAAAAAGGAGAAGAAGAAGGGTCTGTCCAAGGAGCAGCAAGAACGCCTTACTGCCTTTGAGGATGAGCGCAGAAAGGCTCGAGAGGATCGTGTCAACACACTAGCGAATAAGCTGATTGATCGTTTGAGCGTTTGGACTGAGACGGACAAGGGCAAGGATGTGTCCCATGCTTTCGAGGAGAAGATCCGACTCGAGGTCGAGAACTTGAAGATGGAATCTTTCGGCCTGGAAATTCTCCACGCTGTCGGCCAAACCTATGTTCAGAAGGGTACTTCCTTCCTCAAGTCACAGAAGTTCCTGGGTATCTCTGGCTTCTTCTCCCGGTTGAAGGACAAGGGCACCCTCGCGAAGGAGACCTGGACCACCATCTCCACAGCCATCGATGCACAGATGACTATGGAGGAGATGGCCAAGATGGAGGAACGCGGCGGTGAAGATTGGACTGACGAGAAGAAGGCCGAATACGAGAAGAAAGTTACTGGCAAGATCCTCGCTGCGGCGTGGCGTGGCAGCAAGTTCGAAATCCAGAGTGTCCTGCGTGATGTCTGTGACCAGATTCTGAGCGACAAGCGGACCCGGCTTGAGAAACGTGTTGAGCGTGCGCATGCGCTGGTGATTGCCGGCAATATCTACGCGAAGGTATATTGACGTCCGTTCTCTGCAGGAGTACCACGCTAATCACTTTTAGGCCGCACGCGACCCCGAGGAAGAAGGCGATTACATGGCCTTCGAGCAGCTTATGGCCGAGGCCATGAGCAAAAAGGGCAAGGATGAGAAGGAGAAGGACAAAAAGAAGAAGAAGTCCAAGCACGACCATGAGGAGACCCACGGGAAAGAGCCTGTGGAAGAGACCACTGTCTGATTGCTTCATTATCCATCTCATTTTTTTGTTTCTGGTTGAGTTTCATCTCGTACCTGTTCTTTCTTGATAGCCGGTTCATTATATCCTGGACATACATGTTGGGTTTGCTTTTTACCTTCTCGCCTGTTTCCCAGGACGATTCTGCTTTTTACAGCGACTGGACGCTTACCGGTTGCGACGGCCAGTTTGTTCAAGCGATAGATTGGACTATATACCTCCCTTTCTCTAACTAGTCGCAACAGCACGGCAACGGTTTGATGATTGTATGGACATAGATGCTCTTAATAATAACATTGGAAAACCATTGGCATGACATTAGTTATTATTGGTACTGTAGGTGGTATACGAATGTTGAAAATACGCAGAACATGTAACCAGTCCCCATGAAACCAATTACTATTCCTTGCAGCGGCCACGACACCATGGTGAGGCGATCATTCTGGATTATGTGGTGCTCGGCGGGCGAGTAATGGCTAAACCGTCGACTGCTCCGCTGTTCATGAAGAAGACCATTAGCATCGCAATATCACAGCTTCAGTGGGACTATAGGATTCGCACTCATCGGCACTGGGTGGGCAGGGTCAGCGCTAGTCTGGGACACACCACCCCCGTTCTCCTTCTTGACAGACTGGTATCCAGCCCAGTCAGACACCAAAACGCCACACATGGCAAGAATGGTGAATACGACAAGGGCAAGAAAAATCAGCCTAGATATGAGTTGAGCGTCAGGTCAGTTCCTTGTGCTGCATGTGTATTGACTAGAAACTGTCTAGGGAACCTACCAAAGGAGCACGCCAAAAGCAAGCACGGCATTGTAGTAGGGGTTTACACTAGTAGCACCACCAAGCAGACTGGCGAGGTCAGCGAAGCATGCCAACCAAAATACCATAGTGACGAAATAAGTGGCCACGAAGATAGCGGCGAGGACAGTGTTGAGTTTTGCGCTCACGAAACCCTTGCGATTATAGTACCAGGGCAGTACTAGGGCGGCGACTGTCACAAGGATAGTCCAAACTGAAGAGAAAACAAGGAAGACCAGGATAGCCGGAGGATCCACGTCGACTTGACGATAGGAATAGCCCGAATATGCGCTCCAGGTGGTGACTCTTTGTGTGCCAGAATATGCGGCGGCAACGAAAGCTGAGAGGCCCAGCTCGACTATGGCAAAGGCCAAGGACGTGCCCAATAGGACACACAAGATAATACTGAGAGCCAGCATAGTGAAGTCAATGTATAGCTAGGGTATAGCTACTTTGGAGGGCGCTGCAAGCGCAAGAGTATCAAAGAAACAGGACTGCTCGAAAAGGCACCAAAGGGCAGGATCCTTTGGGCTTTATGGTTTCTCCCACGGGCACGCAATGGAGCTCGTAATCGGAAACAGCTCAGGATGAGCCTTATTTTAGGAGCTTAACGCCACCAAGCAGTGTTGACTCCAGTGACTCGTGTCCGATACGAGCAGCCGCATAGAGATGGCGTCCATGCTGATCCTAATTGGTATAAGGTAAGCGAATGGGTGCTTCAGGGGTATCATGTGGAGTTGAAGTTCCGTGATCTCAAAACGGGGGTGTTGGCAGAGGGCTGAGAGATGTCATGTGCCGAGATGTGATGTGTCCCTCCAAGCCTTCTTTCGCTTTTCCTTTGATGCATCACCAGGTTTATACGAATGCAGAGAAAGCCTATTTGATACTCACAGCCTGCTGGATTTGTCCCTCCCAGTTGACTTTGGACATCTCGTATTTCTTCGACTTTCGTGTTGTGCCCGTGCACTGACCTGGCTTACAGGGCTGTTGATGAACTTGACCAGGCCAAGCATTTCCCCACACGGCCTTGGCTATTGACATTTTGGGGGTCATTAATCTTGTCCAGGGGCAAAGAAAGCTCTAAACGAGGCTCTTTTTCCCAACTTGGGGCTTTCCTATGTGTTGATTTACATATCAGAGTGATTCTGACTGGACGGAATTCTTGCGTCGCTACCGATGGCATATCGCTGACTTGCTGCAGTACAGCATCCTTGGAACGGTCTATGTTGTAGATATCCTTGACAGTTTTAAGGCCACTGTCATTGGGAAGCAAGCACTATTCGAAGGTTCGAGCACAACTACAATCCGGGAACATTTCCAGCAATGGGCAACGACTGCCATTCAGGCTAAGACGTTTCGCCTCATGTGCTCAGGTTCTCCAACGTTGAAGCGGCGTGTTACCGACTCTGTCCTTTTGTTAATAATAGTCGGTGCAAGCGTTATTCGAGCTCTCGTTGACGAATACAATAACAAAAATGTGTTTCAATATGCTAAACGGGTGGTAGAGACCAGGGTCACTTGGAATACTACGACCCAGAAGTATTAGAGGAGTGTGAGCCGGAGGACCTCATTGATAACGGTTACGATCTCATCGAAGGATGTACTGTGGACGCCGCGCTCCCCGGTTTCTCTAGGATGGGCGAGGATGGTGAGTGGGATTCGGTAGAGGGGAGGATGGTGAGTGGGATTCGGTAGAGGGGAGGCAGCAAGGAATTGTATATATCGTACGATGTCGGTTCTAATCCCTCCGACCGAGATACCGAGTACTTTGTCGATCAGGCTGATTCATGAAGATCTAATTGGATAAATTTCATTGAAAGTTGGCACAGGGCTTGGTCGAATGATTCGGAGTTGATTGCAAACCTCGGTAGACTGGGCCACACGACTCTCTTGGACGGTTGAAGACATTTCATAAGTGTTTTATTTAGCGTAATATCTCATATGTGTATACACACATATACACAGACTTGTGTTGTGCATTGGCAAGGTGAAGTTTCCCCGCGCGAGGCTATATTCCTCGGTCCGTTCGTTTTAGCATGAGATCTACAATATTGTACTTCACGACTTGACAGACATTCATCGTCATAGGCAATATATTTTGATAGAAGAATGAATGTATATAAAAAGTGCAGTGACTTGGTCTTGGTAGAGAGGATCACATCTCAAGATCCTCCAAATATACATTTAAAGAGTTATTCTAATCCCTTGATTATAGAGATGGCATCATTCTCCATGTCCAGTATTAAGGATGTTCCGCTATTGAACTCCTTGTTACAAGCCTCACCGCATCAGCAGATACTATGTGTGCTGCTAGGGCTAGCAACATATCTAGCGTTGGTATCTTCATTGCGTTTCCAACGACGGCAGATACTTCACAAGAAATATAGCGACTATGGAACGAGGCAATCCATGCGCAGCATGACCGATCAAGATGCCTGGGCAATTCAAAAGACAATCATGCAGACCGAGTTTCCCTTTATTGTGCTCAAGTCACTGCAGTTTGCCCTCTTCCGTGTATGTGAATCCCATCCCAGTACATGACTCGAAGTTAATAGAGGCAGACATATGGCATTCCAACGATATCCACCCTACTTCTGAAGACATCGCAGTTATCAGACTCCACGACATCATTCAAACGATATGCCGACACAGGCACGCTGATCGGCGAATTCATGGCCTTCGAACCACGCTCCGAGCGAGCGCACACAGCAATAGCCCGAACCAAGTTCCTGCACAAGGGCTACCGAGCTACCGGAAAGATCCTCGAAGCTGACATGTTATACACCTTAAGCCTGTTCGCCCTCGAGCCAATCCGGTTTGTGAAAGTATTCGAATGGCGCGAGATGACTGAAATGGAACGTTGCGCTATCGGGACATACTGGAAGAGTCTTGGCGATGCGTTAGGGATCAGCTACGACACTTTGCCCTCTGGAAAGACTGGCTTCCAAGATGGGATTCATTGGTTGGAGGAGATTGGTGCATGGAGCGAGGAGTACGAAGTCCAGCACATGAAGCCACACCCTCGCAATAAAGAGATTGCGGAAAAGACCATTGACGTGCTGCTATATAACGTGCCAACCTTCTTGAAGCCGTTCGGTGGGTACTTCGTGTCATATCTGATGGGCGATAGACTGCGGACCGCAATGATGTATGTATCCTAACTCATCGAGCACCACGCACAAAGTATCTAATGGGGTTTCTAGGATGGAAGAACCACCTGCATTCTTCAGCGGCGTACTCGCCTCGACATTCAAGCTTCGCCAACTATACCTGCGATATCTATCACTCCCACGCCCGAACTTCATGCGTTTGGATGTGTTCACTGAGAAACCGAACGAACACGGCCGCAACTGGGTGTTGATATACGAAGGAGCTCCGTTCTATGTGCAGCCCACGCTCTGGAACCGCTGGGGGCCGATGGCGTGGTTTAAGTGGGCGCTTGGGCAACCTTTGCCTGGTGATGACGGCGACAAATATTACCCACAGGGCTATCACACCCATGATCTCGGACCGAAGTATTTCGAGGGTAAGGGGTATAAGGAATTGGAGGATTTCAAGGAGACTCTTCGTCACCAGCGGATGGGACGGTGTCCATTTCCATGATGTGGGACTGAAGTGAACCCTGTTGATGATGTCGACCATGAATATAATGATATTTGTGTTTTGCAAGTTGCAGAGAGTAACCATAGTGAATTCTGGCCTTTCGTTTCTAGAACAATCAAGACATGAGATAATGACAGAACACAACATTAAAACAACATAATCGACAGTCTAGCATTCTCAAGCGTTCATGTCAATTAGTGTGGAAACAAATAAACACAAGACAATAGTTGCACATCGGGTATCTTTCAAAATAGCCAAGAAAAAGCGTTCGAGATGGATGAAATGATCCGGTATAGAAAGGTCTATCACTGACCATCCTGTCTGATGGAAATTGTGAACGCAATGGAAGAAAGGCATGAAGCTGAGAATCTCATAGTACAAATCGTTAAGCCCCAAAGAGTGAAATAATGGCCTGTATCAATCGAAGAAATGAAGGGATGAATCAGAATGAAAGGCATCGAAAAAGGGTATTGTGCAAATGTATGAGCAAGAAAGAGAGGGGAAAAAAAAAAAAAAAAAAACGAATCGTCCCGCCAGGAGACGAGGGCAAGAAATAGCATCATGTACTCGGATCAGCAGAAATAGATGGCCTAGGAGATAGTGTTCCAATAGATGGCGATTCAGCAAATGACGACTCGGAGGCATCCACAGGAGAAAAGATGGCGTTATATTCAGTTGAAGGGCTCAAAAGACCACGGCCGCTCTCACCGATTTCCCCCAACTCTTCAGGTGCTAGGACTCGGCCACCCAGCTCAACGTCTTGAACGTGGACATTGTACTCAAGGGCCCGCTGTCCTTCTTTGATGAGTTCTTCGGTCCATCCTAGGCAGCGCTTGAGGCTTTGATTCATCCTCTGGCTGTCCACGAGCACCTCCTGATGTCGCGCCAAGTCAAGCATGACGCGTTTCTCATCATTGACACGGTGCTTGGCATCATGCTCAGCCAGCGAGCCCGGACTCAGGACGCTTTCATCAGCGATTGAATCCTCGTCGCTGATGTCGGACATATCATCTTGTGACCGGTTGGAAATCTCACTTTCGCCTTCATCCAGCTCACCAGTTACTGAGAGTGCCGCTCCGGAGAATGAGCGAGTGGACGGTGCCATTGATATCCGCCCCGAGCGGCTCAGTCGCCGGAATCGCCGAAGCTCCGCCTTCTGTTGCCGCATTTCGCGCTCTAGGGTACGGTTGATGGCTAGTAGTGAAGAGTTGCTAATTTCCAGATCCATGATCTTGCGCTCGGTACGCGCATTGAGAGCTGCTTCGCTCGGACCGTCGGATTTCCCGGGGCTGAGCGGTGCAGGAGGGTATGTATCAGTTGAGGCAGTGGATCCATTGCTGAAGATGCGAGGGCGGAGGGTGGGTATCTGTTCCGACATCACGGGCGCTGTCCCTTCACCAAAATAGCTCCCGGATACGATGACTGGGCTTTCGCGCAAGCCATCTTGTGCATGGTTATCATGGCGGCCCGAGTCGACACTTGAGGACTTGGTATGTCGGATCTGTTGCGGTCGTGGTTTCTCGCCGTTTGTACTGGACGACGGCGAGCCAAGACGCGGAATAAGCCCTAGTCCATTCTCAGCGCTGGCGATGTACGGTAGCCTCGCATCTTCCGGGGGGTTTGGAGCCACATCTGGAAGACCGGGAGAACTCAAACGCGAGGAGGCAGGTGTTGGTTTGCTGGCGGGCAGGGGGCGGGGGAGACCACCCGATCGGCGTTTGGCAGAAGTGGACGCAACATTCGGTTGTTCCCCCGGCGATTTGCGCTCTTGGTCTCCGTTCGCATATATGAAACTCGAGGCTGGAGATGTCTTCCCCTGTGGCCTCGGGCGAGGGGCATCTGGCGGCTCAGCAGAATGTGACGATCGTGCATCGGACGCATGAAAGAACAGCGGAGTTCCCGATGTCATATCTGAGAAAGAATTCGGACGTGACGTAGGCTGATTCTCTGCCGTCAAGGTCTTTGCCCTCAAACTTCGTGATTGTTCCGGCTTGACCCCGCGAGCCGGGCTGCGGTCTCGACGGCCATAGCCGATTGTTGACTGGGAGTAAGGTGTATGTGGAGAGGGAGAGGGGGCAGGTGATGTGTTTGTGGGGGAGTAGAGAGCGCCATCTCGCCGGGTGGTTCGAGGACCAGATCGTGGAGTGACGTTGGCGCTTAGAAAGGTCGGGACCGCGGGGGAGTCGTCCTTGGAGGGGGTGGAATAGGGGTGGTCGGGTTGTGCAAGGCGGCGTGGAAATCCTGGACCTGCACCTGGACTTGGGCTTGCAAGTTTTGGTGTCAGGGGAGACTTGTTACTCCTATGAAATGCAGCGCTGAGGGTGGGCGTAAATGGTTTGGCGAGACTGCCATTGTTTTGTTTATCGTAGGTCATAGTTGCGGGGGGTGCAGGTTATGGCATTGCCAGGTGCCACAGGACATGAGCATGATGGCACCGGCCAATACAAAGAATCAGCTGTTTTTTTCCGTCTTAACAGGGAATTTGTGGCCTGACGGAAGGGAGAATCAAGAAAGTCGAAGAGAAAGTCGAGTGACGAAAACAATGCCACCCGATTGGGTTTAGGGCGGCGCTTCACCGCAACGTGGAATTCCTTACTTCGAAGGTCGAACTATTGATATTTGGTGATCTTGGGGGTACTTGTGAGACCTCTATTGTCTGTGGGAATTGGCTCTACTCCGTACAACGCCCTAAATTGGCATGTCATTGCCAATACGACCAGAGAGAAAAAGCCCCCTTTATCCTTCTTGCCCCTAGATATCCCGCTTCTCTCCCGAATCTGGCGGTTGTCAAGTGGGGACTGAAGAACGGTGAGCCTGCAATAAAACGATAATTGCTGCATTCCGCATTAAGCCTGGGGCTGTGGAGAGCAGGAGCTCGGTGCTGTTTCGTCTGGATGACTGGCATTGCATGCCATTCAAGCTTCACGCAGGCCCGACGAAGACGCTTCCACGGGGGAAAAAAAGTCATTGGAAAAAAAGCCGCTTCTGTTTTGGGTCCGTTTCAGGAATATCAGTCTGTGACGGCATCTTCCTTTTCCTAGAATTGTTGGGTATCAAGGTTGTTTCTTCTGATGTGTCCTGCACCACTTCTCGGATCGTCTGTCTAGAGAGACAGAAGTCCACATGCTCGTTAAAAGTGCGATCATCCGCGACCTGTGGTCGTGTACATATCGGGCAATCCCACATCGGGGGTTCTTCAACCACCTCTTGGACTGCAGAGGCCTCTGACCTGCGAGTGACAGAAACATCAGGCGTTTCTTGACTCAGCTGCTCTAGATCATTCATCTCGTCCTGGATTTCCTGCCGAGCCGCCGCCTCGAAAGCCTCCTCGGCACAAATCTCGTGATGTGTATCCACACCAGAGGCCGGCACAGGAGTGGGCTCAGTGGCAGGTTTTGGTTGTGCTGCTACGCCAAAAAAGTTAATCCCAACTTTCTGAGTGCTGACCAGATTCGAGCAGCGAAGACCGAGAAGCCGGAGCTTCATGCCCGGGATATCCTTCTCAAGCTTGGCGAGCATGGGCAGAGCAAAGGAATACAAATCTTTTGCCAGGGAGACGGCACGAGATGGAGCCGTCTGGCGCGTGAGCACTTCGAAGGTATGCAGTTTGACTTTCAGAACAAGCGTGCGGCCTTTGAATTGAGTCCGTGCCAGATCCTTTTCAAGCTCCTGCGCAGCCCACCAGAGCTTCGCTCGCAGTTCCTCCTTGTCTCCAATCTCATGAAACGTAGTCTCTGTACTGACACTTTTACGCTCATGGGTCTCGACAGGCTCAATTTTGGTCCTCCCAAGACCGAGGTAGCACTGGGCCAGGAATTGGAAAGCCTTCTCCCCAAATAGATTGGTCAACAATGCACGATGTGGGAAGATATCACCACACTTCTTGACGCCTATTGATTCCAGCTCTCGCTCGAATACTCGGCCAATTCCATTGACTTTGCGGACCGAGAGGTCGTGCATGAATTCCATGATTGCATCACGGTCATTGGGGACTTGAAATTGCCCATTGGGCTTGTTGATGTTGGAGGCAATCTTTGCGATCTTCGCATTAGCAGCAATTCCGGCTGAAACAGACACCTTGGTCGTTTCCAATATCTCAGCACGCATCCGCCGAACAACTTCGTCAGGCTCCAAGTGGTTTTCGTTGCAATATGCTGTGATATTCAAATAGGCTTCGTCTATACTCGCACTCTCGAAAAGAGGGTCATATTCGGCCATGATAGCGCGGATTTCTTTGGCCTTTGCGGTGTATTTCTCGTAGTTCTGCGGCAAAAGGACCAGCTGCGGGCAAAGCTTTTTCGCGACAAACGAAGCCATACCACTTCTAACGCCAAACTTCCTTGCCAGATAGTTGCAGGTTGTCAAGACTCCTTTACCGACCGCCATAGGCACTTTCTTCAACTCGGGCCGGTCAAGCTCCTCGACAGCGGCAAAGAACGCGTCACAATCCACATGGACGACATGCTGAGAAATATCACGGCTCAATTCTAGTTCAGCGAGGTATTCATCGGCACGTCGTAGCTCACTGTTCAAGTCTAGACGTTCTAGCCGTGCCTTTTCTTTTACGATTCGCTCGATTTTTAACGTGAGGTTTCGATCCCGCTGTTGTTCGTGATTAAAGAACTTAGAGCCCTTGGAGGCATTGTAGATAATCTCGGATACCTGAGAACTCGAGTTCAGCTATAGCTCAATATAGATACAATCATCAAGCGCACCTTTTGCTGATCGACTGAGTCTTGGCCCGCTTTGGTTAAAGAGGGACCGAGTAGCTGATATTTCAGAGTGCCAAATTCTTCACCAGGAGTTGCATCAGGCTGTGGATCACTGGCAGGATTCTCACCTGAGCACTCCATGATTTCCAGCGTCCCATCGATGGCTGATGAGATGATGAAGAGGTGAGAGCGCGGAGCCGATTTGACGCGGAGTCACGTGGACACGCGTTTCAATTTGCGCGAGCCTCAACTACGTAGCCTGACGTTGAGCAAATCCTCGGCGGATTCGTCGTCATGTGGATTCTTGATTCGACCGGTGATTTTCTGGAAGGTGGGACATCTGATTGAAAAGGATCGATCAGTTGCTAAAACCTCATAGGGAAGCGCGTGTGGCTGCGGCCTGGAAAGAAGTATCTATTCGGTCGATTCTATCGAGACGGAGGTATGGCCTCCTTCAGTCGGAGAGGACCACACAATTCGACTGACCACTTATTGAATAGTCCGCCATGCTGTCAACCACAACTCGATATCCCGCAAGCATATGACCATTGAAATCTCACCGGTCACTCCGAAAGATGGGGTACGGTTGACCCCGCGATGATATGCATTCTCTGGCTAATTCCAGTCTAGTTATCACCACTAGCGCGATCCAACATCACTATAACCGATTTAGACTCGAAGAAAGGAACAGTCGTTGATGAAAAGAGAATCCAGGGAGAATACAAATTGGAGAAGGGCGATGAGCATGTCATCCAGCTCGCGAAATACCAGCATGCGCTCCGGTGCGTATGTCCGCTTATGATAGGCTTGAATCCCAGCTGATGATCTTGATAGGATCAAATGGGAGCCTGTGGTTCTAACCTTGTCAGCCTCCTCCAAGCAGGTGCGAGGTGAAGATCCTCTAGCCCATGTTCGCTCGCGTCTAGAAGACCTCGACATTAAGACCGTCATGGATTATATTGTCGATCACACAACACATGTGGTACAGCGCAAACGGAATACAGCCAAGGGTCTTCAGGCACTCGTCAACGGGAAGTACATAGTAGATGATTCATATATCGATGCACTCGTCTACGCGGCTACCCCCGGTGATCTTGAGAATGATGAATCACTCTGTCCTCTCGAAACCGACTTCGAATCGGCCTGGCCCGATCCAAATCAACACCTCCCGCCTCCCGGGAAAGAGCCAACTCAGCGTCCCCCCCGCTGCTTTCGCTCCAAATTCTGCACGTCTTAATGTCTTCGAGGGATATACGTTCATCTTCGGTGATCCAGCCCAGTTTGAAAATCTGCAAGGTCCAATCAACAATGGCCAAGGAAAAGCGCTTTTATACGAAATTGAAGATGGGGTCACAACTGCCGCAGATATCGTTCGGTTCATGAAAAAAGCCGCAGGACGGAAAGGCGTGGGCAGCGAGCGGCATGCTTCCGGTGGTGTCGTTCTTGTTCGCTTTCGATCAAAAGGAGACCTCGAACAATGGTCCATTGACGTCGGTAATGAAGTTGCTCTGATGACCGACCAGCGCGTGATAGAGCAACGAGAGTTCCTTGACGCTATCCTTGGAAATGATGCGTCACCCCTCTGCCGTCCCTTGCCCACGGAGGAGGGCTCTAGTCAGATCTCCGCATCTACACCAGCGATCGAGCCTGCACAAACCAGCCAACCAGGAATCTCCGTCGTGTCCGGACCGGTATCGGTAGCGCCCCCTGATCCTGAGCCTAGCCAGCCCTCGACAGCTCGGGCGAAGACACACCGTGTGCGTGCATACGTCAGTAAAATGAAAACCTTCGATGACGGATTCGACATGGAATCTGTCCCAGTGTATGCGCCTGAAGAAGAAGAGGACACCACCATAATCAACTCCACTCAGACCGTGGATGTCGAAACTCAAGCGCCGTCCCAAGCAACCCAGCCCCTGGATACAGTAAAGGAGGAGCTAGAGGATCCCGTCACTGATCTTCTTCCGGGCGCCCGTGCAATGAAGCGCCGTCGTGCAGAGATGGCTCGCCATCAAACAGAGGGAGAGGCCATAGCCCCTGAACCCGAGGCCCCCAAACGCAAGCGACCTAAACTCGACGTGCTCGAAGCCGCCCGGAAGCACCGAGAAGATGAAGAGCAGCAACGCAAGGCCGAGGAAGACTCACATCCAGCCGACTTTGGTGATGTGGATGTGGACCAATTGAAGAACCTGGCCATCGTGGAAGAAATGGAGATTCCCGTCCGGAATGCACCAGCGCGCGAGGAGGAAAGCTCGGGGCGTTGGAACGATCAATGGAATGGGCGCAAGAACTTCAAGAAATTTCGGCGTAAAGGCGAGTCGCGTACTCGAGCTCGTATTCAGACGGTAATCGTTCCTCTAGAAGAAGTGACCCGCAAAGACTATGGTATCGGCGATCACTATTGGGGCAGCAATTCCGCTGAGACGGACTCTCGAATCGAACCTGAAGGTCCGGATTCTGAGGATCATCGTGATGAAGTTGCCCCATCACGGCCCGAGCTATCAGCGACTGCCCGCACCTCGCCTGAACCGACTCCAGACCCAACTCCAGCTCGGCGCCCGAAGAGGGCTCGCGAGGAGCGCGATTCGGATAGCGATGATGGACTTCGTTTCCGTTTCAGGCGTAAGCGTTAGCCTTTTTTTTTCCTTTTTTCTTTGCAATGGTTTTGTAGCGTCTATTCTGCATCGATACCCATTCTTCTGCTGTTCTGTGTGTTATGTATGTCTGTAAGCAAATAATGCCCGAGTTGAATCACAATAGCTACAGATCATCTCTATATTCCCCATTGCCTGGAAGACTGTATCCCTACATAGTTAATGGGGCTAAGGAGCCCTGGAGATTATCACGGCTGACGTACACGATCTATAACTGCTCGGGTGATTGATATAGTAAATCAATAAAAACATCCATGGATCTTTAATGTAAGCTCTAATGTAAGCTCCCATCTAATCTGATTACGTCCATGTTATTTTACTAACCACAGTGATCATTTTTGTTCTTTCAAGTCCCAATATCAAGTATTCCGACAGTCAAAGCCTGTGTCGCGCAACGTCTCTCCTCTTTGCTTTCTAACCTCCTCCATATATCGTCACTTTCTTCTTCTACCTATGTGCTTTGCATTCCTTTGCTTCGTAAGTTCTCTGTTCTTTTTATCTTCTTCTCATCTCTTACTTTTGACCGGGCTCATCTTTCCCTCCACCAATCCCGTTACAATCCGCCTCTTCAGGCTGCCCAACAGCCTGATCGGCGAACCCCTCTCTTCCTGTAATTTATTTCTTTCCTCCACTGAGATCTCCTGTCTGTAGCAGGAGTGAACATCGGGCCGGTGCGACAGTGGTCATAGCTGTGAGGTGGTATATGCATCGCCCCGGCATGACCTGTTTGCTGTCTGACGTACGCCGAATTCAAGCTATCAGCCTACAGGTTGTCTTCTAAACAAGGGCAAGTCGCACAAAATGGCCTCTAACGCTCCCAATCCTCTCTCATCGTCATCCCTACCATCCCTCATGATCTCCGCAATTCCTCCTGCCCCGTCGGAGTTGGTCAATTCGATAGCCAGTGCACCCATCCCAGGTCCTGCAAGCGCAGGAAAATCAAACTACAGCATCACTTCAAACATTATTTGCCGTGATACCTGTGAAAACCGCGTATCCAGCACTATCCCTGCCGGTGAGGACCAATCTCATCTCCCCGCACAAGTCCCCGCATCGACTATCTCAGCCCCGGTCCAGTCGGGAATCCAATTCGTCAGCCTTCCGGTTGAGATCCATGAGATTATTCTAGATTATATCTTTGGCAGAAGAGCGTCGGCTGGTAACCATACAGCATATGGTGAATCTTCTGCTCAGAACTGGAGCAAGGCTCTTCATCATCCGCGGCGGAAGGCCCTCGCCAACCTGGCCTTGACTTGCCGCGTGTGGACTGGACTTGTTCAATGCCGAATTTACCGCCATAGTGAGTTTCATCTAACTGTGTAGTCCCAATTACAAATTGTACTGACAACTGAATTTTTACATAGTCAGAATCAAGGGCAGCAGAGATGAACTGGCCAACTGTGCCCGGTGGTTCACGAGAAACCCCCATTTGACTCCTTACGTCTGTCACGTTGAGATTTGGATGCCTATCTGGGGAGATAGGGCTCTTTCGCCTAACATTTCCCGGTCGAATGTGGAGCTGCATGCCGCTCAGCCAGCCGCACGACGTGCAGGACACACGCAGGGGAATCGTCCTTACCGGCACCATAATCATGGAGATAATGTTTTCCATTATCAACGTCCATCCAACAACGCTTCATTGGAGGAAATCTTCGGTCTTGTTCAGTGCTTTTTCCCCGTTGCCGAGTTCTCACACTGGAGGGTGGCCACAGCAAGAACTCGCCTATGATTCAGCATTTCCGCCATAGTCATGTCATGTACAGTCTGCAGGCTCTCATCCAGCGGCGCCTACCTGTTCTTGAACGCATACAGACATTTATCATGCGTGGTGCCTGGAATCTGATGCGACAACTTGAAGACTGGCACAACATTTCACAGGCGTTGCCATCCTTGAGCGAGTGGCATTGTGCCTGGGCGCAACCCCATCTGAATGCCTACTTCATCATGATACACATCTTGATCCACCCTCCATTGACAATCCGCCATATAAACCTTAGCCTGGAGGGATTCTACAACAAGAGTGGTAGTTTGCTAGTTGGCCCTTCTGGGCCTCGAAACTCGCTTCCCCCAATGTGCAGTCTGCTCGGCGAGGCAGTCCCGCGTTTAGAGTCATTTACCTACACTGGTCGTGTGTGTTGGTTCTTTTTCGAGACATTAAAGCAAGGAGCAACAGCAATGCGTTCTCATTCTCGGCTCAGGTCACTAGATCTTGTAGTCAAGGCGTGCTGTCACAATAAGCAGGTAGACAAACCGCATCACTGGTCCCAGATGGGTGCAGGGGTAGGAGGAATTACCAGCATTGCGTTCATTCGTGCCTTCGAGGCAATGGTGGTCAAGGCAATCGAGTGTCTATCCGTGCTCCCTACCCTGGAGTACTTGCGGATCCGTTTCATCGATCTTGACTCGACCTGTCCGCCTCTGAACCCTTATTTCCAACTTGTCAATAACGAGTGCACAGGCCTATGGAGTGAAGACATCCTGGAAGCTTTGCGCGTTAACCGACCATCTGCCTCATTCATCTCACTTGCAGATGGAATAACCGCGGAGTACAATGACCAGCAGATTGTGGGCGCTTTGGTACCTCGAGTTCGCCCCCTGGGTATCCAAGTGAACACTTACAGTCTTCTTGCCGACAGCTCCAACCCTTACTAGGCTGTTTGCCTTGATATTTTATGAGCGTTTCCACCTAATTTTTGCCTTTTCCTCTTGTCGTTCAGCATAATACCCCGTCGTCGATTCCGTCTTCCCAGCGAATTTCTTGTTCGCTATTCAAATCTTGTCCTTTTCTTTGTGATATCACACCGTGGATGCCATTTTAGGACATATCTGGGCTGCTATGTGGTGTTCGGGCATGATCACGTTAATGCTTCTTTGTCTCTTTTTCTTTATTTTTTTCTGTTAAGGTGTCGGAGTACGCCATCGCCTGAGCAGAGTGAAACAGAAACTATCCTCAGTGTCCACATCTTGTCACCCTGCTTCTCTGTTTTTCGGCTTACTGTCTCTAAGAGGGCAAGTCGATATCTGGGTACAAGCGAAATCAGAGAATCATGGCCATATCAGCCCATCGGACATGTCTGATGGGTTTGCTCGTATGTATTGTATGTATTTCAATGTCATCCTGACCAATTATTGTTACTTTTCTCTAAGACCCGTAACTCTGTATACATCTCTATTAAATACAGGTATTTCCCCTATCATTTTTCTGCAACCGTGATCTCGCCACCGTCCCCTCCATCCCGAACGATGATACCTAGAATCCAGACGTTCACAGCGAAGAAGAAGAGCCCTGCGAGGAACAGTCCAGGTAAGAAGGATGACCGGCCCAGGAACTCGAGGTTGTAACCTTGGTGCAGCCAGAGGGCCTATATAGTTTGTCAGAGATGAAGTCCCAAGTGAAAGCTGTGGCAGCGGAGGATCAGTAGACAATACATACCTGTCCAGCAATCCATAGTATAGCTGCTGATATTCCCAGAGTCGGTTTGCGGATGAGCGAGGAAGATGGTAGGTAAAACGGAAGCAGGATGAGATACCAGAGGAAATACTAGACTTGTTAGCTGTACGTATGACCATTCTCGGGTGAAATCACATACCTGGCTGGTACAAACTTTGTTGAAAGTGACAAAAGTAAAAGTCTGCGCGAGCATCGCGGTAGTCAAGCTCTTCTTTGCCAGAACTAGAGGCAAAGCAACAACCACAAGGATTAGCTGCGGAAGGAAGGCCAGCGCCTCGAAGCGAGTTTCAGCCCCACCGGCAGCAGACAGATATAGCAGTGTACTATACGGAGAAAAATTGTGACGGTGATCAATGCGAGTAAGATGGTGGAAGAATGTGTGATGGAGGAATGGCTGGCCGTACTGCAGGTACATGACGAGATTCAGGGCCACGAAACTGGCCAGTGCGGCGACAGTAAACTTCACTCGGGATGGGGTAATAAATCCCAAAGCTTGTGACAGCAGCCCAGAGCCGGCCGTTGCAGACCCATCGCGCTCAGCATCCCACCACCAGAGGATGGAGACACCATAGATGAACGGATAAATCTTGAAATGCACAGCAAGACCCAGGATAAGCCCAGCAAGGATAGGCTTCTTCGTCAAAGTTGCCCACAAAAGCGCCGCAACAAGCACGCCCAGTAGTCCTTCTGAACTACCACGGGTACTGATATTGGCAACCATGGGATTCCACAGCCAAACAGCAGCAACATACCGCAGCGCGCGCTCGACAGGAAAGCGATAGCATCGGACAAGCAGCTGGACAACGAGCCATCCGGCAAGAACATCAGACAATGCAAAAAGCACCTTTCCAAAGGCGAAACTCAGTGTTGACCAAGGCGCGGCACCCTCCCACGCAGTCGGGACAAGTATCCATGCCAAGAGCGGCGTGTAGCGGTAAGTATCGCGAGCATAGGGTGACTCCCCCTTTGCAACGTAACGAGCAGCATCAGTGAACACCATGTAGTCAATGTCGGTGTATTTCACGGCGGAATGCGCGTCCTGCCAGCCTCCATAGACGAGCAGGACGAGGCGGAGGGTTGTTGCGGCGAGGAAGACTCGCGCTGGAGAGTCAAAGAGAGCCATTCTCTTATCTCCGACTCTCGGACACTTTTTTTCTTTTCTTATTTGTCTTTCCGATAACAACCAATTGAAGAGGTTAATGGTTGCTAGATTGTCTGTTGCGGCTAGCTCGCATAATTGGGCGGCTTGATGAACCCCTTGGCGGATGTTGTGGGGGAAGTAAGGAGCTGGACATCCAACTTTTTAGCCTCAAGGTCTGTAGTCACTGTAAATGTGAACTATAATTCACTCCAATTCCATTCCATGAAATTGGTGGTAAATTTCGTAAATTGGTGGATGTTTGGATGTTGATGCCACCTCCAGGCCTGCCCAGCCCAGGACCTGATGCCTCGCTGACTCAGCATGGTCCGTGTCCTGTGGACCCCAGATTGCCTAGTTGGGACGAGAAGTGTACCAGTATACCTCCACTAGGTATTGAAGCATCGTTAACACTGAAAGGCCGATATAAACTGGTTATTCATATTATTTTTTTTCCGGGCTTGGAGGTTAAGTAAAGTCCATCTCTTGTTGGATTTATAGTGTATCCCACAGTTATACACCGGGCCTTATATCCCTACATAGTTGAAAGCAGGTATTCAGGCAGGTATAGGGCGTATATGTATCGTATATATACTATGTAGTCAAACAAAATCACTACTCTGCCCGAGGTCTTCACCCCACAAGAACAAGGAATATCCACAGATCCACATTGGAACTGCAGAATGCGGGGAAAGTGGCCATGGCATTGCGGGGATTCCAACGTCCCGGCACTACTTCGCACTCTATACGATATACGTCCAACACGAAATACTGTGATGTCACACTGTATGACCATTCAGGGACTTAAGAATAATCCTGGCCAGTCATATCGGATGTTCTGATGTCTTGGCTCATGTACATGTAGCTGGTACGCCACTAAGAGGGGTTACTGGATAATCAGCAAACCCCGGAGACATCTTCAGGTCCCAGCTCCTTTAAAATGGTTGACAGAAATGCCGACAAAAGGGTACATGTGAAAAGTAGAGAGCCCGAGGGATTTTCATGCTTCTAGTACGGAGTTATACGTTTATACCTATGTCCATGTCTTGATGTTTCAACTATCAGACATCGTCTAAAGGTCTCAAATTGACACTTCCTAATGGTAACTATTCATCTTGCCATTTTTAACGGCAGAAATGAGAAGTCTGAGAAAATCTGGATATAAAGATATAAACGCTCAAGTTGATGATACTTTGGGCCACTGGTTGTGTTGATATCCCCGCATTTGTGATAGGGGAGGGTAGATCGGAGCTTCTAAATTCTAAAATAGTTCAGGATCAAGTTCGGTTACATGTAAGCTGACCGTGAACCCACACCAAGGCACTCGGAATAAGATCATCAACGAAGGGCATGTGCAGCGCAATCAAGAGGTTCAGCACACTCCACACCAAGGCACATACATTATTACAGCTCGGACCTGTATCACTTAAACCGCTTGTGTAAGAAACCATAGTCTGCTTTTGGAATCTGGCCGGCCAAATCGGGACAATTCGGTCTGATAGGTAAGATGCCGTAAGAGTATGTGGTCTACTTCCATAATACAAGCAATATGACAGACTAGTTATGAATGTACTTCACACCTGGCTAGTATTGACAGAGATAAACCCAGTTCTTTAGGCAGAGACGTGCCGCAGATTTGTCCACGTTATCTGTGTACTCTATATACCGCGTAATAGCAGAAGATGGCGATCCCCGCAAAAGAAACAAGCCCTGGAAGATGTATATTACAAACTTAATCTCCCCAGTCCTCGGTATCTTTCTATAGACATATGATAATTCCATGAGGGTTTGGTGTTCATATAAATAGACTGTATATTCTCTCCAAAGGCACTTTATCATGGCGCTGGGCATGGGAAAGTATATCATCGGGGGCAATCGAGGGCTTCTCGACCCAGAATCCGATGAGTCTGGCAAACTCGAAAAGGTCGGATCCTCACTGAGCTCGACCTCGAAGAAGGATAAATTCCGCCGGCATTGCAGGCGATTCTGGTGCATCTACCTTATCGCCAATGTGATCTTCTTGGCTATTTTCCTACCCGTTTTGTAAGTCACAATGCACTTTTGCTTCGTCTCATGTTTATTATCAAATTTGATACTAACGCCAAACAAAGTTTTCTGGTCGCAATTCCTGCCATCGCCCAACTTGTTGTCAATAAATCGGACCTACGAATCGTCAATGCCGAAGTGATGCACCCAACAACAGATACAGTACGAATGACACTAGAAGCCAAAGTAAACTTGAAGCTTGCACTCGGTGTTCGACTCGATCCGGTCGTCTTCTACACATTTGTGCGCTCCGCTGGCCATGAGAATGCGTATGCAGGAATTGAGATCCCCGGGCAGACTATCAAGGGCAATTATTCACTCGGAGTCACCGACCAGTTGACACCAATCCTCAATATGACTTCCTGGGAAACCTTTGTGAGCCAGACTGTCTTCCAAAAGGAAACAGCACTATCCCTATATGGAGTGACCACTGGATATCTTGGGGTCCTGAAAAACCACATTGTATTGGATAAAGATGTGGTGATCCCAAGTGAGTACTTCACTATAGTGGTCTTCCATTGCTAATCTCCGAAATAGCTTTAAACAAGTTCGAAGGCTTCTCCATCGCTGATAGCACATTGCTCTTACCAGCAGAGGATGACGGGTCCAACCTCGTTGCCAACCTTACACTTCCAAACCCCTCGGCACTCAGCTTCGAAGTCGGCACTATCACACTTGACCTCAAAAGTGGCAACACAGACCTAGTCATCGGCAACGCAACAGTTAAAGACGTCACTCTGAAACCGGGCAACAACACATTCCCGTTGAGAGGTGTGGTTGACATCCGCACGATAGTCAGTAACCTCGCCGAAGTTGTCAGCTCACAGGGCTCCGCCATTAGGAGAGGCTCACTGAGCCTGACAGCCGTGACCAGGTCAATTGTATCCAACGGCACTCTAATCCCGTACTATACAAAGGTCCTCGGGTCTCTCCCCCTGGTGGCAAACGTGAGCATTGGGGATATTCTCAGAAACTCCCTCGCTCACATAGGCTCGAGTGGACTATTGTCGGACTCCGATGACAAACGCAAGAGAGGCCCGGTGCAGTTGGACGGCCCAGTTGGATACGGTGACGCGTATAATCAGATCGCAGGTCTGAAACACAATGGACACGTTCAAAAGATCTTTGAGGATGAAGATCCGGAACGACGAGACGTAATGATAGATGCGCTGGCTCGATATTATGCCTCCCTATGAATGTATGATTTGACTTGAATTGAATATTGACTTCTGGTCGGGAGTAAACCCCCATTTCTGTGTCAATCGTATCATGAGAATATATAAATATGAGAAACCCTACAGTACATGATATATTCGAAGCTTTGAAAAGAAAAGTTAAGTCAATCATACATTCGTTTCCCACATATGCCCTATGCTAACATGCTGAATCGAAGAATCAAGGAACAAAAAATAGTAGAATAGAATAGAAAGGAGAATAACAGAGAAGAGAACGACTGTTCAGTAATAAAATCCGCCGTTCGCAAAGTACCCAGGATCCGGCATGGGATCAAAATATGCAGGTTGTTCTCCGAATTTTGGGCCTTTCTCATGATCCGGAGTCAACAAAGTCATCATGTCGTTCCTCCCATCGACATCGGTGACAATTCCCGGCCACAAGTTGTTGTCACTCCAACTCAGATACTCCCAGAGATACTGGCCTCCTGAATCGTCCGCGAACGGGGTAGTAGCGAGGGGGTCAAGGAACCCATTCTCGCCCATAGCCACGTTACCACGACCCTGTTCAGGTGCCGAAAACATGACTGACATATCCCGACCAGCGGGATAAGAGTTAGTGCTACTAAGAACACTAGCGGAAGAATCAGGATCGCCAAGATCCTGTCCCCGCTTGCTAGCCTCGTAGATACGCGAGATAGCATCCAGCGACCGCTTCGCAGTATGGCCAAAGGACTGCATACGGGCCAGGGTCATCATGGCCATTTCCACCTGCGCCTGACAGGACTCAATAGAAGCGCGGGGGTCATTTGCCGTTGGATCGTTGAGGAACAATCCCACCAAGGGAACCAGAGAAGCCTGGAAAGTCCACCAGACAGCATTCCATCCGCAGAGCTGGTTAAGCTGCGCCGTAGCAGCAATATTCCGAATAGATTCATCTGCGACCTCGCGACATTTTTCAATCGCGGTGCGCTCTTCCGATCGCAGTGCGATATAAGGCACGCGGCGCATGGCGTAGCTGAGTAGTGTTGGTCGGTACAGGAGGATCCGTTGGTTGTAGTAGCGCCAACGCATGACTGTCCGGACAGTGTTTATTGACTCTGAGCAGGGCTCGTGGTCTTTCAGAACGGAGGGGAGGTTGTCCCACCACTCTAGAAGCTGCGCATCTGCGTGGGCCATTTCTTGGTGCTTGACTAGCGGTGCTGCGGCGAGGGACTCTTGGACTTGGGTAGCGATCTTGGCGAAGCGGATGTTTTCCACTAAAGGGAGGATTTCGAGAACGTTTCCCTATTAGGATTGCATTAGTCAAACGATTATTGTTCTCTGGAAGGGAATAAGAGAATAAGACTTACCTTGTCTCGGCAGAGGGGAGGTTTAACTGTAATGTTTGAACCTATCCGACCCATACTAGGCCGGCCTAGTGTCATGCCGGCCCAGGTATCCATGCAGAACAAAGACCACCAGACGCGGCGCTTAAGATCCATAGACGCTAGCTTCGCTGGACTCGGTATTTGGCGGGTCTCTGCAAACTCCTTATGCAGTCCCAGAGCAACAGACATACGCAACGCAGCACCCAAAACGGAGTATGCCAGATTCGGCTGGCTGATATAGTGGCAGTACCAGCCGCCCATCAGCCCCAGCGCCTGGATAGTCTCGATATGGGAGCTTCCCAAGGAAGTCAGAGTTAGGTGACTCTTGCATCGCAGGAAGTATGTCTGGTGTGTCGTATCATCGGGTCCTGTAGCCGCAATGCAACCGAGAGCAAGA